CTTGACGAGCTGTGAGTTTATTTTATGTCTACTCGGTCGTCACGGTGACCGTTGCGTTTGGCCCGAATTGAAATCTTCACCAGTCGTAACGCCCGTCGAGAGAGTTGATGTGAAATAAACTCACTTTTGGAACTTTGTTGTTACTAATCCTGACTGCTAAGCCAGAGGTTGTGGGTTCGATCACAACCCAGAAAAAATAACTGGGTGATGAGCACGATCTTTTGTTCTGTGTTTGGGTGTAATTAATCTACAATATGTATATATTTAGAAATATAAAAATGTGTTCATCAGCAGTCAAGTTACAATGGAACATTTTCCGATTAGTTTGGGATTAGCCGTGGTCGTTTCTGAAATATGTAAGGTTTTTGTAAAAAAAAACTTAGATGCCCTGTTTTCCACCTTATCTGGCTTACTTTTGCAATACAAAGTAGTCCATGTCCCACCTCAAAGTATGAACTCAAATCATACCAAATTTTCATATTAATTTAGTAAGCAATTTTCATGTGATGCACGGCCACAATAGGCAGATAAACAGACAGACAGAAAATAAAAACAAGTGAAAAGTACAGTTTAGGCTTAAGTGTAGAGTATATATTTTTATTATATGGAGGGCACCCTCCACAAAAATAAATCGTAATCTTCAATGTGTACCGAATTTAACCCGATATAGTTTTATTATAAATATAAATTTCTGTAAATGTGAAATATAGAGTTTGTTGTTTTTGAAATACCTAATGGGTCGCTTTAGTGGGCGGTTGTGTTCTAACAAATTACAAATAGTGTCTATATCATTACTAGGCATGAGAAAAATCACTGATCTGTGTGTGAACTGTGATTTATCATTCGTTTTTGCGTACGTAGGTTTTTTTTTTTTTTATACTTTTCCCCAGTCAAGGATACACCGGGACCTTATATATCTTATGGCTATTTTTTATTCTATACCTAGTTTACACTATACCCCTTGTGGGATTATACATATTTTTACTGGTTATATTTTACTACAGATATTTTTACTGGTTATATTTTACTATACATTTTTACTATACATATTTTTAATATATATATTTACTATACATATATTTTTATTATGCATATATATTTTACTATACATATTTTAACTATATCTATTTTTATTATACATAATTTTACTGTACATGTTTTACTATACATATTGTTACTATACATATTTTTAATATTTATATTTACTATACATATATTTTTACCATACATGTTTTACTATATATATTTTTATTATGCATATTTTTACTATAAATATTTTACGTATTAATACTATACAGCTATTTTAAATATTTATTTTTCAGTCATTACATGGCGTGACTTATTGGCTGAGCTCACAACTTATACATATATTTCTATATTTCTTACATTTATATCATACATATTTTTTCTATTCTATCTTTATTCCATTTGTCTTACATTGACATAGCTCTTTAAACGTGATCTAGCTTTTAGCAAGTACACAGTTCTATTTATTTACATCTATTTTGGAGTCTTATAACAGGTTATGTTTTACTTATCTTTTCTATGTTCCTTAGTTACACAATAGTTATTTATTTATTTAGTTATTTTATTTTATTATATTATTTTATTTGTTCGGTTATTATATATTAGTTATTCGTGGTTCTCAACATTTACTGCAGGATTTTGTCATGTTGTGTATTATCTAGCAGTTTTTATATATTTATGCATATCTCTATTAGACAATAATGTATATATATTCATAATATATACTCATTGGCCATTTCCTACGCTGGTTTCCATTTCATACTTAGTTATGTTCGTGTAAGTGTTTCGATATATTCGTGTATATTTATTATACGTTTTGTATATCGATTTGTGTATTTGTATCTGTGTGTTGTGTTTCATGTTTGTGTATGTCGTGTATTTGTATCTGTGTGTCGTGTTGTATTTCGTGTTTGTGTATGTTGCGTACGTAGGTTAGGGTTGCTAGGTAGGTCGGTTAGGCGCTATTTGACAGTACCTAAATCTAGCATTTTTTTAAATTATTATGTAGGGAATGGTAGCTATATATAACAAAATAATTACTAGATTTACTGTTAAATAGGCAAAATAGGATCTTTATACATCGTCTGAAAATAGTTTATTGACAACAACGCGTGAAATGATCAATCACCGTTTATGCAGTTCACTGTGATTTTGTCCCATCTATAATCCATACAGTGTCTGTAGGTACCCGTGACCGTCTGGATATGTTTGAACTAATTTACTAATTAAGAATTCAATAGTTTTAAACACACCAGACCAAATCTATTACAATCGTGGGAGAACCGGTGCTAAGCAATCCGAAAATCTCCCCGAAAACAGGGGGGAGCTGGGCCTCCGTTAAGACATTTGATAAAAAAAAACTAAATATGATATGACAGCATGTTTATACCTTTAAAAGATTTAGATAGATTATGGCAGCATGTTTATCTAAATCACGTATGAATTAGATTTTTTAAAGCGCCGTGATGTGAAAAGTCTGTATAAAACTCTATTTAGTTATTTGTGAAACGACGTGTGTTGTTTTGTGAATGACGTTAACTCTCCCAAAACATGACTCAATTTAAAAACCTAAAGATTTCATTTCACATAGTAAAATATACCTTAAACATATTGTAGAAACTAAATAATATCGAATAGTTAATACCGAAGTAAAATTAAGAGATTATTTACGTAATGCTTATCAAACTAGCTAGAAACATGGAAATCCCACCATTTCCTTGATCATAAATGTCTAATGCCATTGTTAATAATATACCCTAATCATCATTGTCTTCTTCTTATAATATCAACTATTATACTGTATTGTACTACTATACTTTGAAGATTCCGATATTTATTTTAAGATTAGCCAAGCTTAGCTTAGCTCCAGCTCAACCAATTCAAGCGGCAAAAGTTCATCAGAGAAAGAAGGATCGAGAAGGACGCAAGTTAGGCAAGATATCAGACTCAGGATAGATGTAATTCTTTATTTATTATTTAAAATTACAGCTTATCTTTACTTAGTATAAAATGAAGTCACGTTTTTCTTGTACGCTTAGATCTTTCAAACGAAGCAACGGATTTTAGTGCGGCTTTCACTAATACAGATAGTGATTGAAGAGGTGTTTTATATGTAGAGTACATACATATTATAGTAGAGAAAATCCGATAATTTCGAAGATTAGTAATGTGAAGTCGTACAAAACTTGTAAGCAAAATAATGTACTACGGAATTATATCTTAAAAAGTCCGCGATGGTATATATCTCCTAAGGATAACCCACAGTAACTATTTTCTTCTTTTCATAATCATAAAAACTAAGAGTAATTTATAAAGCTATTTAAATGTATATCAAAATTTTAACACACGTATCTTCTTTGTAGATATCAGAGATGAAAAATGCGGGGTCAAAGCGGCTTCTGCCACGTCGGTCCCAGCGACCTATAAATATTGCATATGATGATGTCCTGTAGTGTCTGTCTATCTTATCATAATAATAGTATAATTAATTATTCCACACAAAAAAATAATAATTATTATATAGCTCTCTTGGAGCTCTTGAAATACAACACTCGCACAGTTCTGCTGCTTAACTGGGTTCTTTTGTTCACTGCAAAAAGAGAAGGAAAACTTGAAACAGACTGTTGAAAATCAAAGTAACAGTATTATAATTATGTAGATCATAAGTTGAAGATTGTATCCGATAGATGGCGTTGTATTAAACGGCTACATCACGCTATGGTATGTTACCCGCGATATTCATATAAGCAGATGTTAAAGTTTTGTAGGCGAGAATTAATACTATACAAATCTGTCTGGCCAGTGTGGTATAGTAGGCCAAAACGTCCTTTCTAAGGAGAGGCCTATGTCCAGCAGAAGCCTACGAAAGGCTGTTGATGAAAATGATGATAATGAAATATTTCAAATATAATAATCTTCCGTGCGTCATTCATTTGAAAATAAGTGTGTTCATTCACGTATAGCAGGTTACAATTATGTGGTACTTGAGTAAGATACGTCTACAATCAGAACTTATAATTTTTTTATCGAGAAGTAGTAAATCAATTTATTAGAGCGTGATTAGGTTTAATAAAACAATCTTGAAATGATTATGATGGTAACAGTTTTAACATATTTTATTGTCACATTCTCATAAATTATATTTGTGAATACGTATGTCTATTTCTATGACGTAGCGAGTTACACAACTCAACTTGCTTCTTTCTGATGCTGCTATTCATTATGGGTATCACACTCAACACATGTACTCTGCCTTGTAGCAGCAATTTCGGTAATAAACTCAATTGCTGTAGCTAACACTACTCCAGCGACCCCCGTAATATGTGCGTTACATGATTCTTGCCATACCATTATATCCCCTTTATCGGAAATATTTTGGAATATTGCTACTAATAACGTACTACTCGCACTCGGCCTTGTTAAGTTAAAGCAGCCAAATCTCGTTTGAAAGTCTAGAAGCTCTTCTATCCATGACCGTCGCAGAAATTGAGCGTGGCCTTCGAAGCTACATAGAGTGACTGAAAATAAGAATAAAATGTAAATAATCTTAATACTATCCAGCACTTCTTAGGTTAAGTTTTAGCATCGTAGTACATTGTTTTTCAACTTTCGCAACTATACATATTAGATGTATAAGGACCTAGTCTCAATAATAAAAACAAGCTACAATACCTTTTTTGGTCACCCGACTTTTCAATCGAATTGCACCGATCATGGTCACGGGTATACCGGGTGGTAGCGCAATTCGCAAAAGTATTGAACCTTGCTATTATCGCAATTATTAGATAAATAATTCTGCAGCACAGAGAGTACAATTTTATTTTGTGCTTAAAGGTCTTTTTCGACATTGGAATAGCACAAAAAGTTTATGACAGTTGAATTGCTCTCTTTTAGATGGGTAATGTCAAACCCCTACGAATATATCGATTAGGGACTTAAAATTTCACTATCTCACATGCTGCTGGATCATTTATAAATTAAAATCCTGATATATTTTTGACAAGATTTGTGTGATGACAGTAAATGTAAGAATGTACTTGATTTTCTTGCTTATTATGATGATATTTGTTTTTTAAATTTAGTTTAATTCAAGTACTAATTTAGTTAATTTACTTTTATTTTACCACAGTATAGTATAGAGACGACTACGTGTAAGTGATTAGGTGTATAATGTAAGCTAATATTGTATTATTTGCAAAATGTAAATAATGTAGGAAAGTTCGCAACTTCTTTTCTTTTGGTTTTTTTTTGTTGACAGGGTGGAAAATCCCTTCAGATCGCCTGCTCCTTAGGGGACACAGGAGCCAGAAGTATGTGATGTTTCCCCTAAAAGCCACCCGACCCGAACCATGTTACTATTATTGAAGAATTGTTAAATATAAACAGCGAACTATAGGATAACTAGCAAAGGTAATTAAAATGTTAAAATAATGCAATTTACTCACTATGGTCCAAAAATAAGTCTGGTAGTCCAAATTCGTGGTTCGCCATGTACTCAAGTTCATTGTACATTATCACACATAATTTGTCTATAACTCCTTTGTCATTTGAAGTAATAAGGCAATGACGCCAATACCGAGCTGCTAACAAAAGTAACAACCTGAAATATCAATTACACTTTATGCCTAATATAGTATATTTTGTACTAAATTTTAGGCTTTTACGTTATCTAAGAGTAATAGTTCTCGACGAAGGGTGGGTAGGCCCACAAAAGGTAGTCTGACAACCGGGTGAAGGTTGCTGGCAGCACAGGACTGGTTGTTGTGGCGAACCTTGGGGTAGGCCTATGTCACACAGTGGACGTTTTTCAGCGGAGATGATGATGATGTTCGTTAATATATAATCAATTACTTAAAGAATTAACGCTATTAATAGGTATAAAAAACCTTTGAATTGTCTAACGTTTTGACCAGGTTGCACTAGCCGTCATCACAGGTGGACAGGCGAAGTATGGATTCTCGAAGATTAAATATTATTTATACCTATTTAACCTGTGTAAGTTTTCCCTAGTCTATCTAGTATATATGTATGAGTTTCTACTAGCTACTAAAGCTGTATTTGGTCAATCCGTATTCGTATTGGACAAAACTATCGCTGTTAAAAAAAAAAACATGGCGACAGACGACAGGGGCAGTACACAAATTTGTTTATATATGCCAAAGAATCAGCGGTTTACAATAGCAGTGTTTGTGTCTCGTTCCGTGGTTTTGGTATTTTTATTGGGCTATATATATTTCTTTCTTATAATTGCAAAGCCTTAAGCTTACCTATGCGCTATTTCATAGCCATAATCAAAACCGATGCCAAGGTATTCAAGACAGGTGTAAGGCATTTGACAATGAATAAAATCAGTGAAGTTATTATATGGATTCTCCGCTAATAACTTTAAACATTTCTCTGAAATAAATATAAAAAATTAACACAAGTTAGTCACGCGAAGTCTGCACACAAAATTGGGATTGTGCAGGTGCGGTGTGGGCAGTAAGTAACGCAAGTATTCATTAAACGACCGAATGGCGTAGTGGTTTGTGTAACGGACTGCTATTCCAAAGGTCGCGGGTTCAATTCCCGCTCAAGTCAAACATTTGTGTGCATGATTTGTGTGCATTTAATGTTTGATTTGGTCTGGGTGTTTCTGTGTATAATAAGTATGTATTTACAAAAAAATAATTATATATGTATTTATATCAGTTGTCTAGTACCCATAGTACAAGCTCTGCTTAGTTTGGGACTAGATGGCGTTGTGTGAATGTGGTAAAAAAAAAAAAAAAAAAAAGAAACGGTCTCTTTACACATTTATGCGCATGAAGAGAGATTGAGTAAAAGACAAATGAAATTAAGATGAGTAACCGAATCACCTAGTGCCTGGTGCCCCGCCTTGTAGCTAAACACAGTCTTCTTGTACTTAGACCACTTATAGTATATTACCTCCAGTTCTTTTCTTGAGTAAAACTTAGTTTCATTCAATAAATCAGTATTAAATTTTCGAAAAATATTAAAATTTGGCCACGTTACTTTATTGTCTTGTATATTGAACACTGAAATGAAAAGAGTTTTATGTTATTTCTAACAATACCTGTCATTCTGTTAACGTTGTATGGTTAACTTTATTTAACATAATTACTGTGAAATAAAATTAAAATAAAAAATATACACACTTTACGCTTGATACATGAACAAAATCTGGACGAGTACTTTTTCACCTGCTGCCCTCAGACGTAAACAGTATTATTGTTTCTTACACTACCATACCATACTTAATTATCAAGTAGGGTCTTTTAATGTTGGTTGTCTTGCTCTCTTAAAATCCATACTCTATGATAACAAAAAGTAAGATAAGCAAAAATAAAATACCTACTTTGGATCAAAACATCAGGCACTTCATTATTATCAGTTTGTTCTTTAGATATTCTAACAAATCGATTTATAATGTTCTCATTTGTTTGAACGAGTTGTACTATCAAATCGCGTCGTTCATGAGATAAGATGTCTGATTTCCATTGAAGAACACCTCTTAAATGGACTGTAAATTAATAAAAACTTACACTGTAAATGATTGATACCAAGAAAGCTCCACTTCGTCGATGGTTAAAAAAAACCTATTTTTTCAATTGTTAATACATAAACCATGACTACTAGTAACATTAGACAATAAATGGAAAGAACATCTGCTGAGAAACATTGAAAATGTTATTACTGAACTATTCTGTTTCCCCTTTTAGTTTTTTTTTGAAAATGTTTTTTTCTTTCGGACATAAAACTATTACCAACGTGTCTGGGATAAATCATTTATTTTATTTTTATACACTTACTGCATAATCGAATGCATAAGGACGACTTAATGCAGTAGGCATTTTCTTCCAGCCAACCTTTAGGTGGTGCAGAGCTGTGTGTGGCAGGTGTATCATTTCAAACTATTATATAAATTACCTATTAAGTTATGCATTAATTGCAATTGCAAAAATTAGACTATACACATACACTAGACATACATATACATACTATATTAAGGTGTGGATATAAACATACAAACATACATAAATAAATTATGTTGTCTTACCATTTATCAAATAAATTGCAAAACATAAATCTATATCCACATAATATTTATGTCCATCAATGAAGTACACTATTCTTTTCAATGCCGACATATATTTACCGTAATCATTTTGAACTGGTAAATCATCAATAATCTCCATGACCTTATAGTTGTACATATCTTGATGTGATACGACGACACACATTGTTAAAATTATAAACACATATAAACATGTAAATGAACACGGGCATATTAATATTATCGATTTGCACATGACCGTCAACCAAATTTTTACGTAAAACTAAACTCAATCGACTAAACTCGAACAATAGACGACATGTTTTGCTTCACTTCCATTCTTTTTTCTAGAATAATTATAATATATAAACAATATTATGACCTATATATATTATACACGACTTAACTATACACTATTTTCTATTAAGGGATGACTAACTGAAACGCATAGCAAAGACGTGAAAAGGCACAGGTTTATAGTTAAGTGCTCAACAGTTTCATAGACGACGCTCAATACACAATAGTTGTTTATATCACGTGAATGTGTAAACATTATAGTACTTGTTGATAAATCCGATACGATGAAACGAAAAGAGTGAGGTTAGTGTATCTCGAGTCATCTGCAATGTAGAAGTGTGTTGTAGAGATGTAGTTTGCAACAGCACTGCAAAGAGAAGTAAAACTCGACATAAACCCTATACCAACCGGTCAGGACAGTAGGCCAAAACATCCTAACCAGAGGCAATGGACTATGAAAGGTTGATGAGATAGACATTTTTCATTATTTTTTGTCTTTTAAATAAAATCAGCTACTTCAAAACACAGAAGTCTTTATATATAAAGAAAACTATATAAACTTTCATTGTTCTTTTTCCTTTCATAGATTATTATTGATAGAATGTTTCATGTAAAATAATATAATAATTTATAGAAACGACCTTAAGTCATAACACATTACATAACTATAAATAAAGGATCGGAAGATGTTACTTCAAATAGCAAAACATGCTGAATGTTTGTGCAATTTGAAGTAAAATCTTTCGCTCCGATTTCATTTCAAGTTCAATCGTATAGATCAAAAATTTAAGAGGAAATATTAAAAACCTTATTTGAATTTATTTTGTTAATTCAACGTCAGAAAAACTACCGAAAAATATTTAGAGGTTATAAATTCTTTGATTAGATCTATGAGTAGATCATATGCCATGATATTCGATTTCGACGCATTTGTAACCGCGAAGTTCGGTCGATTCAAAGTTAAAAAATAGGTGGAGTACCTATTAAAGGGCATTATAGACTCTGACCAAAAATATTAATGCAAATTAAACAAAAACAATTATAGTTCATCATCCTACGCCTTCTCCTAAACCAGGTTGGGGTCGGCTTTTAGTACACTACGACGACGACACGTTGAACTTTTAATTTCTTACGAGGAGCGACAGCCATTAGACCTCATAAAAACGGTTCAATCTCAGACGATCCATGGGCCAGATCCATAATGGATCTAGTAAAATTTTTTCTCATTGTATTTATTATAAATAATTTATTATAATTAAGTAATAGGTATTTTCAGAATTATTTACTCTTTAGTAAAGTAAAGCAGAGAGATACTCAGCGTCTCTCTCCCATTACAGTAAAGAAATATTTATGAGTATTAATTTATTTTTTTGGTTCATTACAAGAGACATAAATTATGGGCTTAAAACTAATTACATAATTAATAACAGGTGAATACAGTACAACAATATCATCTCTAAAACTACATCATCATCATCATCAACAGTCTTTACTAGTCCACTGCTGGACATAGGCCTAAATTTACATTTATTTTATACATATACGTAATGTCTAATTAAAATAATGATTAAAAACAAAAAAAAATCGGTGTTAAATAAAATGTAAGTTGAAAGTATTAGGACGCATTAATTGGGTTAAGTGGCTAATAGAGTAAGTTCTCAAATAATGGTCTGCGATATTTTGGAGCTCAAAAACGTTAATTGAATTTGTGCAATGTTCATTGACAGCTCTGCATATTCTGAGAACTTGTGAATTATATTCCAAAATTGTGCTTCCAAATGGATGCACCTTCATGGCCATTGTTTCACGCGGAAGGCGCTAAGAAGCGTTAAAGTTAAACCTTTCGAGCACTAAGTAATCCATCAGATCTAAAAGTGTTCTTCTCTTTTCAAGCGACCGCGACGTAACGGTACCTTGAAGAATGGTAGTCTTTCTTCATACTTTTTATTAGTTTTGGAGATTCTTGCGGTGCGTCTTCTTCCAAATGCCCCATGCTTCTGAATGCTTTCTAATCTCAAAATATGAGTAGCACAATGCGTTTTCCAAACGATGGATTCGAGTATACTGCGAACTAAAGTATTGAATAAAAGTATCTTGGTTGGAGGTCTACGGAACACCTTAGCATTTTTTATAACAAACCCCAGTATTTTGAACGCCTTGTTAATTGTATGATCCAAATGAGGTTTTTATCTTAAAGTATTCCTAAGTCCCTTATTGTATCAACTTCTTGTATCTGTATACCTTCCATAAAATACTTATATTCAACAATTTTCAGTTTGTGGCTGAACTTAATGTGGTAGCTTTTGCTAATATTGAGGTGTATCTGATAGTTTCTACACCACTGGCTTATGTATTCTATGTCCTGTTGTAAAAGAGCTACGAAGTGAAAGCTATTTATAGTTCGTGAGATTTTTAATCATCTGCGTACATGTATTGGTTCAGAGGGAAAGAGGTAGGTAAATGATAAAAATTTAAAAAAAATATGGTGCCCAAGATGCGATCCCTGTGGTACACCGGATAAGGTGGGAAAAGGTTTTAACCTAAAGCCATTTACCACCACGTAGGAAGAACGATTAACGAAATTAGTCTGAATCCATTCAAGAAGATTACCAGTAAATCCAAGCACTGATAACTTCCTGGATAGCACAGTGTGAGGTACTTTAACAAACGCCTTGCTGAAGTCTGTATAAATAACGTCTACCTGCTGATGATGGTCAATTGCTTCAGCTAGGCGTTCAACCAAGTAGGTCGAAGTACATCTTGTCTTGATAAATCCATATTGATTTGTGGACAGGTATGGCCTAAAATAGTTTTAAATGCAAGGACAAGCAATGGATTCAAACACCTTTGCCATCATGGAAATATGCTTAATGTATAGTTTTCACACAGAATGATCTCGAACGGTTAAGCGGTCTAATAACTAGACTGAGTAATCTGTTTTAGTTCACGCTCGCGCTGGTTCAAACGTATCATTAATATTCTGTTGCCTTTTGTCATTCTGTTGACCAACCACCTACCATAGACCGGGCCTCAATTATGCTATTTTATGTTCACGTAAAGCCACTGTCATATCACTGACACGCTATTGAGATGCCATCGAGTGGCCATTGGCATCGGTATAAATATCGGTAGTTGAAAATATATTACGTTTTTTGAGGAATTGATTTTTTATTTTAAAAATTATACTAATATATTTCCAAATTATAAGGAAATGATTTATTTATTTAAATATTTTTTTATTTTTTATTTTAATAATTTTATTTTTCTTTATTTTATAATTTTATTTTTTTAATTATTTATTTTTATTTATTTAATTATTAATTATCCGTGTGGTGACGGATTAAGAATACAGATTGTCACCACCCCTATTCATCCCGTGGGTGTTGTAAGAGTCAACTAAGGGAAAAAACTACGCAGAACAACAACACTGCAGAGAGAAGGAAAACTTGACACAAACCCTATACCAACCCGTCTGGCCAGCGTGGTATAGTAGGCCAAAACCTCCTTTCTAAGGAGAGGCTTATGTCCAGCAGTGGTCCATTAAAGGCTGTTGATGATGATGATGATTTTAATAATTTATTATAATAAAAATAAATAAATCATTTCCGCAAAAAAGTAATATATTTTCAACTACCGATATTTATACCGATGCCAATGGCCACTCGATGGCATTTCAATAGCGTGTCAGTGGTATGACAGTGGCTTTGCGTAAACATAAAATAGCAGAATTGAGGCCCCGGTCGGACGTCTCCTCGATCGGTCGTCAGTAAATTCTTGTCTTACACAACTGCTCAGGAAAGAAGTAAAGTTTTCAGGGTCCATGTCCATGTACCACAATAACTTTAGGAAACAAACATATTTAATTTTACATGTAATATTAATATTTTTAGTTGTCATAAATGTGTGTACTTAGAACGGGGTTTTCCCTTCGATACTATGAACACTTTTACTACGAATTTCTGAAACTTTTCTGTTATCACTACAGTATATTCTCTATTTCAGTAATAGTTTCTATTTCAAGTTCATTATTTTCAATCCTTTTGTGATTCTTTCACATATACAAAATCTACCATTTAAAGCTTTTCGTTTAAATAACTTTATTTGCTTGAGCACAACTTTTACAGATTTAAAGCTTAATTATTATTTTTTATTGAAAGCCTGTTGATATCTACAAATACTAACATAAATAAGCTGTGATTCACTAATTTGATGATGAAAAGTGGTGATGGTGAGGTGGTCCATTCTGTTTTTTTAACTTTATTACTTCTTTCATGTGTTAGAAGAAGTGAGATCGAGGATTTTTTTTTTATTAATTGTTGTTATTCGTTTATCAATAGGATAAGATTAAATTCAAAATGTAGGGTTCATTTATTAGATGTGGATGATGATAAACTAATAACATAGCATTGTAATTTTTAATAATTAAGAACGGTTGTTTGTATGGTGTGTTAAAAACAAATCATATGGATCATGGCCATATGATTTGTTTTTAACACTCTTTTATTAGCTTTTTATGTACCTATGTACTTAACTGGAAATTCGAGCGTGATTTCGGCCCACTTCAAAACGTCGAATTATATTGAAATTTCGAACACTTATTAAGGACCGATGACAATGAAATAACTTGATAAATATGGCCTATTATCCTGATATCCTGGTAGTGTCTCTTGCTACGTACTAAGAGGCATGTGCTGAAGCATATGCGACTTACAAACTTTTTAGTTTTTTAGTCTTAATGAGAAAGTAATCATCATTAATGTCTAAAAAAGTTAAACTGGAATTGACAAAACGAATAAAGTACCATACCCTCCCAATCCCAAACAATGTGTATATTGTTTTTCAAATTCTTAATAAAGTTAATTTACAGGTGACATGGAATTCCAAAATAAAGAACTCATGTTTAAAATATTTACTATAATTTACAGTAAATTTACACAGTATACTTTTTTATACTTTTACAAATGTCTGCTTAGGACTCCCTGATAATAGTCTTGTGCCGCTTTCATCCAACGATTTTCTATTCGACTCGACGACATCGACTCGGTTAATGACTTTCTATTAGTTAAAGAAACGAGACTAATAGTTAGTCTCGCTTTGTTTACTTAATCGTGAACAACGTTACAAATGTTATGTTAATCACTTTGGTTTTCCTATACATAATGTATGTAATCAAGTTACATTAATATCTCGTAAGACCTTATTAAACCTTCATCTGGCTGTACATTAGCGGAAGCGTCAATATTAGACTTCTTAGGTATGAGAAGACCATAGCGAAGATGATATAAACTACAATAACTGTATCTAGACAATTTAAACAATAATGTACCTATAACTTATTACAAACTTTAATTTTACCATACCCATACAAGTAACACTAATGCCGTATTCGGTACTTAATAATAAACTTATGAACAAATCATCAAATATGTACGTAGTAATTTTTATTATGCTAAAAGTCAATTTTCTTTCTGGTAGCTATTCTGGCTTCTGGATTTTCAAAAATAGTTTTCCATAATCAATCTGATCGCTGCAGCTATCATGGCACCCGCAACTCCAGTCACGTGAGCATTACACGTATTGTTCCAATCCGTAACATTTCGTTTTATATTCTGTGATTCGGTAGTTGTTTGAGGCACAGTAATTTCTTCGTACGGTCTTGTTAAATTAAAACAACCATATTCCGTTTGAAAGTCAAGTATCTCGTCTATCCATGATCGGCGTAAGAACTGGGCGTGACCTTCAATGCTACAAAGGGTCGCTGAAACAAAAATGTGAAAATTATAAATAAATAACTTTTTATTTTTTTGAAATGGGGAAAAAAGCAGAAGGGTCATCCTATAGTAAGGTATTGCCCCTGACGCCCATGGACACCTGACCCTCCAAACACAGAAGTGTCTCAACTCATGGAGTACTCCCACATCCCGTTTTAAAGGGAGGTGTTGGGAGCTCGCTGAAAACCAAAGAAACTTATAACCCATTTTCAGTTATTCTTCTGGGACTTAGACACGAAATAGCTTTACAAATCTAAATCAAATTAAAATTTACAAAAACAACTATTTCTCGAAAATATGATCCTTGCTTAAATTACTTCGAATCCAACACTGTATGAATCCTTGAAATAAATACTCCTTCCTTAAATTAATTTTAATCTACTGCGATTAAACTAATACCTTTTAGTTAAAAACCCTTTTTAGTGTTAACAAGTCGGCCGCCGTATATCAACTGACTAGATCACACGCAATCTTAGCTCGTGCCATTATTAACCGGAAGTAGCACGTGCTCTAGTGAAATATTTTAGACATTAATTAAATTAGCTAATTATTAATACTTTAGCTCTTTTTGTTTTTTAAAGCAAGAAAGTAGTAGGTAGGTAGGTAATAAGTTAGTATGTTTAGTAATTAACAGTAGTGCTAGCACAAGAATCCTAATTAAAGCAAATTGAATTTTTAAAAACATGTCAAATAAGTTTTAAAAATAATTTAAATGTACTCACCGTGTTCCATAAATAAATCAGGCATACGGAACTCATGGTTGGCGATGTACTCAAGCTCATTATACATCTTTGCACACATATTGTCCATGATTTGTTTATCGTCTTGCACGGACATTATAACACAAGTGCGCCAGTACCGAGCTCCCAACAGGAACAGTAACCTGAAATGAGTCATCGTCAACCGTATAGTTACAAGTTTCTTTAATTAATTACTTGTAAACGATATAAGAATATTCTGTCAATGTATGTTTACTACATTTCAGATGCAGTATACATTAATACGTAAAAACAATGTACTTTCCGGTAACAGCCAGGCCGAGTGACAGGTACGGGAGCCTGATATGCTGTATTATTTACAATCCCCAACATAAGCAACCTTATATTTTTTATACTACTACTTCTTAAATACCTTTCCTTCTAATTTACTCTCAATTTGAATAGAGAGTAGTCACGGTTGATGGCACTCACGACGTGAGTGTTAAATACTGGCCTGGTATTCTTTAGGACACACTTGCCATACATACATAAAACATTTTCCATACCTGTGTGCTATTCCATAGCCATAATCATAGCCTTTGAGCATCATTTTAAGGCAATTGTAGGGCACTTGGCAGTGAAAATATTCACTGTGATACGTTATTGGATTCTGAGAAAGCAGGTTCAAACAATGATCTAAAATAAAATAAAAATATTTCAATTTAAAAAACATAAAAACAATAGTATTAGCCTACTTTTATATATAAAAATAAAAATGTTACGTGTGCTTGTGTACGCTTCAAAAACTCAAAAAGTTCTTCAATTGAGCTCAAATTTTGACATGGTAAACAAACTACTTCAAAGATGGTTTTATCTACTTATTTTTATGTCAGTTTTGTTACTTATTTCTCCTCAGCGAAGCGTGGCAAAGTACAGCCAGTTTGATATATGTATAATTGATTTAAAGGGATCAGGAACTGAAATTATTAAAAACAATAAGAAGGAAGTAAAGTGTTAAAAATCTTTTTGACGTCAGGAAACTACTAATCAGAACTAAAATTTATTCATTTTACATACATACTAATAAATGAGCAAAATTACATAAGTTAGCACAGCCGAAAGATTTACCTATATTTATTAAGATCGCTTTAATATAATGTTGTATATGTCGTGATAAAATATAGTATACTGTATTTTTCATCTCTTTCTCGTTTTTGCCCACTATATCAATAATAAACAAAAGGTAGAACTAGAGTGAAGAGGATATATATCGCTTAAACCCTACAGTCGGATTAATCTACTGCCATGTATACAGTTAGAACCGAAAAGACACGAATAGTTAAATGAACAAATAGACTTTCATGTCTCCATATCCACTTACCATATAGGAAGAAATAAATTATAATTCAGAAATATTAAAATAAATAGACATCTAATAAAATGCAAGCAATACTCAAGCAGAGAATCTGAAAACATCAAAAAATAATTACACACACACAATATACTTAGAGACGAAATCCCAATATAAAATACATTAAAAAAATAATATGATGACAGACAACTAATAAAAATAGATAAAAACAAATAAAATAATATTAGAATCAGTATAAGAACAAAAAATCTACATCGATATGAAAATTAATTTTCAAATCAAGAATAACACCTTAATATTAATTATTTTGAAGAGAAGATTAACAGGCATTTAATAGAAATGAAATTAAAAAGAAATCCAATTGTAGTACGTTTGTCAGGTCAGGAATCCATAATGCCTATCTACATTTACGGGAGCGCTTTAATTTTAACAGGTATATTTAAAATAAACTCAATGTATATATTACCAGATTCCTTTGGAGTTGGGTATCCATTCATGAAATCAAAAACTATCTGGTTGTATTTTGGCCATTTGAAATATAGTAACTCCAAATTTTTTCTTGAATAAAACTTCGTTTTCAGCAACAAGTCCGTATTAAACTTCTGAGTAAGCTTTGGCCATACTATGCTTCGATTAGGGTACAGATTTAATACTGAAAAAAAGGGAGTTATTATTATTTTCTGTGAAAATAATTAGAGGAAAATCATAAATATATATTAATATTATAAAGTTGAGGAGTTTGTTGTTGACGTATTAAGAATACAGAATGTCACGACCCCTATTCATCCCGTGGGTGCCGTAAGAGCCGACTAAGGGAACTAACTACGCAGGACGACAGCACTGCAAAGAGAAGGAAAACTTGACACAAACCCTACACCAACCCGTCTAGCCAGCGTGGTATAGTAGGCCAAAACCTCCATTTTAAGGAGAGGCTAATGTTCAGCAGTGGACTATTATAGGCTGTTGATGTGATGATGTGATGTGATGTGAGGAGTTTGTTGAAGATTGAACGCGCTAATCTCAGGAACTACTAATTGGAATTGAAAATTTAAATTAGTGTTGGATAGCGACTATAAGCTACAACATCATGCATTTGCAGAAACATATAAATAACAGTGGCAAATTTATGAAAAATGTTGCACAAACGGTGAATATTGTGCATTATTTGCAGACAAAATATCGTTGGTCAGCTAGTAGTATATAATTAATAAAGGACACAAGTAATTCGGCATAAATATTTGTAAATCACCCAATTTTCAATCCAGTGTGGAAATCTAACAACATTCGGCGCGGAATGTTGCACTACCACCTACTATTACGCTATTCATACAGTTATAAAAAAAATTATAACAGCATCAGTAAAAAACCCCCAACACAAAAAAAAAACTTAAAAAACCAACAACTGATCATTGAGACTGTTCTTGTAAGCCCAATCATGTCATATGTGCTGTAATTTTCTGAGATGGCTATCCCACAGACTACTTACTGCAGCAGTAAGTTCCAGGTTACCATGCCGTGAAAATACCATCACAGTAACAATATACCAAATTTCAGATCAATCGGACCTGTGGATTTTAGTGAGATCCTTTCATCACCTAGGAAGTGAGCTGATGATGTTCAAAATTTGTAGCTAATAACCATCTCTATCACATCGGCTTTAGAACAAAAAATTCGCATCGAAATTGGTCCATTCGTTCGGGAGCTGTGATGCCACAGACAGACAGACAGATACACAGATACGCAGGGACACAGACACACAGGTTAAACTTATAGCACCCATCTTTTTCCGTCGAGGGTTATCATCATCATCATCAACAGCCTTTAATAGTCCACTGCTGGACATAGGCCTCTCCTTAGAAAGGAGGCTTTGACCTACTATACCACGCTAGCCGGGTTGGTATAGGGTTTGTGTCAAGTTTTCCTTCTTTGCAGTGTTGTTGTCCTGCGTAGTTTCCTCCTTTAGTCGGCTCTTACGACACCCACGGGATGAATAGGGGTGGTGACACTCCGTATTCTTAGTCCGTCACCACACGGAGCGTCGAAAGTTATAAAAAATCAAATCATAAATATAATAAATACTTACAATTGGCTAAAACATTTGAGCCTGTTACTGAAGAATTATTGTTACGAGATTTGGTAAAATGTAGTACAATATCGTCATTTGTCTTCACCAGGTGCATCATACGAACTTGTTTTTGAAAGGACAAGAAATGGCCCCGCGTTTGCACTATATTTCTTAAATTTACTGCAATAATAAACGTTTTTGTATTAAATAAACAGGCATAAATCAATTACTCTCTTTACGTAAGTGTGTTCTAAAAGATTATGATTTTTATAAAATCTTTAAAATATTAACCTCAGGTAAGTGCTAGTTGATAGTTTAGTAAACTAGCAACAAAAATAAATTTGAATATCACTTAATAATTCACATATGGTATTAGGGTTAACATCTCTCAAAATCCCTTCGACTCTCTCAAAATAGTTTAAACTAAGAACTTTCAAACCCACTCTCGTCTTCGATATCTCATCTTATGGAATGGTTCTCATTCTTTAAAAATATTCATATTATAGACAGACACAATCAAATGACACATAAATAGTTGGTTTATAAAGTCAATAGTTATTGTAACACAGATAGATGAAGACAATACGATACCCCACTGAAAATTACAAAACATTTATTAGTAACATATTTAATTACCTCACTGTGAAAAATCATCATAAATCATTTTCTTGGACGTTATTCATTTAGATTGTTCGACATAAGGTGTTTTATTTTATACATAATTCTTATTGCTAGAATTTATGATGGCGGTCGAATTTCGTCTGGTTTTATTTCATTAACTAGTACAACTTGAATTGTCAGGTCTTTATAATATGTTGATCCCTATTACTTTATGTAGCCGTTTTTACGCTATATTTTTATCATAATTCCCCATATTCAAAGTTTCCAAAATTCACATTTTTGTCGGTGCTTTTCCCAAAACAAAATTGCACATAAAAAAAATCTCCTCCTGTATATTTTTAGTTTACTAGTAAGCAATAACCAATGATTTAGTCATTTAAACCCATGACTCCTTAGGGGTTTTGTGGTAAAATAATAGGATCTATAAAAAATATTGCTTCAGCTTATCTACATGTAAATATAGAATGTATTTTAATATTAATTATTATATCAGTGTAATCATTTGCATCTGTTATAAATATAAATTAACTTATATATCATTACTTTTTTCAAGGAAATATCGTATTCCTCATCAAAAAGTTACCATTATAATAGACTCTAGCAAATTCTTACCGTTGATTAAATAGATGCCAAAACATAAATCAATATCCACGTAATACCGATGCCCATCAACGAAATACACAATTCTTTCTAATATTGATAAATATTTATCCAAATCATTTTTCACGGGTAAATCATCAATTATTTCCATTTGTTTGTAATTGTAAGTTACTTGTTGTGATGTGATTATGCGCCACATCATTAAAATTGTAAATAAACGTAAATATGTAACTTTTTTAGACGGTATAACTGATTTGTACGGCATTATTACTATCGCAAGTACTTAAGGTTAACTTTAGACGTTCTTTCAGCGTCTGCACTCAATGAAATACTGACCGGTTTTCCTCCATCGCGATTGTTTTTATTTGCGGCTGAACTTACTTATGACTATCTTTCTACCTACTTTATACTTTTCAAGAGAGTGATCTAGACACAATAGCTGTTTTTCTCACATGAATGTGTAAATATCACACTCTGACCGCGTTTGTTTGTGGGGGATTAGAACAATTATTTTATACTATAACTGGTGTCTTCGACATCGTCTGCATAGAAAGAAAACTATAATAGATATAAGAGATGTATAATATATTTTTTTGTGGTAGTTACACTTACAGGAAAGTATCTGGTCTCGACATGACTCAAAAATGGTTGTGACCTCCGCATAATGTCAATTCTAGGAAGCCTTGCCGGCACCTAGTGAAAGACACGGAAAGTGAGCATAGACTGAGTACTTAGAGTATTCTATTTTTCATCTAAAATACATACATATGTTTAATAAATAATTAAATCAATAACTTTGACAAGTGATTCTTCTCAAATGGAATCTTTCAGTCCAATTGCCCTCCCTCAGGTTTAAGCCTATGTCCTTCTCTAAAGTTCTATTTACCTTTGCGTAAAAAAGCACAAATTTAGTTTAGGCGTAAAAATGCAAAATCTTTCGCATTTATAGTGGGCATTAAGTATAGATGAAATCTAGTTTTTGTCACTTCGCGTAGGTACGAACGGAATTTAACAATAAATGAGACTATTGTTGACCAACAATCCAACCTCAGAAATGGTATACCAATAAAATGGTAAACAAGTATACTACATTTTCCCTTTACCATTATATAAAGATTGACTTAAGATTCAACACCACTAGTGAGCTTGGCGAGTGAGTCACATCTAAAATAAATCCTTTTCAAACGAACGAACTTATTAAACTAAATTTAATATAATCTAAGATACTACAGTTTGTTAATATACATTACAGTACATAGTGCTTTAAATATCGTACTTATCTACTCTTTACAAACATATAGACCCTTTTTTTTCCGTGCGGAAATCCCCTCGGATACCACCAGATGGGTGGCATGTCGGACTCGAACCGACTAAAACCGCACGCCGTCTCGGGTACTAATAGCCGGGGAACCAGGTATACCCTAGAAAGGAAGTCCCTGGTGCCCCGACATACTTCGGGCCATCTACAACAAGTAGACGACCCCCCCCCGTGTGGGAATTCCATGTTCCCTCTGCTCCCTGGAAGCGAGCGCGCTTCGCAACGCGCTCGCCGCCACCCCGGCCTGCTTCTGCTAGGGTGACAGATGGCCTCACCTGTCACCCCCAGGCTTGCGCTTATGGAGGACGGAGGTCGTTCTGCGACCTCCGGCGCCTGAGTCGCCTGCGGTACCTGGCCCGTTCCCGGGCCTGGCGGGCCGGGAGAGTCCTAAACCTCTCCCGGTCCCGCTCCGCCGTCTCCTGCGCGAGCATAACTTGCTCGCAGAAGGAGACGGCAGAGTTCCACGCACTCTCGCTCCGCACAATAGCCGCAATCTATCGAGCGAGAGAACTCCCACTCCGATGGCCGCCACGAGGTCTCGCCTCTGCTCAACCCACACCGGGCACTCTGCCAGCGTGTGGAGAGCCGTGTCCACGGTCTGGCCATCGCAGTGGTGGCACTCAGGCGTTGGCTCCTTGCGGATCAGACACAGGTGATCCCCGAAACATCCTTTCCCAGTGATCTCCTGCGTCAGTCGGTATGAGAGGGTCCCGTGACGCCTCTCGAGCCAATCCTCCATAACGGGTCTTACCGCCGCGATGACGGCGTGCCCGGCGCTCGGTTGCCCGAGTCGTTCCTTCCACTTCGGGAGTATACCTACCTAAAATAATTTTGAAAATCGGCTCACAATTGACGGAGATATCACCTAACAAACATAAAAAAAAATACAGTTGAATTGAGAACCATTTTGAAGTCAATAAAAAATTAAATGTATATTCGCTACTGTTTTGTTTTATCAAAGGTAACAAGCAAAAGACAACATTTATGTATGTTATGTACTCACATCTGTGTACATAGTAGACTTAGTAACATAATTATGTGATGTAAAATAAGTATTTTTGTGCCATGGGCTTCAACGACATATAAGCCTTTTAGCTTTAGGCTGAGATCATCAATCATCAATCATTCATTATGATCAATCATTCCGTCAAAAATACAACAATAGCTCAAATTCAATTTTCATAATCATATTTCTTTAAGTGTTTCTGAATTATTTATGAATACTGAGAAACTCTAGTGTTTAATAAAACATTCATATGGATAATCTTTGTGTGAAATCTTATAAAATAACTATAACAATGAACGTCACGATAACTAAAATCAATAATGACCAAAAAAGTTATGAGTAATTAAGCCGAAGAGGTTGTGCGTGTGCGTATTGTGGAATAACTATCACTGTTTTACTAAATGAACGTTAAACATATAATGTCTCTACAAGAATCATCAAAGGGTACTTTGACCGTTCAACATTTGCTGTGACAGCGTCAAAAATTAAATGGATTCATTCATCACTCAAGATATTCAGTTCTCTCGAATTTCTAAAGTTTATTTATGTAATAAACACAGAATCTTGATAGGGTCGGCGTGTTTGTATGTCTATCGAGTGTTTTTTCCATAGAACCCTTCAAAGTTTTTTATTGTATTTTTCGAAGAATAAAAATATAAGAAGAAGAATATAGATTTTCTTCTTCTATTCTTCTCTATCACTCGTCAGTTCCCTGCTCACCCACTTTCTAGAATTATGCTCTTTCACACAGTCCATTTATCTTAGCTTTAGTAGTTAAAAGTTATATATGGAAGTTATATATAAAGTTTTATGTATGGAAGTTGACGGATATAAAGAGTATAGGTACTCTTTATATCCGTCAACTTCCATATATAAAACTTTCTTGAATAATTTGGTCATTTTTCTACGCATCTCATGTTCATACTAGCATAACATTTGCTTCTCAACTTTTCATCCACTGGTGCTACTTACCGGCTTCCTCTGGTATAGTAATTCCTTACCTTGTCCATCCTAGTTACATCACATATCCATCTTATCATATGCATTTTAGCTAGATGCAGGCGTCTCTCATCCGTAAAAGAATAAAAAAAAATAGGTACATAAAGTAAAGGTCAAACAATGAAATTCTACACGATGTAGCTATATTAAAATCTATTGCTGCGATTTGTACGGCTTTCGAGTAAATTACTGTGGGGATAAGCTCTAAGTGAGCCCCGCAGCGGGAGACCATCGAGTTTTGAGATTTGCTTGTCCTCTATAAATAAACTTTATGTGTAATGAAATATGACAAAGCGCTTCTTATCTGTGGCTTAAAATGTAAGATGTCTGTTAATAAAACAAACGAAAAGAGAAAGAAAGTTAATTAAATTTATTTGAGTTCAAAAAATTACTTTACTAGAAATATAAATGTAATGTACAGATTTTAAGCGTTTTTTTTTTAATTGTAAGTATATCTGTCTTAACGCAATAAACTCCTAAAGTACCGAACAAACCAAATATTTTTTACAACTTTATCTAAGTTACTAGTATGAAACATTTAGGTATATAGTTCATTAAATTTTAAATATACAAATACTATTTGCTTGATTCCCACTAAGACAAATATTGTGTGTTAAGCAAGGTCATATGTTCATATAGGTCTAATACTTATGTATTCAGAAATATATAAGAACTTTTATTTAGAAATATGCTTGTATCCGTTGACAGCCAGAGGCGGTCTTTGGGGGTGTCGAGCAGGGCAACCGCCCGGGGCCTTACTCATGCAGGGGCCTTCCGCACTCGTGAAACAATCCAATTTCACCCTAGCCCTCGCATTATAAAACTCACGTTACGCTACTCACGCTCTTTTACGTGGACTACCACGCTAGAGACCGCGTCGTATCGTGGTATTTGCGATTTACCTATGTTCGGGGATTTCCCGTGTTTCATTTCGCCTGTCATTTTGACCGACCGTCAGTGTCAGCTGTTGTCTACTTATGATTTTGTGTTCGAGCAGTCGCATGAGTTAAGTTGCATTTTAAAGTAAAACTTCTTTACGCACGCGACTTTCGGAGTAAGCGGAGGACGAAAGCGTCTCGCATTCACCAGCTTATGAACGAAAAGTGTGATCGGCGAACGGAAGTTGGGAGGGAGATATAAGTTAGTGAAGATAGGAACAGAGAGAGTTACGTTTAGTATATTACTGTACGGGCAAGAGAGAGAGGTGCGAGCACACATTTTCTTTCTCTCATAGCCAATAAGTTTTACTTCAGTCGTGTGGTCAAAACTACACTCTTTTTTTATTTCAAGTATCATCATTAAATTTTCAAGTATCATCATTAAAATTAAAATTAATTCCAAAAAGACAAGGGCCTCGCAATGATTAACCCACCCGGGGCGTCGCCATGCCTAATGCCGCTACTGTTGATAGCAATAGGCTTACCTCTTATTATGTAAGTGGTATTAAGATTATAGTCAGAAAACAGAGGACTTAAAAGTCCTTATAAATTTTTTGGGGATAAATACCTGAGTGTAGGCATTGGGCATGGAATAAAATCATAGTGAACTGTGATTAATCATCACGAAGGTTAGGGTTGCCAGTGTGGTATAGTTGGCCAAATGTTGATAAAATGAGGGCCAACTTGTAGTTTTACTTGCGTGTGTAGCGTTAATATATGTTAACTATGTAGGCATAATATGCTCTGCTATCCGTACGAAGCCGTAGCTTCGGAGCTGAAAAAATGCATAGGAGATGAGATATTTAAAGATTAGAAATATATAAAATCATGTACGTAGAGTGCCTTTCTCATTTAATATATTTGATGGTTCACTGCTATTTCTTTTTTAACTCGCTGTCCTTGCATACTCGTATTATAAAATGAAGTCCCCGGCCGCCTCGGTCTGTCTGTATGAACCCAATAAACTAAAAAGTTCCGAACATATTTTTGTACGGTTTTCACCAATAGATAGTGTGATTCCTGAGGAAGGTTTAAGTGTATAATTGATGATGGTTTAATGTAAATTGATTGAATAAGCAAACAATTGCCAAATACCAGGTAAATGCCGTAATAGGATATTTTTACTCTTGTATTGTAGGTAACGAACACTATGTTGTAGTGTAACGTTATGGCTATCATATGGTATTTAAGTTGCGGGAGATATCGAGACAATTTATTTTCTCAAACATAATTTCTGGATTTAATAATTAATCAGGCATGATATGCAAACCGAAGCGTCGGAAGAACTTTAAAATGTACGGCAAATCCCTTCACGTCGCGTATTATATTTTCGCCTTAAAACTAAGAAAATATTTAATGTTTGTATAAAAAATACAGTGGTTTGATACTTTATATTTTATTTTTAATATCTAATCAATAACAACATAAATGAAGTATTAGGTAATAGATTTATGAGTTATGTCTTTACATAGACGACACTTCATTACAACAGACAGAAATTTCAACGCCGATATTCTTTTCAGCGGATTTTTTTTATCAACATCGTCATCATCAGCATCAGCCTATCGCAGTCCACTGCTGGACATAGGCCTCTCCTATTGCACTCCACTTCGATCGATTTTCGAATTCTTTTATGATTTATTATACTTACTTGTTTGTATGTTCATATATATACTTGTTCACATATATCAACCAAGCTGAACATTATCAACATAGGCCCGGAGGCGACATTTGTCACATCCAGAGCTCAAACTATTATTGATCTAACATTAGCGAGTGAGCACTCATCGCAAGACATCTCGAATTGGCATGTTTCAACCGAAGCATCGTGCTCGGACCATCGTTGGACGTAGCATAACAGATGTGATGGAAACGTGGGAAGACAGGAAAAAAAAAACAACATGCGAAACACACTGGGAGACGGCCCACAAGGTTGTAAACCACAACTAACTTAGATGGGCAATAAACCGCTTCCTTCCATTCAAGGCGCCAGCACTGGATGGTATCTTCCCAGGCCTGGTAAGATGGTGTAACATGACGCTTCTGGATCACCTTGTGAAAATCTATAGAGGCTGCTTGGCACACCATTACATCCCCTTCTTCTTATTAAAGGTTCTTGAGAGGCTAATGGATAGGGAAGCTAATGGATAGCCAAGCTCTATCTAGACATGGTGTTGATTCTAAAATCTGAGGGTGGATGGACGGCATGTTAAGATATAGAGCTATTCAATTTACTGTGAGCGAAGTGACCAGGGGGGTGTGGACCCCTTCTGCGAAACATTGTTGTGGATGAATTAATCACACAACTCAACGACCGTAGATTCCTCACAATAGGTTATGCAGACCATCTGACTATCTATCCGATTAATCTCTTCTCAAGGAAAAAAAGGAACCAATGGAAAAAATCCGAAAGTTTTTAATTTTGTTGTTGTTCATGCAAACAATATTTTTTGCGCGATATTGCAAATAGTAACTTGCACTTGGAAGACTGAATGAGTAGAGCATTGTTACTTTTATGTAGTAAGTCAAGTTTTTCATGCCGTTTAAATAGACCTGCCTTTCGACTCCCGAGACAGGTAAGCTATATAAGTACATTTAATTTTACACAAATTTGGACAGAGTCCTTGCAATGCGATTGTCGATCTCGCTTTTGGCCTTGGCCTTGATTGCCTTTTTTATTACTACAATAGGTTATCAATACCTAGGTCACAATAGCTAACTATTGGTTGGCAATCGATCGGCAATCGGTAATGGTTTAGAAGCTGTGATGCTGATGAAAACTAAACCTTCCTTTTACATTGATGACTAAAAATTTGTAGAGATATTAATAGCTGATGAATTGCATTCACCGCCACTGCCTGTGTGCGATGCGTTGCAATGCGCAAGTGACTTTTGCGACTGCTAATTTTGATGTTTTATTTTCAAATTTTTCTAAAGAGCAGTACCATATCAATAGTTTTTTTTTTAATTCGTTTAACGTAGGAACTAAAGAGACTATAATAAATCTGCCTCTGTCATAAGTACTGTCCAAAACACCGAATTAAATTCTTTGCTGACCACAACACGCGCGCAAATTGTATTTTCTAAAACTCTTTTTACAATAGGCACTTTTGGTGGCAACCCTGTAACTGTCAAGGAGATTTGCCAACTTAGTGCATTTTCCACTAAAAGTGGTGGTTTCAACCCTCCTTTTAGTGGCAAAATATAGTGGTAAAAGTAAGATTGCAGAAGACTTAGGAAATGCTGTTGAAAGATGAACTGTGAGACTGTTTGTGTACGTAAACCTCAAGAACGTTTAATAGGAAAGCAAGGATGGGGATTGGATAGAAGTGCTCAGGAAGAGAAGAATTAATTTTAAGCAATGCGATGATGTAGGCTTTGTACCAGAGAGTGGAAAAGGTTTCAGAGTTGAGAAAGAAGTCAATAATGTTGCCTATAGCTTCAAGGCCTTAACTATCATACTAAGTCTTGCAAACCATTCCGTTACAACAAACAGACAGGTGATTTATTTAAAATCCCTAGAAGGCTCAGGAGAATATTCAAATTTGATTGTATTAGGTCTGGGCAGACTAGCGATATAATTTAGGGTCCGATTTTATGTTTAATGACCCGGTTGAGTAGCAGTAGAGAAATGAAGATTGATATTATTCAAACCAATGAAACTCGGCCTGTTGTTGTCCACCAATTTACAACGTGTTAGTTATTGCAAAGATGCCCAAGGGGCTAAGGGACTTTGACATTTGAGGTATTAGTGACCTTTGGTATTACTTTCCTAATACTGCCTCATTTCAACGCTGATGTTGAGTTGAGAGACTATATATATATATATATAAGCAGATAAATAGAATGAAATTAATTTTTTTATCTGCTATGTAAAGCATAAACTGTGGTTTGTAGTTGGAAGAAAGAAAGAAAAAGAATGCTGCAATAAATGTGAAATTGCAGCAAACGTTGTTAAAGAAATCGGTACTAAAGAATCCTATTAATCTGGAACCGACGGTGATGGTGCTGACAAAAACGATTAGTATCGGTATTAAATTTTAATAAAAGAAACCAGTTAAGGTCTACTGGTAGAAAATGCCTACGGCATTAAGTCCGCCTGTGTCACATTTGTGCATAAAGTATAAAATAAAATAAAATAAATAAAATATTACACTTATGGTTTTCTATTATAATTAGAAACGGTTTTTGTTGGTGGTTTTAGATGTTGAATTTGAGGGAGAGTTCATTTAACTCCTGGCAACACTGCTGTCAAGCCATCACCCATTTTGAAGTATCATTCTGAATTGTTGTCATTCGTGTTTCTTGATTCAAATTAGAATAACTTTAAGAAAACCATGGGTTTAGCTACCGTAATTGAAAGTGAAACACATTTCCAATCGGAAATGGCCAATGCTGGCACTAAACTCGTCGTAGTAGACTTTACAGCTACTTGGTCAGTATAACCTGAATTTAAAAAATTCAAGTCATCGTGTGTGTACTGTGACTAAATAATTAATGATGTTGTGTGTAGGTGTCCCCCCTGCCAACGGATCGCACCAATCTTCGAGCAGTTGCCGGCGAAGTTTCCTCGGGCGGTTTTCCTAAAAGTTGACGTGGATAGATGCGCAGAGACCGCCAGCGCCCAGGGCATCTCCGCTATGCCCACATTCATTTTCTACAAAAACCGAGTACGTTGTCCACAGCTTATAAAAGTGACTCACATAGTCTGTTTTATAACATTTATTAAGATTATTGTTATTATTATAATGCATTACCGTAATAATCTGTCAATATCTTTTATTTTCTTTAACATTGAGTAATCAGAAACGTTTTTTTTTTCATTATAATTATGTTACTATTTCCAGACAAGGCTTGACCGGCTACAAGGTGCAGACCCTGCTGCACTAGAAAGCAAAGTTAGACAATATTATGGAACTGATGAAGCAGGTGATGAGGAAAATGCAGTTGCCGGACATGTGTGTATCTATTCAACAATAATGTACCATCAAAAATATTTAGAAAAGCAATCTTGTTGATTATGTTTACATAATGAATTTGTTTTCTAGATGGATTTGGCAACTTTCATTACCAAGAGTGAGTGTGAATGTCTGAATGAAGCTGATAATCATCCTCTAGCACACTGTCTGACTAGTGGGGGTGGTTATCTCGCCAGCGACTGTGATGAACAACTCATCATCAATATAACTTTCAACCAGGTAGGATTGTTTTAGGGATCCGTACCTCAAAAGGTAAGAAAGGAACCCTTATAAGATCACTCTCACCTCAGGAACGGGTAGACCTAGCAAGTTGAAATTTTTACCAGATACTGAGGTTTATGGGTTTAGGTGTATAAAGATAAAGGTCCTGAGTCACCACTATAAAAAGATATAGGCAAATTTCTATTTTTGCGAAAACTTGTACCTAAATTACTTTAATTTTCAACTTTTTACATTTTTAGAATTTCTCTTTACTTGTTCTGTAAGACCCTGCTTTTAACCAAAATTGACAATTCTAGGTCAATCGGAAGTACCCTATAGGTTTTGGGTCGAAAACCTATATGGTAGTTCCCGTTGACCTAGAATCATTAAATTTGGCAAAAAGAAACGTCTTACAGCACAATAAAGGAATAATTCCAAAAAATAAAAAATGTTGAAAATTAAGATATATTTTGGTACTTACAAATTTTCGCGATAATCTATGTAAAATCTGGGTAGGAACGGAACCCTCGGCTCACGAGTTCGACTCGTACCTGAGCGGTTTTTTATTCTCTCATGTTCTCCAAGAGTATTTTTTGTTTTAAGATTATTGTTTTGTAACTTGATTATTGTATTGTTCTGTAAGAGTATTGTTTGTAGTAAAATGCCATTAAAAGTATAATAAGTTATAATATCCTTTGCTCAGGTCTTTAAAATGGCTTTTATATGCTCCTTGAAATAGTGAAAAAAAAAAACGTTGCACTAATTATTTCACCCATATTAATTTAATAATATTTTATATTTCAGGTGGTGAAATTACATTCCCTAAAAATCAGAGGACCAGCAGACAAGGGACCCAAGTCAGTCAAGATTTTCATCAACCAGCCAAGAACATTAGACTTTGATCAGGCCGGTGGCAACTCATCCATACAAGATCTTGAGTAAGTAAAAAAAGTAAATAAATAACTGCCAGCAATTCATATTTTCTGTCACAAACTGTAATGTTTTCAATTTTTTTATTCTTTTTCAGCTTATCACCAAGTGATCTGGAAGGCAACCCTATTCCCCTAAAATTCGTGAAATTTCAAAATGTTCAAAACATTCAGTTGTTCATAAAAGACAATCAGGCTGGGGATGAAGTGACACAAATTGATCATCTTGCATTCTATGGATCTCCAATTTGTACTACTAATATGGGAGAATTCAAGCGTGTTGCAGGGAAAAAGGGGGAAAGTCACTAGCAACACGTGTTCACTAGAAAATAGTTCAGTTTCAATGTGTTCAATTATTGCAAGTATGGCTTATAATTGCTCAAAGAGATGAGTATGGATGTTGCACATTATAAGACTAAAGCATTTGAATACCCTCGCCTTACCTACATAGTAGTACTTTTTTCTAGCAATGTGTACAAAAAAAACTGAACTAATTTCTATACAAGAAATGAATCAATCATTTCTCAAACTGTGTCAAATAGTAAATGTGAATTTTATAATATATTTTTGTCTCATAATGAAATATGGTATTATTCATAATTATTGTTTTTAAGTGTAAAGGTCATTCCAGGACCACAGTTTGTTAAATGGGGAACTTAAATAGCAGGAATTTGTATATTCAATAAAATAAACATACACAATGTTCTTATATTTAGTTTTATTGACACCTTAATCCTGTTTTAGCTCATAAATTTGAATGTATGCTTCTGTAAGAGTGATCATTTGCGGCAGTATACTGGTTACATGAAGGTCTTGCATTTCATACCTGAAAAAAAAGGAATAGATAAACCCTCTAAAACTCTATAGACATTCAATTTCTTTTTAAAAATTTAATTGATATAAAATGCAAACTAATAACTAAACTCTACTGATGATACTGACCACTGTTGTGTAGGTTTATGGAGCACATGCGCCCTATATGTACCCTTCTCTGGCATACCGTCGTGTAAGATGTTGCCCACTAACTCGTATACCGTCTTGCCATTGTACTTCGCTTTTACTTCAGGAGTGAGAATATCTCCGAAATCAACGTTTCTGTAAATTACATACATGGTCAAACCTTTCCTGAGCAATATAAATATAAAAACAAAGGAGAAAGATATCCAGACGTGTCATCTCATAATTGTGTTATAAGTCCGATCATTTCTCATGTGCCTGGGCTTCTGAGTGTAATTAATTTATAATACCTATGCATTGATTTGGGTTTATAAAAAGGGACGGAAGTATGTAACAGGAAACCTGGACAGCGCTCGATATTTGATTTGACCAATGAGCGCACGCGGTGATAGAGTTGGCTTTCAAATGAGAATGAGGTGAGATGCCAGATGTCATGTTACTACTGTAAGGCTCGCTGGTATCATATTTATATTAACTAAAAAGCAAATAAATATACTTACTTGACAGGAAAATTAACAACAGTTGGATTCTTTTCAACAAAGAAAGTGTTTTTCGTGAATCTTTTAATATACAATATCAAGTAGGGCGGGAGCTGAGTGATCTCAAATCTCTTCAGAAAGTTCTCTTTATATGTTTTGTTCTCTTTTGATGTTTGACCATTGAACTTTGAAAGTAACTGGTACAAATTAACCTGTAATGGAAAATATCTCTTATATCCTTACACAGTATGAAAAACTCTATGTGAGCGTCTGTATGTTCATGCTAATCTTAATATTATCTTTCATGTAGTGATAGTAATTATTTTGATATGAAAAGGACAAGTATAGCTTTGGAAGTATGTCACTTAAATCAAAATATATAAATTCCATCTACATACATTTTCATAGATAAAATTTGTAAATATTTTATATCGAGTAGATAATGAATGTTTAAAATTAAAATCTCTGACCACAGAGTAAAATCTATTAATGAATTGTGTGTAAACAGGCTAGGCTAGCTAGCTAGACTATCGCAGTCCACTGCTGTACAAAGGCCTCTCCCATTGCACGCCTCTTAATACGATTTTGGGCTTCTCGAATTCAGCTCCTGCCAGCCATCTTTCGCAAATCGTCATTCCACCTGGCCTGTGGGCGTCCTACACTAAGTTTGCCGAGACGCGGTCTCCACTCAAGAATTCGTTTTCTCCAACAGTTGTCGGTTCTGCAGCTAATATGGCCCGCACATTGCCACTAAAGCTTGCTGATCTGGTAGGCTACGTTGGTTCTCTGCTGGATCACCTCATTCCTGATGCAAAATTGCACTTACTTGTGGAATAATATTTTCTCTAAACTCGTCGGTAAAAAGAGGTGTAGGTGGTAGATCGCAAGTTAAGTACATGAAAGGTGATTCAGTAATCATTTCACTGTACTCTTCACTACTTAGGTCTACTTTTGCAGCTTCCTCTGCGTCTGGTGGTGGTAGCTTTCTGTATAGAGAAAATCGACGATGGTGAAATTGGTAATTTTAATTAGTCAATTCAATATAAACAGTTTTCATAGGATAGGTTTATCAAAAAAAAAAACAAGTCTTGGTTCTGCCCCCTTTAATTTCATTTGAATATATCCTGTGCCACAGGGACTTTACAAACATGAGACCAGACTCGGAACAACAATTTGTGGATAAAAAAGTGTTATTCCATGTGGGAATCGAACCCACAATACACAGCGCAGTAGGCAGAGGCGAGGTGACCTCTTAAGCCACTACGCCATCTTTACGTTTTAAGAGAGATTTCGGACTTTCTTGCCTATTAAAGAATAATAATGATTCTCTTTACCTTGTATATATCCTCATGTGTCCAAGAAACGATTTGTAGATAATAGAACTGTTTGGTTTCTTCGTACCATTGAGCGCCATATGCAGAGAATTTAAAAACCATGAGAGAAAATCTATAGGATCACCTAAAACATAAAGAATATTATAAATTGGATGAGTATTAAGATATGACATGAGTCCCAGTCAATGTAATGTCTTCCAGGGTTAACTTTGTAGGATAAAGACTGAAGTTACTGAAAAACATGATCGCGATTTCTATTTTGATCTTAAAAAACGATATATGTAATATTGGAACTATGATCGAATGTAGTTTATTTGAAAATTAAATAATTTTAGATTAGTTTCATAAATATTCGCCAGTTCCTTTGGGGATTAGCTCTACTCCTGTGAAACAATTTCTACAAAGATGGATACAGCCGAAGTCGTAAGAAGATTACTTACTCTGTTTGATAAACTGAAATCTCTTCTTAGACCACAACACTACAGCTTGAAGCATCTCGTGAGGCGACACATGTGCTTTAAAAGCTCTCGGATTCCACAGCTTACGAATCAGCTCACCAAATCGTTGCACCAAGAGGAATGAGGAATCGCCGGGCGGTCGCTTCACGTTCGCATAGTTTTCCTCACGGAGGAAATAGTTACGAAGTGGCCTTACTTGACATAAGCACTAAAACATACGTAATATATTATGATAACATACTGTGATTTGAATAGATTTTCGCTACTGAGAAACTATTATTAAGTATGTACTATGGTCGCAAGCCAAAATCGTATTACACATAATGTTGTATACACTACAGCAAACTCTTACTAGCATTTGATTTGCATTTTGCAAGCTAACATTGTATTTTAATGTCAAATCAATTTATTTTGTGAACATGGGTATGTAAGCAAGTAACATGGGTAAAATATTAAGGTGTTAAATATAAGAGTAGTACAATCAGCAGGCACATTCTTCCTCAAGGCATGCAAAAGTATTTACATCTTAGTCAGTTATATATTTATTGAGTTAAAAAAAGTTAACTCAACAATGCTCTGTCAATTTATGAAGTAATAATGTATACATATCAACAATCTCTTTTCAAAACATTTTTTTTTCAAATACTACCTATCACTCAATAACACTATAATTTCACTTAGCAACCAAGGTAATTTTTAATTTAATATAACTTTTTTTTAATATAAGATGGCAGTTAATTATAAATTTTAAGAGCAATACATTGTAAACTTTTATACATCATTTTTGTTTTTCACTATCAGCACTATATATTGTTGCGCCTATTTCTTTTTATAACATAAGACAAGCGCTCAAAATAGTTCAGGATTAGAAAAAGCATAGAGATTTAGGTGCCATGTATTTTTATTAACTAAGAAGATTAACACAAGCCTTTACATAGTATAAAATGAAGTCATTCTAATTCTTGTATGCTTAGATGTTTCAATCTAAGCAAAGGATTTCAATGCATATTCATCAATAAAGAAATTGATACAAGAGGAAGGTTCATATATGTATAATACATGCATTTTACACTCACACCACATTAGTATCAACATTGCACCCATGCTAAGGTGGGGCAGTTCACTAGTACTCTACAAATATATCTGAAAACAGCTAAGCATCCTCAACAAACACATGTGACTAAAACTGTAAAACCTTTATAAGAAAAAGGGTAATTTAAAACTATTCATTTACCTGTAAAATAACATTACAATAATCATTGGCCTTGATGTTATTAAGACCAACTATCCCAGGCATGTACATGGTGCCATCTATAGCTCTAGACATCTTGGTATTGTAATCCAACTGCTTTATTTGTTCTGGTGTAAAGATTGGGTTTAATACATACTTGATGTCATTCAGGGAGGAATCTGTAGAAAAAAAAAGATAAACAGGTTTGTTTTATGTAGTAATGGGTCTTTATAACACTAATGCCCTCAAAAGCAACACTTATAAATATAATACATTTAGACTAACAAGTTATTACAGTTACTGATAAATAAAAAAGCCAGAGACAGTATTTCTGGACTGATAGGACCTGCAAACCTTCAAGAAAAGAGTGTTTCCTTCCTTTTTTAATTTAAGCAGCAGAAACTTTGAACTCAAATTAAAACTCACCAATGACCTCATAGTTATCTGGCAAGCAGTAAAACTTTAAGGTATGAAGGTTTAAAAACACATGATGATCATCAGCCACTGAATGAGTATAGGCATGAGTGTTTGTACCTCGGCCCTGAAAATAAGAACAATTGAATAATGAGCAAAGATGACAAAAAAGTATAAATTATAAAGTTTTTCTTTTTGTTTAGCAGAACAGTTTTTAGGGCCACCCAAACAATAACAGAAGTAACCATGTATGTCTAAATACATTAATATTATACATAGAAAACACCTAAACTCAAGTATATATTGTTATTATGTTAAGATTTCTTTTATACTGTATGGTAACATATATAGTTGTAGATATAACTATTCTTTTACATAAATATAATTTTAACTTCAATAAAAACCTTGGAGCCTTGTACTTTAGAAAGACGTCACAGTAAACAGTGAGCAGTTTTATTGTGATGATGTTGTTTCTTTATCTAAATTGTTTAGTGCAAACTAATCAAATGAAAATATAAACATATCATTAAAGTAAGTCTTATAATAAAGTAGAAGTCATTTTTTGCAGTCTTAAATCTGCTAATTTCTAGTCCTTCCAATTGGCTTAAAAAAATAATGATTGTAGAATATTGTCAAATTTATTACTCATTGATAGGTACTAAAGGCTTTATGACATCATATTATATCATAAGAAGAAAAGGCAGTGACCACAAAGTGAGTTGCATACATTTTTAGGAAATATATTTGTGCAGAGAAAGTTGAAGGGTTAATTATGCAAATGAAACACAAATTATTGATACCCAAACAGTGGAGCAACTTGATGTAAAGTTACATTACATAACCTGTCCTCTGTGAATTTATATAATTACCAAATACGAACCCAGGAAAGCCTTAAATAATAATCGTAACGAATATGTTACTTAATTTTCTATAATTTGTTTGAATAAGATTTGTGTACATGAATTCTTTATATCTTATGTCTACTAAGTCCAATACGAAAAGGCAAAAGTACCTATTTAACTACTAAGAGGTTATTATATAAAATTGTATATGTACCTGAAAGTATTTCCCACAAACAAGGCAGGCATAAACATTGATTCTGGTCAGTGATACAGAACATAGCTTTTCAAAATCAAAATCCAGGACATGTCTGTTAATAGTGTCTAAATACGGGCACTGAATATGTATAGTTTTAGTTGGAGGTTCTGAAAATACATTACACGAAATGAATTAAACAGAACATTCCCAAAGAGTCAAGATATCGAAAATATTTATAGGTTATTTACCTGATTCTATTCCATTGCCTTCACTATTTTTTCGCTTTTGAGAATTTTTGATAGACATATTGTCTGAAAATTAATTATTAAGCTTTAGTCTGTTTAATATTTCAATAAACTTGACGACCCTTGTTTACAATAATATAAAGGCCAATCATACATTCACAGAGTACAGTAATATCGTAATATTACTAGCACAGAGTACATTGCATAGACAAAACACTATAAATCTAAGAGTACATTGTAATATGCTGAAATAGAGGTATATCTCAATCGCTTTTGGAGGAAATTACAAAACAACGCCATCTGTTAGGAGCGAGCAACAACTTTTTTCTTACTTCTCTTATTTGAAAGGATATATTTATACCTACATATCTATAATATAGGTAATACTTATTGCATACAGTATGGTTTATATTATGTACAAATATACCTATGCAATTAGAACTTTGTAAAATAAAACAATGTATAAAAAAAACGTTTATTTTCTTCTTTTCAAGACAACAACGTTTATTTAACAAATCTACATTTATCAATTTTATCATACAAAATAACTACCAACTCAATGTATAAAAAAAAATGGCAACATTTTATTTCCAAAAGTCATTTTATAATGATTCCAGAAAATAGTGATAAACGTTCCGGGATAATAAAAACTAAAACAACTCACTTTGTTTTATGCGGATTATACCGAAAGTAACGACATCTATAAGTATCAACTGGCGAAATTACATGACGTACACACGTATTATACGCCTAAATGAAGTGTACGTAATGTTGTTAAAATTTTAGAACAAATAAAAAACCATTGTATTTGGTTTCATTATTTTCGTAACATTCCAAGGATTGTCGACTAAGATTGTACCGCCTGATTACTAGAAACATACATTAGTCTTGAGTAGTTCGCGAACGATGAACGATTAGGAACCGCTCAGTTCCACTGACCGAATAGACATGTTTCATAAATGTAAATCGGTCATCGGTATTCGTTCACCACGTTCGGCCGCTCTCCACTGATACATGCGCGCTTAAATCAAACTGAACGGTGAACAGTTATGGGATCATAATGTTTCACGAGCGATAGTTCGTTTGAACGAATTAGAAGACTACGTTACTCACGATGTATTTGTGTGTATGGCTCGCGACAAAATAGCGAATGGCAATGTAAACCTTGTGTCACACAATATAATGGTTATTTTGGCATTACTTTACGTTAATTATTAGGGTTCCGTACCCAAAGGGTAAAACTCTATTACTAAGACTCCGATGTCTGTCCGTTTGTCTGTCTGTCTGTCCGTCTGTCACCGGGCTGTATTTCATGAACCGTAATAGTTAGACAGTTGAAATTTTCACAGATGATGTATTTCTGTTGCCGCTATAACAACCAATACTAAAAACAGAATAAAATAAATATTCAAGATTATTAAAATCGAAAAATAAAAATAAAACACAAATTGTATATAAAAAATATTGAATCGTTGTACATATTTGATTTTTAAATACGCTGCACTAATGAAAATAAGTAAACAAACTACCAACATTGTTTACGTATTCTGTTAGAAATTATAACCACCTTAAACCTAGAAATATTGAGAATATACATTAGAACGATAGTTCTAAGTAGTGATGTGCCGGATCGTTAACAAAGTATATCCGCGGATACGGATCCGAATACGGATATTTGGTGTCAAGATCCGCGGATACGGATACGGATACGGATCTTAAGTTTCTTACTCAATCGGAGCCCGTGACCTTGATAGTTGTCGCCACTTGACGCTTTGCCGTTGATATTTAAATATTTCATTATTTTAATAAGCTAATACAAAGATGTTTGATTGATCTCATTAAAAAGATAGCTCTTTATATTTTGTATAGTACGATAAATGATTGCAATACAAACGTGCCAAATATTTGTTTTAAGAAATAAAAAGTAATCTGAACAGAATTCAATAGTTTTTCATAGCTACCTAATAACCATTATTAAGGGTTATTTTAAATTTACTGAAAATTTCTGAAGTGCATTTTAGTAAAATTATAAACAACAACTTTTCTTCTGGACTAACACCGAAAACAAAAGAAAAAAAATTGTTTCTCCATACAAACTAACAACATTTGATTGGAGAACCAATTTTTTTTTCATTGGGCAGAAAAAAAAGTTGCTGTTTATAGTGTTACAAACACATACCTAAGAGTTTTACAGTGAATACAAAATCACCTATATAGAATTTCATCTATTTAATATGTATTGAAAGATCCGCCAAAAAAGTCACGGATACGGATACGGTTACGGATCTCTCTTCTCCCTTGGATATCCGCGGATACGGATACGGATATCCGGCACATCACTAGTTCTAAGCCTGTTAAAGGACAACTACAATACGAAATTAGATTTTTATTTTCATTTGTTTATTATTATTATATTGTTCGCTGCTTTCATTAACACCATCTCCACCGAAGTTTCATCTATTTAAGCAATGATCTAGTTCTAGTATGAAAGCTATGCAGTAAATACTTCACAGTTCACCGGAAAACAATTATAATATAATTTATCTTATCGACTAACACACTACTTGAAGGTGTCGGTCCTTGAAAGGGTAAGTATAAGTGGTAAATACCAAAGAACGTTTCTGTCTGAGCGATTTAAATACATAATATTTGGTTCCGAGGAGTGATTAGAGTTAAGGACCGAATAGAACTAATAGAACTATTACAGTGAACTAGTTCGGAGCGATCTTTGAAGTGACCGAGCAGGCACAAGACTAACATACATTACATCCAACTACTACAGAGTATAGACCACCGAGTACATTGGTATAGACATAGACCATAGAGTTGTGTAGCTCCTGAGTGAGTGATTTAAAAGATATTTATCATTCACGACGATAAAATTTATCACTCACTCACAGTAGCTCCGAATATATCAGTAACTCAGTACTAGCTCACTAGATCACTAGCTCAACGACGCCGATCTTTGTTTCATGAGCTAGTGAGACTAAAGATAAATGATTGAGATAGATGATGGTTGAGTTCACGCGTTTCTTTATGCAAAATGTCATTATTTCTATAGGATCAAAGTTTAAATAAACGTTTTATTTTACAAAGTTCTAATTGCATACGTATATTTGTACATAATATAAACAATACTGTATACAATAAATATTACCTATATTATAGATATGTAGGTATAAATATATCCTTTCAAATGTTGAGTAAGAGAAAAGTTGTTGCTCGCTCCTAACAGATGGCGTTGTTTTGTAATTTCCTCCAAAAGCGATTGAGATATATCTCTATTTCAGTATATTACAATGTACTCTGTGTACATTTTGCGCATCACTAATAGACAGAGTATGGTAACTTCTAGATTTGGAAATTATTGCTACTTTTAAATTATATTCATTTGATGAAATGATTGATTTTAGTCACAGCGATTTCACATAAGATTGTGATTTCGTCGTAGACAAATATAAATGATAAAAATGATATCAAAGATTACGATCTTTTTTTCTGCATTTTTGTCTGCACTATCATCGTCAATTTTGGATTGAAACGATGCAAGGGTACTGATTTGTTTTAGAACGTTTATTGGAATTTCAAATTCGGTCCAGCTTTTCTTTCCAACCTCAAACTACAGCGGAATATGCATAGCATAGCAGCTACAAAATATTTAAATAAATTTAATTCCTCTGCACGTTTTTTTTTATTACATTCATCTTACTAAATAGTTTCTCAACATCGGCATTGGAATGGGGTAGTATTAAGAGAGTAATAGCAAAAGTTGCTAATTCCCTTAACCTTGAATTCCCTTGAGCATCTTTGAAATGCAATACTTCCAGTTTGTGGAAGTTCCTGAAGGTGTTACGTTGGACATCGATAGATATCAACGGGCCAAGTTCGACAGACCATATCGCTAGACTGCTCAGACCCAATATTGTCAGCTTTGAATTTTCGAATGTGCTTTCTGTGGAAATCAAAAAGATCATCCTGACTGTTCGTTCAAACGCAATGGGTTCTGATGACGTAACAGTAGGATGATAGTTACCATCCTAGACTATGTCTACGAAGTTATAGCCCTCATTATTGACTTCTCTCCCGACTCTCCGACAAACTTCCCTCTCTCTAGCACAAAGCCTACATCATCCCATTGCCTAAAATTAATAATCCTTCTCTGCCTGAGCACTTCCATACAATTTACATCCTTCCTTTCCTATTAAAGGTGTTTGAGGCTTGTGTACACAAACAGTTCTTACAGTTTGTCTTCAACATCATCTTCTAAGTGCTCTATAATCTTACTATGACCACTAAACCACTAGAAAAAATAACTAGCCACAAAAAGCAATATTCAAAGAGGAATAAAACTTGAAACATAACCCTGACCAACCCATCTCGCCAGTAGGCCAAAACCTCCTTTTCTAATTAGAAGCCTATATCCAGTCAGTAGACTAAAACCTGTTGATGAACATCATCATTTCAAGAAATATTTTCAGATCCGTTATACTAGAAGACAACATTGTACGAGTATGTAAGATAATTGAATACATTTCAAGTTGCCTTAAAGGCAAAACATTAAAACGTTGTATGCTACAAGTCGTGTCAGGTTTGAATAGGTTGATCAGGCTTAAATCCAATAAGTAGACTTTTATAAGACTTTGCACCGTACACAATTTTAACAATATACAAAATGGGTACAGTGAAGGAAATTTAAAATTATATGCACCTCAACGAACACATTCATTGTATTATTTGCGTATTGGGGTTTCGTTTTTCGTTTTGGTAGTTCCAAAAATATTACCTATGTTTCCTTCTTCTAATCTATGTAGGATAGAGGTAAGGACACATTCTCATTTCATCAAAACAAGTAACAGTCTCATTTCATCAAATGTAGGGAAAATTGAAAAAGGGTCCAGCTCTAAACAGCCAATAATAGTTCTAGAACCTACTAGAGGGTCTAGTGCAAGTTTATTTCACTTCTACTCGATGGTCATGGAATCACGTTCAGCCTTGTAATTGGCGCGCACTGATATCTTCACCAATCGCAACACCGAAGCTGTCGAGTACTCGGTAGCTGTCGAGGGCGAGTTGATGTAAAATAAACTTACTTTAGGCCTTCAGAATGGCGCTAGTGCAGCCAAAGGAATGACCTGAATATAGTAGTTAAAGTATAAGAGTTATGCAATTGAAACTTTATATGTTGAAGAACTTTACTATTGACATCATATCCCGAGAATATTCTTCATCTGGTATAATCCAAACCCAAGTTGTGAGGTTTCAAAAGAAACTATGAAGCGCCTCGAGAAAAGCTAAGTAATGCCCTTGCGCTTCGCTTGACCTGTTCTTCGAAGGGAGGGGGGGGGGGGCAATAACGTGCCCACCAGCTAATAAAAAAGGGAAGTCTGCTGAGTTGAAATATTAAGACATTTTTACTGCTTGTATGTTATTACCCGTTTATTTACCTATTGTCTGTAAAACTTATGACTATTTTCGTAGTCTAGTACGTATTGTCTAATTTATTATTTAAGCCAAAAAAACTGCTGCAATGTTTTTTATTAATGTTTGTTTTTCTATCCTACTCTAACAACTTTTGACGCTGTCTTTAAATATTTATCCTCATACGCCTATGTTATGTAGCGCAACGCTCCCGATTTAACGCATTTTGACGACACTTCATGCACAGAGACGGTTCTCCTTACCTCCACCTCCATAATAATATTCTAACCAGAAAAATATTTGACAGTTGACATTGACAGTTCGGCTTGTCAATCAAAATCGATTGTAATCGTCATTTTCTCCTCGAAAATGGCCGCATCAGGAGGAAATATTGAGTGGTCTACAACTGTAAAACCGATTTTAACAGCTCTCTACGGCCCATTTTTTGACAAAAATGATGCTGTGGAAATCATTCAAGCTATCATTAAGAGGTAGGTGTTACGACTTTATTTTAGTCGGTATTAATTTTATAAATAACTAGTCAAGTTGGATTTTGTGAGCTAAAGTATTTATTTATAAACTTCTCGAAGTCTGGAAGGTAGCAACCGATACCTACAATTATTAATTTCTTTAAGTTAGCTTTCAGTAGAACGACGGTTTCAGCAATATATTGCTATTTTGTTTATGTGTATGGATAAAATAGACAGCCAATAACAAAATTATCAAGTTACCCTACTTTAGATTAAAAGTGTTTATTCTACCTTATAACTTTCAAATTATACCTTTATGCAAAACTTATTGAAGTGCATACTCTTGTTTTGCTTTCCTCTACTTTGATTAATAAAAAAGTCGAATATTGTAGGTTTAATTTACTCTTTTGTTTTCTAGAAATTAGTTTTTGATATATGAGTAGTTTTATAGTGATTAATTGAAACAATGTCATTGAATTTAGTACAATTTATGTATAATGAATATATGGGTCATCTTACTCGCAGCGAAAGTGAGTTCCAGAACCATGAAGATATCTACGACTTATTCTACACATGCTTTGCATGCCTGTCTGCGCATTTTATTAGCATGAATGCTAATAATCGTAAGTATTTATTTCAATTATATTGTATTCAATATGAAAGCTGATAAACATATTTAACTCTAAAAGATATGATGATTGTATGACTAACAAGATACTTTAAAACCTTGTCTAATATAACTTTTACAATAGGAACAATTGAATTTGTATTGACAGATGAATTAAAATATTATAATTGAAGGCTGAATTCAGTAGCTTGTTAATTTTGTAGGGTAATAATAATAATAACCTAAAACATATCACATAATAAATTTACATCTGTTCCCAAACTGAACAGAGCCTATATTATGGTACCACACACATTCTGAATACTTACATATTATAGATAAACTACATCCAGGCACAGAATTGTGTTTCTAGGTGTACCTAAATAAAACTATAAACCTCACAACCTCTGACTCAGCAGTTAGAATTGCCAATGACTAGACCAAAAGGCTCTTCATATAAGTTGTAGCTAAACAAAATATATGTTCATTTACTGGAACTAGAAGTAGGCTCTGGTGTGTCAATTATAATATTAGAGTACTTTATCTACCGTTTAAGTCAGTCACTGTACATTGCAATTACTTAATAATGATCAGTGTTAATATCTGAAATGTTCTGTTTACTCATTGTGATATCATTTTTAACCAAAAAAAATGGAAAATTGTAAAAAAAATTGATGAATTTTCTAATTGATTTGATGAAAATTCTAATGATTTTCACAGACATGGTCTAAATATACTATTTCAGTATTTGTTACAATGTTCCTTACCCCCTTTATTTCAAATAGGGACACAACAAGTTTTACTATGAATGTGCGTGATTTCATCCTATTTCACAATATTGTGTAACTAAGTAAATCTATTTTTAGAGTAGTGTATGCATCTAATTTCTACCTTTCAGAGTTACAGCAAATTCTTAATTCTTTTTATAGTGATTGAATATACTGACATCTAAACACACTTGGTCATATTTGGTGTATTGCTAATCATGTTTGTCATTTCTTAAGAGTACACATGTACCTACATGTTTAAAGTATTCCAATATTTCGGTTCGCTAAATTACAATGAAACTATAAGGTGTTCTTTTATTTAAATGAGACTTACCACCACTTTAATAAGTGCACTTTAAAATTGAAACAAAAATGTTTTTAAATCAATCTCAAGATTAAATTGTCAAACAAAATAGCTTTACCATAAATCCTTTATTTATGGAAGAGGATGTTACTTTACAATGTGTTAAGTTGCCTTCCTGAAGTAACTTGATATTGAAGCATGATGTCATCATATTACAGTTGTAAGTTGGAAATGTAAAACAGATATAAAGAACAATGGCTCATTATGATGATGCAGGGGCTAAGTTTAATAAGAAAATCTTAACTGTGTATATGTATATTTTAGTGCCAAATGACCAGCTAAGTACAGCACGAGATGCATTTAGAGTTATACTCCGGCAAATCTTGAAGAAGCTCTCTGAAGCAGGATTGAGCTGTGATGATAATGCCACAACTGCAGCACCAAATGTGTCTGTTAAACAGGTGTGTACTTCTGTATTCATTCTATAATACAATTGAATCTTCCTCTGGTCCCTTTTCCCAAACTAGGTTGGGGTCAGCCTTAAGACTACTGTGATATGGCTGAACTTCAATTTTTTTCGTGGAGCGACCGTCCTCAGTCTACCACAACCCAAGTACTAACCGATATCGATGTTCTGTAGAGAGACTTGTCAGACTTTTTAAGGCTCGTAACTACTGGTAACAATTGCCACAGATGTTCGTAATGGAATGTGTAAACAAATATTGTATAGTACAAAGAATTTTTTTCCCAATACAGCTCTTGAGCATCTTTTTTAAATTAAGGAAATGATTCTGAATTGAGCTATGGGGTAAGCTGAATATTAAGCCAAATAAAAAAAAAACAATAATTATAAAAAAAATCTTATTTGCATTAGTATCCTCCTTTCATTAATTTGACTAATATACAAACAATCAACAACATATAAACAATCAACAACAATAACAACTTATAAATCATCATGCAAGCAAAAACATGCTACAAAGTGACTAAATAGAAATGAAAACATCTCAACAACTTATTACTAAAATTACCCTCATAATAAATAATATGGCATATTACTTTTGTAAGTTCAATCACTTGATGAGTAAATATGTCCATTTTAAATGGACATTATTTATAATACAGATTGCTCTAGTAAGCGTAATATTGACGGATTATGTGCTTAACAAGTTCTCGTTTTTCTTAACAAATTTACCATGTTATAATACTAGTGCACAGTAGTAGTCTCTTCTTATTGCCAACTGGTAGTTCCGACCATAAGCGACACGAAGGAAGGAAAGACAATATTAAGCACAGAAGTTCGATTTAAAAGTTCTTCTAGGTTCAGTAAATTCTTCCCGTATTTTTCTCTTCAAAATCTTAAAACATGCTCAATAAACAACAAATCATACCCTTGGTGTTCTTTTGCTTGTTGTGGTTAATAACTTTTTAAAGTTATTCTTGACATCAACTTCTTGCCTATTGCATCTTGCAAAATTTACCTAAGGTCATGGTATATTTTACCGCAGTAAATACAAGTTAAAGTTTTGAGTTTAAGGTAAATTACTTAAATATTATATAAAAGGAGACACAATTTTAAAAGTTAAGTCCTTTGAACTCATTTGTATTCCCAAGCATTATCAATAATCACATGCAGCATTAATCAATGACACTGTATAATAAACAATGTTTTCGTTCTTTCCAACAGTTGCTTCTACCAATTGTTGGACTATGTGGAATCGATGGCGGGGGTTACCCCCAATCTGACTTAGTTATATTGACTTCACTACTGAAAAACGCCAAGTTACCCGCGCATGTCACTGTACCCGGTATGTATATGCATTAAAATTTTAAGATAGTACTTGTTTTGTTTATTTGTACATTTTATAAGTAAAACAAATAAAAATATGTAAATAATGACATTTAAATGAACAGTATTATAGTAGTAAAGATAGTAGAATCTCGATTACCCGAACATCCGATTATCCGGATTCATTCGTCGTCACGGCGAATGCCGATTTAAATTAATTTGACGTCAAGTCAATCAAATCAAATCGAAACATGATACAACGAGTTCATTCCCGCCTCCGACATGTTTTCCCACTCTCATTTTTTGTTCCAATTTTTTTTCCAATCAAAATTTTAAATTATTTTTTTGAATCGTATTGTCTAATTATTCATTAGTTATCGGTATATGTGGTATTGCATTGACGCATATAAAACCCATTACATTAATGAAATGAATTGAGATTCTACTGTGTAAGGAGGAATCAAACGGCCGACCTTTAATATTGCAGTCGCAAACTTATCAAATAAATTACACGTTTTTTCTTTAGATACCCAAGCCACAAAATCATCGGTTATACCAAGCTCGATTACGTCACTGTCGTCACAAACTGCCTCCACTGAGAAACAGCCGCCATCGAATGCTCAGCGGCGTTCTGACGCGCTATTGGAACAGCTAACAGCGCCACTAAGAAACCCAATAGCTTCAATGTCGGTGTCTCAAACCCAACCGACGACTGCAGTGTTGTCGCCTGGAAGTAAGGATAGCTTGGAAAGTTCTAAAGAAGGGAATGTTTCTCAACAGGCTTCAATTGATATGAAGGTAAAATACATCATTATTTGAAATAAACAAAAGCTACGCATTCGTTGAAAAGATTGCAATGACTCACGAAAGCTACTTTTAAAAATTGTTAAGATGCGCAGTTTTGAAATGAGACAAAGATAACTCTTTCGAAAGGACAAAAAAAAACTAGAATTCTAATTGACTGCTGCTTGTTTCGCAGAAGTGGGTTGCATCGACCTGCTCATCTTTGCTTATGGAGCTGAGAGCAGGCGCTGTGGTGCTGGAGGTGTGTTCGTCACTCCCTTGTCTGCAGCGTTACTTCAATCGCTGGCAATCCTCCAAGGAGCTAGCGTCACCTCCTCACTTCAATTCTGATGCTTCACTGTAAGTTACTCTACCCTAATATATTTGATGTTGCTTTAATTCGGTAAGAAACCAAACTTTTTACGGTATCCGTAGATTTCGTCAGATTTTCTTAAGTATTTTTTTTGTTTCAGTCTTCACTTTCTTGTGAACGAAGTGCATGTTTGTCGCCTTGCGTTGTCTTTGCCGTGCCTTGAACCATTTACACCAGAACGCATTGTGACGCTTAGTGATGTTAGCGTCGCTGCCCTGCTATGCGCTACAACACAGGTAATCACATATTGTATGAGTCATGTCTATAACTATAAAGTTCTAACTGAATGTATGTATTTATTTTCCTAAATTTTTACAGGCATCTTTACACCCAAAAGACGAAGAATATGAGCAACAGACAGCTACTCTGGTTGAGAGTGCACTCAGTTTGTACAACACTGTTGGGGACACATTCAAACAATCCACTCGTGCTGGTGGTTACGTAAGTCATTTTGAAACTTTAATATCTCAGCTGTATATGTAATATGTAATGTGGGTAAATTTAGGTTCAACAACGATATTATACTCGACGACAACTTTTTTGCCTGTAGTGTCTTCAGAAGGCTAATTTTCGTAATAAAAGTTCGGTCACAATTCAGTTCCGATAAACTTTCGATCTTACAGCTTTGACAGCTGTAAGATCGAAAGTAAAAAAAAAGGTATTTTTGTAGTAAAATAGTAAAGTATTACTAAGACTTGCAGATTACCGATACAATTTTCGGTTTCAATACGATATATTCACATTACAGTGAACATTGGATACTTAATACTTTACTACGTTAATACCTTTTATGACAGTTGTGAGATCGAGTGTTGATTGGAACTGAATTGTGACCAACCATTATTACGAGAATTGGCCTTTCGAGTGCCTTGCTGCAGACAATGATAACACTTTATTACAGCATCGTTATTTCCAGCCACAGTCATATTGGCATATTTAATAAATCGTCTGGTTGACGGTAATAGGTTTGCTTTCTATTTCATAAGTGGGTCTGTAAGTCACTGTGGGGTCTGCACTTATTTGCTAACATTATAAATGATTTCTGTAATTTGTCAGGTATATCAAAATCATCTGATGATTGGCAGTTGGGTTTTGCTCTGTGGTTTACATCACCCACTGGCCGGTGCACCTTATCCCACCACAGCGCCCGGGAAGAGCCCTGCCAAGACACCTTCCAGGCCCTACAATCTCACTAAGATGTATGTTCATATACAAAACTCTATTGTTTACAGTTAGACTTAGTTTAGTACTTATATTTTTGTGACAAGAACTTCTTTTTTAATGACAACTATAACAAACATTTTCAAGTGTTGTATTAATTAAACTTTTTATTGGTATACATTACAAAACACCCAAAATGTTTATAATACTTTTTTAAAGCATTGAAATATTATTCGCCACAGTTGACGATGGTAGAACCAGACTGATCTGTCACAATTTTGTCTTTTTGAGAAAAACTAGGGAAACGTGTTTGTACTTGTTGTGAAAAAACGAATACCTCATTACTATTAAACATTTTTAACATGCGTAACATTTTGAATTGAACTAATAACAATTTTTCCTTACATATTTTTAATTAATAGTAACATAAATTATAATAAATAAAGTTATACATACACATTATAAAGTTTTACACAAAAATAATCGCTCATCACCAATATGATCTACTTGTTATTTTGTCACATAGATCAGAATGGCAAGACGTGGTAGAGAAAGCCCTTCATTCTACAGTGAGAGATTTACAGTTCTCTAGGAAAATAGTCCTTTTAGCACTTGGATCACTGTGATATAAAATAATTGTTTTTTTTTCGTGCCTCTATGACCAAAACGCTAATTGGAAAAAATGATACTTGGATCAGTCTGGTTCTACCATCGTCAATTATCATATTCTAGTAATAGTAGTTGAGAACTGTTAGTCATTTCTGGACGGGAATCTCTGACAGGGACGGAAATGTGTAACAGAAAGCCAAGGAAATGCTCGCTATTTTTTTTCTTTTCTTTATAAACGGCTGCCGTATGTAGGATTTAATATAATTTTGCGTACAGGCAACAGGGTCTAGGCGTAGTGTGGGTGGCGCTGGGCGGGCGCTGCCTGGCGTGGCTGAGCGCGCTGCTGTCGGACGCGCGCCTGGAGGCGCTGAGCTGCGGCGAGGCGGTGCCGGCCGCGCCCGCGCCGCTGCACATCCTGGCGCAGCACACGGCGCACCAGAGGGAGCTGCGCCTCGCCTCGGCGGCCCCTTTGCATCAGGTACTACTTACATAATTATACATTAATGTAAGACATGCACATTTCCGGCATAACGGCCAAATTCTGGACTCGATGTTGAAGATAATTTTAACATTAATAAATAGGAATACCACTCCCGATTTTTTTTCTGTAAACTCTTAACTAAAGACCTAATGTCACTAGTATTAAACGTGAGAATGCTTTGCAGCTACTCGTGGCTCTGGGTGTCGTTTGCTACCGCAAAGCGACAAACTTGAAACGAGCCGTAGTACAGAAACAACACCACGATGCGGACCCCGACCGCTCTGACTCAACTGTCTACTTTCAGGATATGATACTATGCTCCGAGGATTCAGAGACTGATGATGGTATGTTTTTGGAGAATGTAAATTGTTGTGTCTGCTAGTGTCTACCTAAACCATAATTTCTTTTTAACTTTAATATTTAACTTTAAGAATTGCAATAACGAGATCGAGAGGAATGGTTTACATAATATGTAACACAATTTAAAAAAAAAGTTAATTTTATGAGAATTTAAATGACTAGCAAATTGAATCAGTCAGTTAAACAAAAAGTGCTCCATTATGTATTCAAAAAAACTTCCAGAGAATTGTCTAGGTGACTGTCAAAAAAAATGTGAAAATTCAATTATAATTCTATTTTAGAAGATAGTGAACCTCTATTTGGGTTATGGTTCGAATCGACCCTTGTGGCGCCCGACGCTACAGAAAACAGCGGCTTAGTGCGCGCGGCCGCCAACGATAACGATAATAATGCTGACGCACCAGCTCGACACCACCAGGCCATCGTGCCCGACAAGGCTGAGCCCTATAGCGTAAGTATTTAAGTCTAGATAACAAAGTTTCACCCTGATTATATGTCATTAAAGGTAGATAATTAGGTATTTGTTGGACATAGATAATAGTAACACACAGGATACAATTATAGGAGTTGTTTTTTGAAAAAAGAAAATTACATACAGGAAATTATCAGTCTTTATATAAATAAAGTTTATCATTGACTGTAGTTACCAAATATAATACACATAATAGAAACCTTATTGCATATTATTATGTGCCAAGTCATATCACAATGGTATTTGTTAATAATTTATATGACTAAAAAGCTTTAAGCTTACTTGTTTACTAAATGTAAAAAATACTAAATCCTCAAGTATTATTTTTTCTAGCAAGTAAATAATAATAATAATCATTTTATTGGAGTAACCATGACTCATTGCTTGTTAGTAATACATAAAACTTATCCTATGTTAGTAGAGACAATTACAATATTTTTATTTATGCACTCCATGAGAGAATGTACCTGCAATCTAACCTCTCTGTGATCATGGCTAGTATGCTGTTAGAGCTAGCCCGCACCCTGCGCACCAAAGATGCACACCGTTTTCGCATAATAGTGTGAAGTAGTCCTCTCGCGCCTCTGTGAACATCCCGGACGCACTGCAGAAGTGGGGTAGCCCCAACAGCACCCCAAACGCATTGTTGTATTGGATACGGAGGGAGTTGTATGCTTTTCGAGTATATGTAGCCCACAGGCTGCACGTATAGAAAGACGTGCAGTAAGCTCTGAAGAGTGTGATCTTAACATTATTCGAACAATGTGTAAACCTGAGGCTCAACATGTTCGCTCTCACCGACAACGCCCTCCGTTTCCCTTCCATATAATAAGTGGACTAAAGAAGTTTCTTAAATACGCCATTTAAATATACGTTCTCTTTCAGTACATCACACTGGCTACTGAAGTATTTGTATTACTTACTGAAGAGATCATAAGTGAAGGCTCTGAGCGTCTCGGTCAGCAATCCTTACAATTACATGATGCTCATCAGGCATTGCTTGCAGCGTTAGCCAAGGATTTGGACAGAGAGACTGCTCGCACTGACACTGGTAAGTACTAACTGATTAATACTGAGGTAAGTACTTAAGGTATAAGTAAATTACCACCTCAAAGTCCGGAAACGCACAAGCGACATGAGTTGCTACGGATCTATGGTAGCTAAATTAACATTATAACAATAATAACTTGGGACAAAGATTAGTCAAAGCCATAAACGTGTGGACTTATCTATTACACACACATTATAAAAACACCCAGACAGAATAAACGATAGATTATTTGCATTGACTGGAAATCGAATCGCTTACGAGGCGTAAAATAAAACTGGGCACCCATATGAATGTAATATAATCTAAATTGCATGTCTTATACAGGCACCATCTCTTCGTGCTTCGGCGCCCGTTTAGGCGCGCTGTACTCGTCCTTCAGTTCAGCGCTAGTGCGGTACTTGCATAATCTCAGCGGCCTGCCCTCGTTTGCGAGTCTGCAGCCGGCTTTACATCAGCAGCTTATATCCGCTGGTGCAGAACGAACTAATATGACTCCACTACAGGTTTGTATAAAATATAGTTAGTGAATTTAGACATTACAAGTTAAACTAGGAAACAAAATCATGTTCTGAAATCAATTAGAATCAAGTAGCCATTCCCTCATGAATTTAGCTTTAAAATGCTTTAAGATTTTTTACGAATCTTTTGAAATCCGACTAGTGGAATAATGGAGACCAAACAATACAACCATTCCAAATAATATAAGCAATTAATATAAAAAGCGACTATTTAACTCTATGGACTTCACAGGAAACCAGTGTTAAGCATTTATTTTCTTCTAGAATTCTGGGGGGATGGGCACTCTGACGGAATTTCAAACATGTTATTTTTAAAAACATGATTGATACAGAACTTGCAACCAGCATTTTTTTAAGAAATAATGTAGGAATGCTGTTGTGTATGAATAAATAACATACACATCAATATGCTGATGTGTTGGACAAAGCGAAATATTCCATATGTCGTATTCAAATACAATAGACCCACACTTGCCACCATTCTGACATAGAGCTCGCGACTTTTTTGCATTCACCAACCCTTTCTACTTCATTTAGAGGTGTTTTTTACTCTTTAACAGAATGGCTTCACTAATCCTTTCAACATCTTCAAAGCACTCCTTTATCCATTAGTGTCATTATATCTTTCAACCTATACTCTTTTGTTTACACATGTTTGGTTTAAACATAGGTGGGTCCGCGCGTAGTAAAACTACTAGGCAGTATGGTGCTGAGCAAGCAGGCTGCAGAACGAGAGAACAGTATATTGGCGATGTGGCACAAGATTGTGAACACGCTGCAAGAGTGCGCCCTTCAGCCACAACCCTCACAGGATCATGATTATGAAGGTAAGGATATTAGGATATTTTTGATTTGTATAATTACCTTAAGACCTAAACAGCTTGACTAGATAACCAAACATTGTTGATGTTTGGTTATGGCTGTGCTTGTTTTAATTGTTATTGATCAACCCTGAGTCTCTGATACTGTTTAGCTCTATAGGTAGTGCATAAAATAGTAAAATTAGGTGTATGTTAGTGTGCTTTAATGATGCTATTTATTTTTCAGATTTAAATGTTGAACACGCCCAACTATTAGTCTATCTCTTCCACTCATTGACACTTATGCAAAAGAAGTCTGTACTACTTATGACGTCCAATGCCATTATTAAAGTAAGTATAAGTCTGTCTAAAAAATAGACAGGAGTGGCGATTGCTCCACCGACAAGGGCTTGGCTCTTAAGTTGAGAGAGAGATGTTGATATATATTTTGAATTCTTCGGGCTTTCTAAATTATTTTAACGTTTTCAGGTGGTAGAAACATTGGCAATTAGCGATAGGAAGAGAGCTACAAACTTGGCTCCACATCAGCTGATGTTGACAACTCGCCTAATGTTGCTGCTTGAATACTTAATGAGACACCTCTATGACGCTCCACAAACATTATTACAACAGGTAACATTTACTACAATACATGCAAAACAATAGCAAAGAGATACGTATCTAAATCTATTGTAATGTTTTTAGATTGAATGGAACCTGGTCATCGCCCCGGGTCTAGCTCAGCCTGCTGCAGAAAGCAATGGTGGCACAAATGGTAGCAAGACGACTAATAATGGACAGCCTAAGGCCCGCATTTACTGCGAAGTGCCTTTCATTGAACAGGCCTATAGACGATTGTCGCAAGACGAGATGTCTATGAGACCCAAATTCTATGCTCTGACTAATGCTGAGATCAACAATCAGGTAAATATTTAGTATGACGAATATCTTTTATATGTATGAAAGCGAGAATATATATCTCAAATTTTGCTACAAGAAAACTGCGCAAAACTCCTCATTTGCTCATTTCTTTTCTTTGTATGTAACATAAATAATAATAATAATATAATATATTCTTCTCTCTACAATAGACAATTTACAATAAACGGTTTACTAAATATACATAATTCGAGTAATATGTAATTTATGTGGACACACAACTTGTGTGTCCACAAGAATAACTAAAGTGAAATAAAAATTGATTCTTAGTTGTTGTGTCATGTCTATATCAACTCTATTCCTTTCTCTGGTCAGGCACATTGTGGTCAAGACCTGAAAAAAAGCATTTATGTAGCTGCTAATTTCTCAAAGTTAATGAAAAAAATGTGATGATGATTTAAAAACATTATTTTTAGGAAAACCCTAAGTTTGATGGTCTAGCTTGTAACTTCGTGCTCGGCACGCCTCACAAGCTCAAGTACCCACTGCTACTTGACGCGTTACTGTCACTTTTGAACTCTGCATGTGTATGCGACAATGACAACTATCACTCGTCGCCTGCCGCGCTTGCCGCCTCACACTACTGTTTCCAGACTGCTTGGAGGTATGTATGGTTGTTTTGTTGCGCAACTTAAGTCGCTTATCATACTTTATTAAAAGAAATTCTATATTAGTTTTTTTTGTGTAGGGTTGTTGTTTTTATAGGGTTTGCTTCAAGTTTCCCTTTTCTTTGCAGTGCTGTTGTTCTACGTAGTTTGCTCCCGACACCCACGGGGTGGGGCCAATCGTATTCTTAATTGTGCACTTATTCCTAATCATCCACCACATAAAAGATAATGTAATTAAAGACAATTCATCATCATCAGCCTATCGCAGTCCACTGCTGGACATAGGCTTCTCCCTATGTCCAGCAGTTAGATTGATTTTTGGCTTCGATATAATTTGGTAGTACCAAAATTAGTGGCTAAATGAAGACATTCATGCACGATCTTGAGGTTGAAAATAGACTAAAATTAGAAAGGTATGCTTTATTCTTTTAACACTTAGTAATATAGTGAATTGCAGTCGAATTTCAAACTCTCGTCTTTAACTAGTTTACAGTAATACCAGTGATAAGTGTAAATTTGACTGCATTTCAAAATTTGACTGCACGGATGGCGTAGTGGTTTAAGCGGTCGTCACGCCCTACTGCGCTGAGTGTTGTGGGTTCGATCCCCACATGGGACACCACTTTGTATGATTCACAAATTGTTGTTCTGAGTCTGGGTGTTCTTCGTGTCCGTTTCATGTATGTTTGTAAAGTCCCCCGCGACACAGGATATATTCCTAATGCGGGAGTTGTCTTTTAAAGAAAAAAAAACTGATCACATAAACAAAATGTGTTTTAGGTTAGTGATAAGCATGCCCCCCGCCACTCCGCACATGGACAAGCTGCAGGCGGGCACGAGCGCCGAGCTGACGTCGCCGCTGCCGCTGCACGCCGTGGTGTGGGCGCCGCGCGCAGACAACAAGAAGGTGTTCAACCCCTGGCTCAAGGACGCGCTCGTCAAGCAGGGCATGTACACGCAGGTATCTACTACTTTATGACTTTCCGCTCCACTCACACTCACACTCACTTATTGTCCATTCGAAATTTACATTGCATATAAGAACTTGTTTATAATAAGTAAATATTTGAAAGTTAGCAAATGTTCGCGATACATACGAAGCTATGAAATATCAAAAAGTTAGTTATATTGGCAATTCTAGTTATTCTGCTTGTCTGCTGCTAACATAAAAAAGTGCTTCTTTTAAAATAAGGAAAACAATCAAGTGACTTTTAATAGTTGCTAATAATATAACATTCTATTGTTTCAGTATGCTGAGAATTTGTTAGCTGGTGTCAGCGCATCTTGCGACAATATTAAATACACGGCGTGGCTCGCTTCAGAAACCATAAAACATTTAAAACAAAATATTACTGGTATGTGCCATTTGTGTGTTTAAGCTTTACCTCTTTTAGGCCACTTTATATTTTATTATAAGTAATGCTATTTAAATCAAAGCAATAAACAGCTTTTGATTATCAATTTATCGGCTAAGCGATACTAAATCATAATGATATAACTGTATGTTACAGCCGACGGTTTACCATCGCTACTGGACGTGATATCATGCGACTCGGCGCTAGTCAGGTTCAAAGTATGCTTAGCTGACTCTGCTACACCATCCGAGGCTCATCAGTTCATGCCTGACTTATTGGATTTACTTGAAACGGTCCTTGATTGTTGTCGGTGAGTTGGAACTTTGTTTTGTAAATTTTGTCTTGGTCGACCACAGTTTGCTATATATAAGCACGATGAAAACCTGCTCCACTAAATGCTCGAATCCTTCATCAGTTCAATGACGATACACGTTGATAAAATTGTATTTTTACTTATTAGCCTGAGCGCCGGCATGGAGCTTGAAGGTCTAATGGAGAGTTCAAACAACCCATCCGAAGCGGCCGTCAGTAAGGCTCGTCTACAAGTGTGCGGAACGTCGGGCCCAGTGGGTAACGCTTCAGGCAGTACGCCTCCGCCCGCGCTGGGGGCCTGGCTCAGGGGACACTTGCCGCCCAATGCGTCAGCCGCTTTGGACAGACTATCCTCACCGCCGCCTCTCGCTTGTATCAACTTGGTAAGTACTACATAATAACCTTCTAATGATTCTTCAGAATTCTAACTCTGCCAAACTTCTGTTTTATAATTTTAAAGAATGAGAGGTATTATTAGAAAGTTCATTACACAAGGTATGAACTACAAATATATTTTATTAAGGTCTTATACAATACCTGACAACTAACAACCTGACAATTCTAGTAATTTGAAACAATGAAACTCCAACATCAGGCCTATAAGTGCAAATATATTTAGATGCATGTATACGGCTGCTTGGTTGGTCTGAGCTTATAATTGTATTTACAAAAATAAAAGTGTCTAAGTTAATCCGTCGTCTAGAGATAATAGTACAATCTATACTAAGCAGATTTTTTGATCGTTGGGTAAAGTCTCTGAACATAATATTAATTTTTTCATGATATTTCAGTCATTCTATGCGGCTCACATCATCCCATCAGAGAGTGCAGTCCTGAACTTAGTCTCGTCTCACTGCGAACTCATCACGGCCAACACGAAGTATTCGCTCGGCCCATCATTGATGATGCTCGCATATTCAGCTGCGAAGTTACTTGAGGTGGGAGCTAGTAAACTTGCTGACAGCCCTGAGTTGATGAAGAAGACCCTAGATTTGATCATACCAGCTTTGGTAAGTTACTATACTGAAAAACGTGTACATTATATAGTTAAAAGGAGTATTGTTTAAAAGTGAAATATACAGCTACCCTCATACCCATGTAATTTCGTGCTAACATAACTCAAATGGTAAAGGCAATGGGTGTGGATGTCCATTGATGATTTTGTGTAAGTAATAATATAAGCTTGAACGTAATAAAAAAATGAAACAATATGAGTGCCATCTTTTTTAGCAAATCTTTTTAACTGCACGGAATGCCAAAAGAGTTTAACAAATACCAGAAAATGATTATTTTAATATATCATTAGGTACAACTGTGTTGGAACTTCTTAATAATTAAATGCTATAATTTATTAACATGAAATGTTATTATCGTGCTTATTTGTGCAGACGGACGGTCGCTTGGAATTCTTGTCGGAACCTCTGGCGGCTACACTCAACACTCTAGTGCCGCTAGTGCAAAAAGCAGAGCAATTGATACATGAACACATACTAAAGACGACATATGGGGTACTCGTCGAACATCTACAACCATCTACTGAGAAAACATTAAAGCATATGGTAAGTAAGCATATTTATCCATACCTAACAGCAAATATTAGTTACAAATACTTTTTATTTAACTTGATCTTTGAGTAGTCTAATATTAAAAAAAAAACCATTTTAAACTTCTAATCCCATCATCCACCGATCAAACACTATTGGACATACTACTATAGTACTCAGAGTCCCAGGACTACATATAGTAGTAACACATGATTTATTACTTACTTATCATTGTTTAGGTAAAATATTGGGAAAAGATATTGGATCGGCCCGCCGGCAGGTTGGCTTACGAGAAGGTCTTCGCGGATAACTCTGGATACACTCTTGGCAAGATTCTGCTTTCGGCGCCTAACGCTAGAAATCCTTATGCTGAAAGAGTCATAAAGTAAGTAAATTTGGATGTCAAATAGTAAATAAATAGAAAGTAAACCGAAGTCTAATACAACATAGGCACTAATTCATTAGTGAAGTCGCTTCATCCCGGGCCTCAATTCTGCTATTTTAATACTGTATTGAATGTCGTCGGAATAGTTTTGCACTTTTCCTATTCTACTAACTATGTAAGACCAATGGCCTCCCGATGACTTGTCACCGATACAAATGTCGTCGATGTCTTTGTAACAGTTTGGTAAACGGTACATTTTAAATTTGTCAGAAAACGATATATTAAATTTTCCAGGTATGGCAATGTTGTTGATATCACTATTGATGACCTATATTACTTTATCGACAGTCTATTGACCCTTTGAATTTATGTTAAATAATATAATTTCATATTTAGATCATTAATACTGAGTGGATTCACAATAACAGCATTAAGAATTATTTCTTATAATAAATAAGTAGATGGTATAACACTATTGCATTGGGCTAAACCTGTAATAATAGTTGTTTTTAAAGAAAATAAATAAATAAAATAAATGTTAGTAGAATACTGATATTTTGACCGATGTCAATGTCGTGTCAATGGCATCTCAATAGCGTGTCCATGGAATGACAGTAGCTTGGCGTTAACATATAGCAAAATTGAGGCAAGTTTTAAATTGTGATAAAAAGTATTTAAAAAGATGGTAGGCTGTAAGACAGTTATTGATATCATTGAATCCTTAAATTGGATCCCCTCCCGGGGGGATCCTCTACCCGCATAATACAAAAAGATAACTAAACATTTTGCAATGTTTTTAATATGTGTTTGTTATGTTTATCCTAATGTGTCAAATATTTCAGGTTATTTATTAAAATATTCAACGGATGCGAGAATGAACTGAGTAGCGCTCTCTGTATATCCGTGTGCAAGTTTGTTGGTGTTGCTGACCAGCAGAAGCTATCCATGTTATTGACACACATATGCATGGGAACACCAAGTAAGTTGGAAAGAAAAGTTTGTTTTAATATTTGCCTGCAAATTATTAAGGACAAAGTTACCGTATTCGTTTTTTTTACTCTGCGCCTCTTTATTTTAAATAGGCAAAATTCGTTAACGTATGTTGAACGTATTTTTAACCAACCAAACATTATAACTTTGTTTATTAAAAGAAAATAAGCAAAAGAAAAATAAATATTCATACCGCCGACGGTATATTATTAATTTTTAATATATTATAAAATCAGCATTATATGTACACAGCAACAAGTGGTGCAAATGGGACTGCTAACGGTACGCCAACGGAAACGGAGCTTCCCACACCTACGTCGTCCGCTCCTGATGCGGTGAGCAATCCCGCCTCACTGGCGCTCCGCAACGCACTCCGTAGTGTGTTCCGAAGCGAGAGTGATTCTCAGCCTCGCAATGAGAACAACTCTCAGAGAAATGATTCGGATTTACCTGTTTTTGATACACCGTAAGTTTACTTGTATTCCTTTTATTATATGCTCATTTAAAATAGAAATTCGTTTAGAATAACAAAATAAAAATAAATTAAATTAAAATGATAAAATGTTACCTTTAGATTTGTAACATAACAAGCTTTAAAAACTTTAGACAACAAATTTTACATTAGTCCTATCTTTTACTAAAATATCGTGGCTATATTATTTAAAATCTAAAGCTAAGTTTGACAATATAAACCAAATGGCAAGGAATGTTGCACCGTTTCTGAACACATGGTTACAGAGAAGAAGATTGTTAGAATAGCACATAAGCGATTTGGTGATGAGTCACTGTAAGCTTCTACTATTCCAAATAAATAAAGTGTGTCGAGATTTATTTAAATCAGCCATTTTTTGAATAGGCTTTTTTTGTTAATTTTTTAAAACTAGTAGAAATGGAGCTGTATTATTACTGGGCAATCAAAAAAGCATAACTATAGGCAATCAATGTTTTTGTTTTTATAGGTCTCCAGCACCAAGGGCACAATCTGAAAATGCAGAGCAACCCGTTAATTCAGGTAAAATTCCGATTGATAAACTAGAGAATATGTATCGAGATTCCGTATTGATTTACAATTTTTTAAATACATTTTGCTTACTTAAAATAAAACGCTTTCTCGAACACATAGTATAATATTTATTTTTAGACAATCTTAATAGGCTAATGTAACATACTGATCATCAAATAGAAAGCTGCAGCTGGTCTGACGGCGCCAAAGAGAGTTCTCCAACGAGTGCTGCCACCACTGCCGCGGTCGCAGAGCCTGCGCCGGCGCCGCTCACGGACACAGCCAACGACAACGCCGCGCTACTTACCGCTTTGTGCAAACATATTGTACAACACAGGTAACCATAAACATGCTAAAATTTGGGAAATAGAATTAAAACATATTTGTTGCCTATTATGTTGACTATTCCTCGTACTCAGTAATTTAGACAATATTGTAAAATCACACCCTACTGACCTTATGAGCACTTATGGGGATCGATTGATTGTTCACATTACTATCACACTTACCTAACCCCTGTTTTGTATCATGTGACACCTTACTTCCATAAATGTTAAGTTAAAATATGTATTTTTCGTCTACAGTGGTGATGACGTCAGTGAGCGCATGCTGAACACACTGATCGGTGTTTGCGGTGAGAACTCGTGTTCGCCGTTACTACTGCGGGAGATGTGTCGCTTGGCCGATGCACACGCTGGCAGGGATCACCAACTATTGTTCCCGGCTGCTGTTGGATGGCTCTCTGCTTGGTAAATGTTTAATTCTTATAAGATAAAACATTATACGTCTATATTGTATATATGTATCTCTTGATCTCAAAGCTAAACCTTCTCTCGACTCCCCCATCCGAACAATGCTGCAGCTAGGACTTACTTCAGTCTGCAGTTATAAAATTTAGGTATTAATTTATTAGGCATTTTAATGCGTTTGAAAATTGACGATATGTATTACAACAAAACATAAAATAAATAGTTATCAAATCAAAGTTAGTTGTACACTATCTACTACATTTAAATATGGTGTTATTAGTAAATAGGGAACTAAGTTTTTTTTACCCTTTCAGCTTATTATTATTAAGAATTTGATGATTAATTAATAATTTAATTTACTTCTAGCGTGGACAATCTAAGCAGCCCAGAAGTCCTAGAAAAATTGGAGGAAGGTCAAGTCGATGGAAACTTGGCACCACAAATCGAGTCCGCATGCGTATTATTGTCGTATCTGGCTGACGCCTTACATGCCATCAATACTACACAGCCACACAGTAAGTAATATTTTAAATTATAAGTTAGTTGTTTTTTTAATAAAATAATTCGGGTTTTAAAATGTTTATGTAAACTGAAATATGATGAGATTTTTTGTACATTTTTATACAAATATCACCAAGATTTCTTCCCTCACTCTAATTTGTTATACTTTTATCTTTATAGCTTGGCGTTCAGTGAGCCCCACCTGGGAATCACCTTCGGATCTAGGATTCGATTTGGATTATACTGACGAACAACAAGACGAAGACGACACGAGTGCTGATGATTCGGTACGCTTGAATTCATTTTAAAATAATTAAACTGCAGGTATACATTGCTATCTAAGCGTATTCCTCTAAAGCTTATAACTGTATCGTTCAAAGCTATCCAAGTCGTAAATCGAGTTATTTTTGTTATTATATCTTGTCAGAAAGCTAACCTAACTTCAGTGCTATGGAGTCGTTTTTAACAAATCATTTTGGTAATAGGATGAAGATGCGATGCTTCAATACAAGTTATGCACATTTACGGTGACTCAACGAGAATTTATGAATCAGCACTGGTATCATTGCCACACGTGCAAGATGGTGGACGGTGTGGGCGTGTGTACTGTGTGTGCACGCGTCTGCCATCGCGGACATGACGTCTCGTACGCCAAGTTTGGAAACTTCTTCTGTGACTGTGGAGCGAAACCTGACTCCAGGTAATGTAAACATATATTTCTGACCATTTTTTAGATGTAGGAATATAAACAGTTAAGGGTGGGCCACCCACTTGTAAATCGTTTCTGTTAAACTATAGCTCGTGGAGTTGTTTTTTGTTCAAATTTTTATGGAGTTGAAATTTTTCATAGTGCATATTTTGATTTTGGATAATAGCATTTGCAATTGTTTTCGGTATCAGCTTTTGCCTATTTACCAATGGGGAGAGAGATAATCAATTTCGAAATCATTTTGTATAACTGAAAAGAAATGATAATGTAAAAATCTTATTTTTGTATGCAGCTGTCAAGCGTTGGTGAAGCGATCAGTGACTTTAGGTGGAGCGCGAGATGCTGGCACCGAAGAAACAACGCCTGCTCCTTCCCTTCGGCGTCGTCCGTCCAGTCCTGCACCTCCTGCGATACTGGCGCCACCACGCCGACCTGTTCTTGCTTCTAATATACAAGGTAGCCATATGACATTTTACAGCATTTATCCGTTATTTAGTTGTTATTTATGAACTAGCTTCGTCGACAGACTTCGTTCTGTTTAAAAGTTAAATAAGTAAAACGCATTTCGGTATGATCACTTTTCTTTGAACTTTATTTTGGGCAAGCATAGTTTATATCCATACACCATAATGAACTTAAAGGCATTCCAAAGAAAATCCTAACGCGCCTTCGTTTCGATTTGATTAACTTTGACGTTAATCAAATCGAAACGAAGGCGCGTTAGGATTTTCTTTTGTTTGACAGTCAGGGACAGGTGTTTTAATTTACTCTGTGGTTTGAATGGGAAAAGAAATGTGTTTTTTACTATTGTTTTCTTAATTTTTCCGTTTTTCTCAACAAGAACCTTCCTTATAGTTTAACGAAAGTATGAAAAATTTGGTGAATTGCTCGAGCTGTTCTCGAGTTTTGAACATAGCAACAGATTTGGCGATTCACTTTTATTTATGCAGATTACTATGTCCATTAGTCGGCTGATTGAGTAGCACTTTACTAATATAAACTATTAGAACATGATAGATAAATAAAACTGGTTTTATTAATGTTAAAGTATACTTGTGTTTTTACTTCATATTGATACAATGAGATCAAGTTAATGTTGTCTAACAATAATATAATCTTCAATCAAAAAATCACTTGACATCCCGTGATATTATGATAGTTCTGATACGATACTCATGTATGATAGTAGGAGTAGACGCTGTCCTTTTTAAGATTTGTCTGTTCTCGTGAGTTTTTGTATTGTTTTTTAATTAAAATCAGGTATGTGTCTTAATCGGTCCTTACATATTATATCATTTTAAAATTATTGAATATTTTAAACGATTTGAATTATATTTACAAAAAGCAATTTTTCAATCGATAATAAATTCAGTCGATATTTTATAGTTCATTACATCTCTTAAGTTTAAATACCACATATCATAAACCCATGCTATTTCAAAAAAGGTGTAGACATTGTCTCTCAGGCATCTGCTGCATCGTCTTTCATATGTGATCATGAATCGAAAGTATTTACAGTATGAGTGTGTATCGTCAGGTTGCCGTCAGTACCTGTCGCAGTACTCGGGCTGGGGCGCGTGCATCTCGCGCGTGCGGCGCCTGCTGGAGGCGCTGGCGGGCGGAGTGCGCCTCGCGTGCGAGCGCGCCTCGCCCACGGGCGCGCACGGCCGTGCACAGCGGGCACTCGCTACTCTACACCTTGGGGAGAAGAAGTTTACACATACTGATAATCTTATGCTACCCACACTCGGTATGTTTAACATAAGATTACACTCATTTATTTTTATTACTGGTTGAAATTGATTACAAAAAAATAGTAAAGGTATGAAATAATGAAAATAATATCGATTTATTTCCTAATTTTTGGCAGTGTTAAATATTTTGTTTTAAGCTACCATAAACTAAAACGACTTTAAAATTTCTTTTACAAACTAAGGTAAATTTACCTAAGTTTGTAAAAGGAATTTTAAAGTTGTTACATATACATAGGCAATTGCCTTAGGTATATGTAACCTGTACTTTTGTCAATATAAATACAAATTGCCGCATACTTATGTTTCCGTTATTCTTACAGGCTCTCAGGAAGGCGCATTCGAAAACGTCCGAATGTCGTACACCGGTGAAACAGGACAAACTATCCGTCAGTTGATGTCAGCGCATAAACTACGGCGTGTTGCTATGTGCTGTCTCGCCTCGCCACAGGGACGAAGACAACACCTCGCCGTTTCGCATGATAAAGGTAAATATATTTAATCAACTGAATAGTTCGGCTATTTTTTTTAAAAAGGGAATACTGTTATTATAAATTGCTATTATTTTGTCTCCTGACCTATATTTCTCTTACAGGAAAAATCACCGTTCTGCAACTTTCGGCTCTGTTAAAACAAACAGACTCATCTAAAAACAAATTAACTTTGACTCGGCTTTCATCTGCCCCTATACCGTTCATGGTGCTGAGTCTCAGTGGCAACCCATGGAATGAAGATCTACTAGCCGTGTGCGGACTCAAGGAGTGTCATGTATTGACATTTAATAGTGGTGGTAAGTAGTATTTACCATACAACACAAAAGATATACCCAGTTAAGACTTTTACTATTTTGAAAATCCGATTGATTTTCGAACAGTGGTATTATACACATGTTATGATTGCAGGTGCCGTAGCCGACCACTTAGTACTGAATACCGGCTTAGAAGGCAACAATTACGTAATTAAAGCGATATGGCTGCCGGGCTCCCAGACTCAACTCGCGTTAGTGACGTCAGACTTCGTCAAGATATTTGACCTGAGCAAGGATCTTAATAATCCAATGCATCACTTCCTCGTTCCTAGTGGAAAGGTAAGATTGTTCTTGTATCTAGTTGAAATTCACCTGTCTATGAAAGAATTTGGGTCTATAAATCTGTAAGAAACAACAGCAACTTTTAGTGTTCATACATTCCTTACCATAATATGTGTGGTAGATTTACTTTATTTACAGCTAGAATAGAAGCAACGTGGTTGTGTCAAATTCAATTAGGATCCAGCGGTGCACGCTCTTGCTTCAATTTTTTTGATTAATTATGTCTTTCTATATTTTGATAAATTTAAATTTCTACAATTGCTTTATAGTATTAGAAATATTTGCCGTTGCTAGTGACTAGTGATGTACAATAGAATAGAATATGCTTTATTGTACACCAATTACAGTAAGTTGGTTAAATATTACTGATGGATATGTACAATGTGTGGTGTACAATAAAGCATAATCTATTCTATTCTACATCACTAGTCACTAGCAATGGCAAATATTTCTGATATTCAAAGTACTGATATTCAAAGCTTTAAGAACAATTAAAACACATATAAATTATTTGTAATCTATAATTTAGGTTCGTGACGTAACATTCGTGAACCAAGACGGCGTCATGCACATGTTGTGTATGAGCTCTGCCGGTCATATTTACTGGCAGCCGATGAGTGAAGAGTCTCGGGCAACGCTTGGCACCTTCTACGTCACTAATACTCTTGAAGTTTTGCATCCTGAGATACAGGTAAGATAGCTATAAAATAATTTTAACAAATAAATAACATATCAAACTGAAGAATGGCAAACGACAATGTTCATGCTAATTGTAATAACAAAATAACAAAAATAAAACTCATTACGAAGCCTGAAGTCACCCTATGTTTGGCAGTGAATTATATAGGAAGCAAAGGGAGGAAAGTGAAAATACGAATTGGTATGTGTACAGTATTAATTATTTAAGTCCATGAAATAGTACTCAGTATGGTTTTCATATTTCAATGTTTAGATTCACTATTCAATAGTGACTATTTTTCTTCATCCTATTATGTCCTAGATACTGGCATACCTTCTAAATTTTCTTACTTACTGACTGATGTAGTTTAATATCAGGTAAAAAATGCATTATCAGGTAATCAAAGTACAGTTTGCAACAAGTACTCTGATACAATCAACGAGCAATCTGTTTACGTTATCTAATGTATTGTTTTGTTTGTTTTAGGATGTAGCAGGACTAGTTGGAGGCGGCGGTGTCTCAATATACTATTCACACACACTAAAGATGATGTTCTTCTCGTATGCCCAAGGCAAGAGTTTCCTTGCGCCACTCAATACGGTTGAAGAGAGCGTCAAAGGTAAAAAATATTTCTTACGTACAAATTACATAGAAGAAGAAAGTACATAGAAGGCATTTTGTTTGATATTCAAAAGTAACCGTAAATATACTTACGAGATAATATTTCAGTTGATTTTGCTCATCAACTACAGTAGTTGTGGATATAACTTAAGTGCATTTGTAATATTATATTAAAACGAAAATTCAAAATGAATTACTCAAAGTATATTTATCAGCAGTATACATTTATTACGTGCGATTTAGTTCTAAATAAAATTCCACAGGCACAGCCATGATAGTGCTTTCAACCAGTTCGAGTCAAAAGGAAGGGGGTGGTCGCGGTAGTGGGAAACAAGCCGGCGCCCAGTCACTGTGCCAGTGGGCCGAGGTGCCCGGACATCCTGGACTGGTCACTGCTGTGATGCAAGCCTCTAACAACCCTGTCGTATTAATGTTGACACCCACTAATATATACGTGCAGGAGATAAAGGTAAGTTTATTTAAAACTAGACAAACACCTTTGTAATTATTGATAGCTATAATAGGTTATCAGTCATAAATAGAAGCGTTTTTAAATAATAGTAAGTGTGTAAATAAGATTTTAAGTTAGAAGGTAATACCTGTAATACCTCTTTACCGTTTTCCTACTCTTGTCTCTAGAAATATAAAGAAATGTTTAGTTGCTTATCGCACATTATGTAAATGACTGGATCGATTTAACTGTTACTTGTATTTATAATAATACACTGAATAAGGTGCTGAGGGAAGGAAATTGGAAAAGTTACCCATCAAATGACTATACTTATACCCTTATACTTTTCGTTAAGAATATCCATGACAACAGTTTCTGTATGTAGTTTTTGTATTCAATATTACAACTCTCAGAAGTGATGTTCAGTAATGTATTTTCTAACTACCAGTTATTTAACGTATTGTTTGCTTTTAAAGACAGTCTCAGACAAACATAACCACTGTCTATACAGGTAGTTCCAGCCAAAGCTAAAATTACCGACATGGTAGCGGTCCGCCACTGGTGCGGCGGCGGCGGTGAACAGAAGAGCACACTGATTTTGCTTTGTGAAGACGGTAGCCTCAGAATGTACGCGGGCAGCAACGAGCACACCGGGTATTGGCTGTCGCCCGCCATACAGCCCACACATGCTCCGCGCCGCCGCCCCAAGCTACTGTCGCACCACGCCAAGGGGAAGGAACAGCAGGTTAGTACTTCAGACACGAACTTGGACAAGTCAAAACATTTTAAGTAAAAATGTGAGGTGTGTTCTTTCTTTTAAAAACTGTTGGTACTAGCACACAAAACACAGTTTTTAAAGAACTCTTTAGGGTATTTGGATGAAATCCCGATGTTTGGGTATCTAGAATGACAATATTTGAATTTCTTAATCTAGTGTTATGATTTATACATGTTCTCCAAAAATATTAGTGTACTTCAGAATGCCTTACATCTAATATAAAGTAATAAGGCCATTAGAATATCCCATTGGAAGTCTGTTTATTTTTGTAGTCTAAATTAATATTTGTGTTAGGTAAATACAATAATGTATACATTAAATGTAAGGTAAGTACATACACATTATATAGTACATATACATTTAAAAACTATCGCATATATGCATTGTTTTTCTTAATAATTTAGCGCTGCTTGATTTATATTTTCCATAGGTTGTTACCAAATCGAGCGCAAATGGCGCACCACAGTTCCCCATTGACTTTTTCGAGCACTGCGTCGCGATGAACGACATCGAGTTCGGTGGTAACGATCTACTGCAAGTATACAATACGCAGCAAATTAAACACCGTCTCAATACCACAGGTAATTATACTACTTACTACTACCAGTACTAAGTTACAGTTGATTTATAAATAAATTACAACATAAAGGATCGCAAGAAATATTGTTTTGATAACTTTGTTCTGAACCACAACTGAATATTATTTTTACGTTTTTTAAATTTTCTTTTACACTAATAACATCAAAACCATTGAGTTTGCGACTGAGTTTGCGACTGAGTTTGCGACTGAGTTTGCGAATGAGTTTGCTATCGAAAGTGCGTACCATACATGTGTACTTACAAAGAGTTGCTCTGAATCTTGTATGTGGTGAATGAAAACAAAACGAAAATAATTATTAATTGTTTTTACTGTTTAGGTCTGTACGTGGTGTCCACGAAAATGAGCGGTTTCACAATGGAAGTTATAAACTCGGATCCCAATATGGTCATCTGTGGTATCCGAGTTCTGCTCGGTAGTCAAGATGTTGCTAGAACTCCTACATGCCTTGAAGTGAGTGTTTTATCATATCTAATCGACGAGTTCATGATTAGGAAATAAAAGAATTCAATTAGTAAAACTAAAAAAAAATAATTGTAAATTAGTAGGTAGAAACCACTTGATAACTTACTTGTTAAATTTTTACCTAAATATAATAAACATAAAATATCTTAATAGTTTTCTGAATACATCCCATGCTCAGAGTGTCTAATAAGAAATAGTAAACGTGAGCATAGACATAAAAAAGAATGATCTATATTTTATTTTATATGTTAAGAAAAGATTAGGTTCTGTAAATTATACAAGAAACCCAATAAAGATAACCCTGTTAAATATTGCGTATTCTTGCACAGGTGTACGGTAGATCTATCCAGACGCTAGTGGTTCGCAATCGTTGGTTCGACATACCCCTAACACGTGAAGAATCTCTGCAGTCTGACAAGAAACTTGTTATCAATTTCGGACCATCTCAAGATCCTGACGGTGTTACTATGGTTGATTCTCTAAAGGTGAAATATTTTAAATTGACTTTTTTTTAGTAATATGAATTGTATTAATAAATTATGGTCGACTCTGTAAAGGTTTTTTTTTTTTGTTTTTAGTAATATGTATTTTATTAATATCTTTTTAAGGTGTATGGCAAGAATAAAGAACAATTTGGATGGCCAGAGGATAATGAAGACCCATCTGCTTGTCCGTCATCTAGCAAGGTGGCTACGGTGAGTCCTTCTTTAGTTCTTCTGATTCCAAAGTAATTTGCCAAAAAGTAACAAACTGTCTAAATAGATCGATTTTTTTTTCTTTTCTCACCTTGGACTGTAAATAAACAATCGTAGATCGCATATGTCGGTAGTTTCTTGTATACTCTAAATAATATTTGGGAAAGATTATTTGTCTTTGAAACTAGTTTTGAAAGTGTTACAGATGATGCAACGTTCTATCAGTTTCTTTTTTATAACTCGTTTATTATTTATTATAAACGTACACCACCATTAGTTTTTTTTACATTTTCGCGTTGTTATCAATGATAATAATAACTTTGAAAATGTTGATACACAGGAGGGTGAAGGCGGCGCAGGCGGCTGGAAGCCTTCCCCCCTGGAGCGCCTGGCGTGCGCGGCGCTAGAAGCGCTGGAGTTGGGCGCAGGCGCCAGCGCCGCCGGGGCGCACGCCGCGGCCGAGCCGGCGCGCCGCCTGCTCTGCGCTCCCGCACCGCCCTTGTTGCATGCGCGGGCGCAGTGTCTACTGCGGGCGCTGCATCACTCGCACTACCACCAGTACAAGGTACTTACAACCAAATTAATGTAACCCGAAAGCAATATAAACGTGTTTAAAATCTTACTAATAATTTTTATTAGAGACAACCGATTGAATTAGATTTATATTTATTTCACACGTTTTTTCCAAAGGACCAAGCCATCTTGAAATACGTTTGCACGTCCTTACGCGAGCTACGTGATACGGCGGACCCCTACAACATCGATCCTGAAGCGTACTTCCGTTTAGTGTTGTTAGCGCGAGGTGTGGCGGTCGCCAGACCTAACCATCTCGTGAAATACACCACCCCACCTCCGCCGAGACCTGCGAATGGTAAGACTCTATAAGACAGTAAATAATGATTACTCAAGTAATATGCTCTATCAACGAACGTTACAAGAATATAACTTAAAGTTGAAATGCAATGAAGATTGAACATTATTATTTTAAAAAGAGAGGTATTATTTATTTATATGTATTTAAAAGTAAACTATATAAATTATACTATTAAATATTTTATACTAGCCATATCATAATAGTTAAAAAAAACGAGAAAAGTGTGTTCCTGTCCTAATGATAATAACTATGTATTCATTAGATTTCCGACTGATAGTTGTAATTATAGTACAACCTGCATGGGAATGGGTATTAGCCTAATAACATGTTATAATTTTGCAGGTGACTGGTCCGTATTATGGAAAGGCGGCAGTACTGAAAATCAAGAAGACAAGGATAAGGAGCCGCATTTGTGCGGTTTATTGACAAGTGTGCTTTGGCGTTTAACTGCCTGTCGAACTTCAACTGCACAGCCGCCTGGCATATTGTCCTATGGGCTGCGACACCCAGAACATACAATGCATGCTCTCGCCGACACTATACATGCTTTCCAATTGCACGGTGAGCCAGAATGTGTAAGTATAGTTCATATACATTCTAATATTTGATATAGAACCTCAAACATTAGTTTTCCTTTCTTGTATACTTTAAATATTGACTGATGAAAGTTTTTCTAAGGGGTTCGTTTTCATTGTTTCTTTAAGGAATTATTATACAGAAACAAAATTATATTATATAGAGAAGAAAACAATGAATTAAATATGTATAGGAATTTACCACATAATCACACTACCGTTAAAGTTTCGCCGGTTTTGTAACCACCTCACTTAAACGAATTTATACTTCAGCTGTCCACGAAATACTGTTTATGTTAAACGATAAAGTTCTGGCCGATTCTTTAAATGGTAACTGCTATGTTATACATGTTTATAAAAAATATATGTATTTAAATGTATATCAATTTGGTGGTGCTGCCCCTTTTGAAATCATAAGTATACGGTACACGGTAAATTTTTCTTCTAATATAAAAACATTATTTCACGCAGATCGAATTTGGCAATCAAATCTACCTATCTCTTCTACTGGCCGAAGACCAAAGTATTAGTTTTGGAGCTAAAGCTGCACTGATGCGAGTTCTTCGACCGAGAGTGAAGCGGCGCCGCGTGTATATACCATCCCCTCCGAACACACCAGGGACAGGCAACAAAAGTACGCAGAAGACTGTGTTTTTTTAATCTAACACTATTGTATAATGTTTACCTATATGACTCTAAATGGACAGTGTTGGCTCTGACTATGTAACTAGGAAACTCATAAGCAGTTTCATATAAGACAGCTATCACCATTATTTTAGAAAAAAAACGGCGTAGCCAATCGTTTTTTATCTACTTTCTACTTAAAACTTTACATCTATGTTATATTAGAAAAATACAAAAATGCGTGTTTTGTCTAGAAGTACATTGCATTATCACAATTATTTTCAAAGCCTTTATTTAATTCATTTTGCAACAGGTGCTGGCTCGTCAGTAACTACGGCACAACCAACAAGTTCGATCACCGAGGCAGTCGTTTCTGAATCTGACCTAAGCGCAAACCGTGACGACCAGCAAGAAAACCAATTCATGGACGTTGACGACTCTCTAGAGCCTATGGTCCTTCTCGCACCTGACGGAGGTAATTTAAACACTTTTTTTGTGGACAATATACGATGTAGAAAAGTGATAATGATAATGAAGAAAGTTTTTTAATTTCTTTCAATTTTTGTTCATAGACTCTCATTTAAATATTTTTATAATACTTCAATTTTTTAATACACAGCTTACCTTTATGATTGTGAAGCTCTGTGTAATTAATTTCAGTATTTTAATTCAATTACATTTATAATAAACGAGGGACAACACTTCATCGGTATAAACATTTTTAACCTCTTTTAATTATTGTTTTCAATATACATACATACCCAATAATTCCTTTTAACTCGTCTATCACATTAAACATCTGAGACTTCAAGTTTGTTATTACTATTACTAAGTTATCTTGATAAAAGCTTCTAAAGTGATCTTGATAAAGAATGCAGTATCGAATGTCTAATTCCTATTACTCTTTGGTACAGGTTTGGAAGCCCTACTGGATATTCCACCAGATGCTGACGATGAGACTATGGTCGAACTAGCCATAGCTTTGTCTTTACAAGAACAACCAAGACGTGCACCCCCTGCACCCTCCGCTCCACCCCCGCCAGCTCCTGGCTTCAGCGATGCTACTGCCTCACCACCTGCGTAAGTAAACTAAACTGTGTTTTAAGATTTACGATTGAGTGATTTCGAATTCCATTTCGTTTAGTTGGAGAGCTTAATAACAATACTTATTAATGAGAGTGCATATTAGTAATGTATGGCTCCAGTGTATAGTGAAGTACGATAATTATCATTTATTGTACAAAACAATAGTAACAAAACTTGTAAAATACATAATATTCTTTCATTATATTGTAATTATTTATTATATAAAATGGGTATTACAATGTTGCGTTCAGTTCTGACGACGAAGGGAGCACCGCCGCCACGGACGGAAGTACGCTCCGCACGTCTCCCGCCGACCCTCCCGGCTCTGCGGGCTCCGATAGCGGCGGCTCCGGGGCCGACAGCATCGGGGGCGTCTCGGGACGTAGCAGTGCTTACGGTAAGGGTTAGTATTTGTAAGCTAATTCATTAAGACATATCTTGAATAAAGTTAATTAGTTAATTACATTTGAAAATATTCATTAAACGTACATAATACATATGTATATAGTTTTCGTCAAATTAACTTTCAATAATATAATTAGGAATTTCGTTCGCGTGGAAGCGCGCTGCCTTAGTGAGTTCGATACCCGGACCAGGCAAAATTTTATAGGGTTTTTCTTTGAGAAAAAATAGCCTAATGTACTCCTTATATAGACAGCTACTTGGTAGTAAAATATTATCAAAATCGGTATTTATTTGTATAGATACAAAAAGAAATTTGTTGGTATATGCAGTAGGAAAATCTATTGAACGGTTTTGCCTCTTATCTAATATACGACACATAATAATTACAATGTTCTCGATACCTATAATGACAGTATCTAGACTATTCCACTACTGCAAATAAAAATACTAAAATACGGCAAAATACTAATATTTTTATACTGTATATAAAAATTAAATAAAACTGTTCCCTACTTTATCATGCTCTTGGCGCCATGCTTTTCTATTTTATCTGCACTTGCTTACCTGCACCATGTGTGTACGTTCGCAAGCTTTTAGGATTGTCATTTAGTGGAAATAAAAACATTCTTGTTTTAAACACAATTTCGTAACTGGGGGTTGTTTAAAATAATACGAAGCTAAAGTTTATTTTAGATTGTGTATTTTTTTCATTGTATTTATGTATTATTTTATAGGAGAAATGGTGTCGGCTCCTTCGGGAACTATACCACCTTCCACTGTCACAGCGGCACCTGTTTCTATCGCAGGTTTGTTTTTATATCAACTTATTTCGTTAAAATCGTTGAATATGCTTGCTTGCTTGATCAATGCATATTGCTATATTAGAAGTTCATTTACCTGGGAAATAGGCAAGTACTTAATTAATTATTTTGAAAGTATGTATATTATCCCTACACAAACGTGTATACATCAGTGTAGTCCATCATATGGGTGGCAAAATAAGATTCAATTTTTGGTAATAATGCTTTTGACACAAAATTATCAAAACGGATAGTTATACATGATACAGCTTACCAAATGGTAGATCTCTTTAGGACCTCTTAAAAAGCTATTCTCTTTCAGAAGTAACCTCAAACCAGTAGCCAAAGACTGCTCTGAGTTTACATTTAGTCCGATGCAATACTAAATCCTAACTTAACAGGAATAAATTTTCCTCGTTTTAATAACATTTTTCATTGATTCTCTGCTCGTATTGGTCGTAGCGTGATATTTTATAGCCTTTCTCGCAAAATGGGCTATCCAACACTAAAATGTTTTTTGAATCTGAACCAGTATTTCCTGATATTTAGCGCGTTCAGAAAAACAAACTCTTCAGCTTTATAATATTAGTATAGATTTTACCACCAACACAAAATATTAGATAAATATTACATTAGATAAATAAAATATTATGTATTAAAAGGCTCTTTATTTTTTGAAAAAAATATTTTAAAGATTTCCAGAGTGATACGAAAATCTCACAAATATGCTGTGTTATTTAATTTACACCATATCACATTAAATTAGTTACAAATTTTTACATAGGCTCCTGCGACCAATTAAAAGGTGCTTCTTAAAATACTTTTTATAATCCGAACTCTATTTCGTGTCTTTTAATTTTGGAAGTATTGTTTGCAGACAAATGTTGATTTATCTCTCTTTTACAGCTGCCCCATCGTCGTCTTCTTCCCAGCCGGTAGCATCCACATCTCGCACAATTGAAGCGGAAACTGAAACACGTAAATTGCATGCGTTGAGATTGTCTCTGCTGTCTGCAGCTCTTAATGCCTTACCAACACTTAGGTATCTGCCGGGAGTCAGGGCTATACCTTTTGTTCAGGTTTGTTATAAACTATTTTTCTATTCCCTTTTAAATTTATCGTTAATTAGGTACAGTATTTATTAACATATTAATTTAAACGCAAAGTAAAGGATACATTATATAGTTGTTTGTTTTATAATTGAAAATATATTATTATTGTTATCTTTGTAGGTGGTCCTCATGCTAGCTGGCGATCTCGACTCCAGCGTAGAGGGAGACCGGGCAGTATTAGACCGTCTACTCGAACTGCTAGTCTCTGAACTGGATATCCAAGGCACAGAAAATACTTCTTCTGAAGACCGTGCCGATCGAAAAGAACTACAGGTGGCTATTATGCGGTTGGAGTTGCTGGTTTCTGAGTTTGATATGCAAGGAGACGAAACTGCTACACCGATACATGAGCGAACGAATAGGCGAGAGCTACAGATGGTTATAATGAGATTGCTGAGTGAGTATTGTTGAGTATTTGTGAGTTATTGAGGTATTGTGTTAGTATGTAATAGGTTTATAAATACTTGCAACCAAGTCATTGCCCCTCGAGGACAGGACATTTCTGTGTATTGAAATTTTTATATGTTAATTTAATATAATGTTGTTGATGAATAATTATAAAATATTCTACCACATTCACACAGCGTCATCTAGTCCCAAACTAAGCAGAGCTTGTACTATGGGTACTAGACAACTGATATAAATACATATATACTTTTTTTTTTGTAAATACATACAAATTATACATAGAAACACGTAGACCAAATCAAACATTAAAAGTTCACGCACACAAATGTTTGACTGGAGCTGGAATAGAACCCGCGACCTTTGGAACAGCAGTCCGTTACACAAACCACTACGCCATCACACCATTAGGTGTTAAAGCGGGAAAAATTCACTTTCGTGTTTATGGTAATAGCTAAGATTGATAATTTTGTATATATTGTATGCGTATGCACACATTGCAATACAAATTTTATCGTCTTTTCCATTTGCTGAAATAAAAAAAATACAATGTCCTAACTTCCACAATGTTTCTTGAATTTGTAAAAAATATATTTTTAAATTTTATAAATCAAATAGAATGACTGAATGAATGTTGTTTGAGGTCAAAATCTCTTTAGCTACTTTACTAGGAACAAAGTCAAGAAAAATGTGTCAATGACATGGTGTTGGCTCATCACCCATAGACAGAAAATCCTTGAAAACTATAGGAGTCCTTTGCTCTCGACTGTCCTTCCATGTAGGCATAATATATTCTCCACATGTGGCAGCGGAATATTTCTCCTAAAATGACTATGGCTGTTATGACTTATCCCATTGGGGCTAGCCCTCCATGGAGATCGGAAGGCGTTTTATTAATTTTGCGCTATGTATGTTGTGTTTTGTCGAAGAAAGATTAAAACGCAAAACTGTAATATTTCTTCCCGTTAGGTGTGCTGATGGCACGCTGGAAGAGCTCTGCAACAAGCGGCACAGCGGCCGGTCGCAACGAAGTAACAGGCGGCGCGTGCGCAGCTCACGTGTCGCGCCTCGCCGCCGCCGCACTCGTGCGCGCCGGGGCTCCGGCTCACTGTTACCGCGTGCTAGCTGCCCTGCTGCCTTACTGGAAGGAGAAAGCTAGCAGTATGTATACGATATGTAGTGTCTCATACAACTGTGCGTCACTCCAAAATTATATCAATAAGTTTAATTATATAGTTTTGACTTCACTTCATATTTGTAAGTCATTCTTGACAGTCAATTATTTGAAAATAATGACGTTGTAGCAAGTCATCATAGAGCTCATTAAAGAAACCCCATAGAGTCGAATTACTTAGGTGCTATTGCTTAGGTTCGGCCATTACTCAAAAGTATATTGTGTTTATAGACGCTGGAAGTACTACAACCGGTCAACAGTTGTTAAAACCGCAACCACCTCAACCATTGCCTGACATGCAGCCTTTCTTCGACAAGGATTATGTTAAGAGTAAGTATTACAGCTCTTTTTACTTTCGTTGAAGCAGCAATTACATTTCGTTCAACTAAATTACAAATGTTTGTTGCTAGGTCACGCTCTCGACGTGTTCGATAATTATCCACAACTGCTCATGGAGATGGCATTGCGTTTGCCGTGCCAGATACATAAACATTGTGACCCCTCTAACTTTGATGCTCGCTGGCGCACACTACTCTGCGAGTATATGATGAACCAGCAGACACCGCTCAGGTAATATTAATCTACTTACCTCCTTAACATACCAGACACAAAATGGCAAAAAAGAAGACGAGTTACACACTATTATTTCTTGTGCATTAATTAATCATCATTATCAAAAGCTTTTGATAGTCCACTACTGAACATAGGCCTCTTCTTAGAAAGGAGGTTTTGGCCTACTAAACCACGCTGGCCTGACGGGTGGCTAGACGGGTTGGTATAGGGTTTATTTTAAGTTTTCCTTCTCTTCGAAGTGCTGTTGTCCTGAGTAGTTTGCTCCCTTAGTCGGCTCTTACGACACCCATGGGATGAAATGAATACCACTCAGAATTATTCAATAGCTATACCAAAGACTAAATAAAAGAGTTCCTGATGAAAACAACATTTAAAGTGGTCCAATAGACTTAGCGCATGTCAAACATACAAGTCAGATAAATATATATAATAATACATATCATATAAATAAAATACTATACATGGCTCTGGCCGTGCTTTGCGATTGCGTCGTAACGTGATGTTAATTAGATTTCAACAATAACGGGGCTATCAAATGTAAAAATATTGTTTCAATTCTAACTGGTTGTTCTAGAGATTAAAAGCATAAGCAATAACGAGTAACAAGAAAAGAACATAAAAACAATCTTTGTCAGATATTAGTATACATGTCTGTTTGTTTGCTATAGGAAACAAGTCCGTAAACTATTGCTGTTGTTATGTGGTACGCGTGAGCGCTACCGACAGCTGCGGGACGTGCACGCGCTCGACACGCACCTCAACGCGGCGCGCGCCCTCCTTACCACCGACCCTGCTTATGACAAGCTCGTGCAGCTTATGGAACATCTCAAGGTATGTCAGAATATTCTCCTGCATGATGGTATCGTAGAATGTTAACTTGAACTTACTGAATAACGCCATTTTCGTAAAAGAAAGCCAATGCTATGCTGAGGTCGCGTTAATAAAAAAAAACAAACAAATGATGTAATTCATTGTACCTTCTCTGGCAATATTTGATTACAAAAAAGATTACAAGTTCTTCGTTCGACGTAACTAACGGGTCGAGTTATGCAGACCATGTCTTTTGACATATAAGCTACACCTTCGCTAAGTTATTATACATTTTTGGTAGGATGTATTATGAACTGAAAATGAATGCTTTACTCAGTCAGGTGTTGCACATAATTGAATACATTCAGTAGTTTTCGTTAATCATTCAGCAAGACTAGTGTAAAACTAAGGTAATATTTTATTTATACAGAACTTTATACACATATATGTAATAAAATTTATTTCGAATACTTTAATCACTGCCTGCCTGAACTAGAATAAACCTGTGTTTCAGGCGATCGCTTGACTTAGAGTAGTAAACAAACTTTATTTAGATATTAATGTCCAGAATAATAAATACGTAATAATATGTATATAATACGTAACAATAACAGAATAATAATGAAAATAAAAATACTACATAGTGTACACGTGCAAAAGCAATTCACAAACATACGTAATAATAATTTCTAACATATTTTATGTTTTCGCATAATTTAAGTTTCTTATAGTTCTAAGCTATATATATTTAGTATCTTATTAATTTTATAATATAAGAAAGATCCTAAGAATAAATAAAATGTCTTAACAAACACTACAATTATTTTGATTATTAGGTATAATGAGTTATTGGTGCCAGTAAATTGTCAGTAGTCGGCACATATTCTCTTCGACATCACAATATTTAACTTCAGACAGAAAAATGATCTAGGCCACAGAGCTACTGATTAGTCATTACATATTAAATATAGATAGGTTTAAGTGCTTACGCTAATATAATCAATTACGCTCTTAGACGCCCTCATAGTCTATAGAATTTAAATATTTATCCTCAGCATATTTCCGAGCTGGGCAAGTTGCATCACCAGTTTGGTGATCACTTTTCCGTTTGAACCTTTTGCACGTCGCACAAGTAGGTGGTGTAGATTTGTCGTTGCAATCCTTAAAGGAGTGCCCGGACTCTCCACAGTGATTACAGGTTGGGCTAGTTTCACGGCAATATTTAGCTGCATGTCCAAACTGCTGGCAGTTAAAGCACCTGGTCACCAGCGTGAAGTCTCTAACGGGACAGGAAGTCCAATTTATGTAAATTCTGCCTTGATTTATGAGCGCTTTTCTAATATGAGCCGGTACCTCAAGAATATAATTACAGATAGGAAGGCTTTTTTTACCTGATTTGTGGCTAAGTTTGATGGTATTCAGACAGGACTCACGAGAATCGTCAGGAAACTTGTCTGCTAAATTCTGCTCATAGATGCACTCAAGCACCTCCTTTTCAGTCAGGGCGACGGGTACACCTACGACAGTAATTCTTGGTTTGCGTTTTGCAGGTTCTTCGACTTTAAGGCCTGATGACGCTAATTTCTTTGACTGCCTCAATTTCTCAATGTCTAATTTAGATTCGGCACTAATAATAACACCCCCATTACTCACTTTTCTAAGGCCTCTAACATGAAGTTTTAGTTCCTCGGGTGAAATTATTTTTTGGACTAGAGACTTAGTATCTTCACTAGTCTTGGTCTTGTCGCTAGGATAGATGGCAAGGGTACTAATATTGCTCGGACGAACAAACTTATTTGGACCTTTTTTTACCATATCGGCAAAAGAGCTATGTTCCTTTGGTCTCAGCTTTTCTTCAACAACTGTTTTGAATCGATTTAGGGAGCTCGCAACATCTTTGGTTTCCTGTAGGTGCTGTATGGTAGTATGCGCAAGGATAGTCTTCTGCTTTAATGATTGATATAATACGGCCATTTGAGATGTGCCAGATCCGATCTTACGGCAAATATTTGTGACACGCATCTTCTGATCCGTGTTCATTTTGCCCTCCGACACTATAGAGCAAACCTCATTCAACAGGGCATCAATGCTTGACATCCACTTCTGGATCTCCGGCGTCTGTATTACCTCGCTAGGTAAATCATTGTTCTTGGGCAAGGGCGGTTCTTCAACAATAGGCTGATGTTGCCGTGTTGGCGTCGGTGGAGGACTCCTCCGTATTAACTGGCTACGGCCAAACGGGCTTGATCCTGGGTTAGACATAGTCACTAACACATATAAACTTTTTATAACTATGTTTATAAGTCAAAGATTAGATCATGCTAAATACACAGTTTGCAAACAATAGGCATGAATCACTCTCGCTCGTGACACACTTAGCGGAAACTACTTACACTACAAAATAATTATTTATTAGAAATTATATATGATTTCTATTTAATGCATTTTGTCGGATTCCAAAAAAACACGTCTGCTTAGTCAAGCGGTCAACAATATTTCAGAACATTTATATAGAATAGAACAGTGTAAGTGAGTAAGAGTGTCTTGGTTACAGGCGTGCGCAGAGATAGTGAGCGCGCGCACGGGCAACTGGCAGCACACGTGCTTGACGGAGCGGCGCGAGGCGCTGGCGTGGCTGGTGACGGTGGCGCGGCGCGTGCACCCGCACGTGGCGCCCACCGTGCTGCAGCTGCTGCAGGCGGCGCTCTGCGCGCCACACAACCATCCGCGCAACGAAAACAAGGTCGACGTCTGCCAATATATTCGTTCTGCTTTACTTCCCTTATTAACAGCGCACTTTCTGAAAGGCTCATTTTTCAAGTGTGTCAAGTTATCGAGTCGCCAGCTGTGTTAAAATGCATTTGATATACGACTTTGCAATAACATTTCACAGCTCTGTTAAATGTTCCGATGACTGATGCCTATGCCTGAAATTGCTTTCAGCTACTTTGATTAGAGAATTGACATCTTAGAAACTCTCTTACTTTGAAGAACTCTTGACTTCAAGTTAGTTTTTTTTAAATTTGATGTCAAAATAGCAGATACAACATAATCAAAAGTAATTTCTTCATAGTTCTCAACGTTATTACGCGTTACGTAAATTATTTTGTCCATTTTTTATTTATATTCACAGTAATATTGTTATATCCCTAACGAAACGGCGAACATGTGTTAATTATTCTTTATATTACAGAACTCAACCGATTGGCCTGAGCGTGAACGAAGCGCCGAAAGTGACGCGTTTTCGTCTGACGGCTCTAAGTTCCAAGAACAGAGAGTTGGACCGCTCGTTCAACAGATATTGAAACAGGTAACATTAACAACCAACTAACACTACTTTCTTTAGATATTTTTCGTCGATTATATAAGTTACAAATTGCATTATCTTAAACTTTTTCTATTTCAGGTGTCACAAGATGAATTAAGAATGTTTGTGAAGGCCTTCCTTCTTGAGACCAATTCAACTGCAGTACGCTGGCAGGCACATGCCTTACTTCTTGCTATTTATAAGTATGCATATTCTCAGTTATATATCAAATAATATGAAAAACAGAATACGAACTGTTTGCCTGACTTCAAATAATTCAAAAAATATTTATGTCTGAAATACATAAACCCTATAAATATTATTTTAAAAGGTCTGATTTATATATTGGTTAGTTTCTTCCTTTATTAAGACGTGGGGGGTTCTAAACTCCACACACAATACTAATGTAAATGTATATATACTTAACCTGTATGTCATTTTTCAGTAATTCTTCACAACCAGAGCAGGCTTCATTAGTGTCCCTGCTGTGGGCCATCTGGCCTACCTTGCCGCAGTACGGACGCAAGGCGGCACAGTTCGTGGACTTACTTGGATACTTCACTTTGAAGACCCCCAATATCGATACCGAGGTATTAACTATTTCACTTGTTTTTATTTCTAATAGACTAAGAAAAGGTACTATTTTATATCCATAATTAGATTTTCAAGGTTTGAAAGGTAACTTAATTTGCAAACTCCGGTTCTCGTGTAATGGAAGTAGGTAGTAATTTCTAAAGATCTGTACCTGAGAACATTATATTATAGTGAGGAGTGTTAGCACAAATATATAATAATATGTTAACTGTTTTTCTTGTAATGTTTTTAATATTATTGATTTTGTTTACCTTACTTTGAAATAAACCGTTAAGCAACGGATTAACCTATTCATCCTGTGGGTGTCGTAAGAGCCTACTAAGGGCAAATTACGCAGGACAACAGCACTACAAAGAGAAGTAAAACTTGACATAAAGCCTATACCAAATCGTCTGGCCAGCGTGGAATAAGAAGGCAAAACCTCATTTCTAAGGAGAAGCCTATGTCCAACATGACTACTCAAGGCTGTTGACAGTGACGATACTTTGAAATAGAAAGTAGTAACAGACATATTCCTATTCAATTCTCCAAAAATTGAGTTTTGTGTTAATACCGACTAACTTTATTTTCTAGAAATATGTCGGCAGTGCAGTCGAACTTTTGCGCAACCAGAATCTTCTGTTATCCTCTCATGGCAACGCAGTTTTGTATGCAGCTCTGGGCTCATTCGTAGAGCTCGATGGATACTATCTCGAGTCGGAGCCATGTCTGGTCTGCAACAACCCTGAAGTGCCGATGGCCACCATTAAATTACCTACTATCAAGGTTGGTATTGCATTACCCATCATTGGCAATATATTTGTTTACCATTCACAGTACCGTAGGAAACCTGGTTAGAAAACTAGTGGAACTTGAAATTGGTAGGTAATTTTAGTAGTGAAAAAAGAAAACGACGTTTTTGTTTAGAATTGAAGTCTACGCTAGTGTGTATCTTTAGTTAGGGGTTGAATCTTGAATATTCACTAGTGGTGGTGAAAAAAAAAACAAATACTGTTTAATAACAGAAATATAATTTTTTGGTTACGGCTCAAATTACATTCTGATGTAAAACTTTCTAAAGAGAGGCCTATGTCCAGCAGTGGACTAGTAGAGGCTGTTGATGATGATGATGATGATGTAAAAGTTTTACTGAGTAAAACCCTGCTTCACAGCGTTAGCCACGTGCAAAAAATACCGATCCAAACAAATTGTTTTAAATTGCTCTAAACAAATTGTGTAATTACAAAGTAGATAAAACCTAACCCTGGACTTTTTGTACATTTGAATCCAACTAAATGAGAGCTAAACACACTACCGCACGCAGATCGACTCGAAGTTCACCACAACCACGCAGATAGTGAAGCTGGTCAACAGCCACATGATCAGCCGCATCAACCTGCGCATCAGCGACATCAAGCGCAGCAAGATGGTGCGCACCATCAACTTCTATTATAACAATAGGACTGTGCAGGCTGTGCAAGAGCTTAAAAACAGACCGGGTAAGAGTCTATTTACAATAATATTTTGAAAGGAAGTTATACATGGAGTGAATGAAGTGATTCAACCAGCTTGGATGAAAGGTTTAGTGACGTATTCTAAGATAGATGTTGTAGGACGTTGTGTTTGCCTATTCCAAAGAGAAAAGTTTTGGTTTAATGAATGTGTGATGAATTTAATTTTGTAAAATCCTTCAAAATAATTGGCTGATCATGTGGATCAGCCAATTATTTTCGGGGTCCCCGGGTGGTATCCAATTTTAAATATTGTGTAATTATCGTGTGTGAATCTTAGATCGGATCTACACCACTGAGTACGCCAACTGAATAAGTAATGTAATTATTAAGTAACTTTGTAAATGTACTTAAATATTACTATCTGTTAATTTACCTAGGAATGTGGCACAAAGCAAAGCGTGTGCAACTACAATCAGGTCAGTCTGAAGTCCGCGTGGACTTCCCATTGCCAATCGTTGCGTGCAACCTCATGATGGAATACGCTGACTTCTATGAGAATCAACAAGCAACAGGTATAAGCCATTTTTTTTTTTGATTTAACCTCTATTTCAATTATAAGAAGTAGTGAAGTAATCTCACTTTTTATACTGTGTTGTAGGCGAATCCTTGCAATGTCCTCGCTGCTCTCAATCGGTGCCCGCTAACCCTGGCGTTTGCGCTAACTGCGGTGAAAATGTCTTCCAGTGTCATAAGTGTCGGTATGTGATACTAAACTATTGTTTTTTATTTGTTAGCGTAAACTTCCCTACTTTGTCCCACTCAAAGACAAAATAAAAAAGGAATGAAAAATACATTCATTATGATTTAGGCGTATTGACATCGATGATAATTTTTAAAAGGTAATGATGTTTTCTTTTCTTTAGTGCTATAAACTACGATGAAAAGGATCCTTTCCTATGTCACGCCTGCGGTTTCTGCAAGTATGCGAAGTTCGACTACACGTTGACCGCGCGGCCTTGTTGCGCCGTTGACACTATCGAGAACGACGAAGAACGCAAGAAAATGGTGCAGACCATCGGCGCACTCCTCGACAAGGCGGACCGCGTCTACCGTCAGCTGGTCTCCAACAAACCTGTGTTGGAGGTAATCTATAGACACTATTATATATGGGCAGAGGGTTGAAACCCATTGGGCTAAAATGAGTTTAAACCGGGTATTTTGGGCAGAAACGAATTTAAACCCAAATGGCAGCGGGCACGCTTGAGCACGCTATCATTTCGGGACGACAAATGTGTCAATTATTGCCTTTCGAATAGATCACATAGTAACTAATAGAAGTTGTATTTTTGTTGGAGGGTTACACCTGTTTCGAAATTTTCAGTATTCCATAATCTAATAATGATTAGACGCATCACATGGATCCGTCAAAATTCTCAATGCCACTTAATTTTGTAGAACAGCATATATCTTTTGACCACACAACTAGTTCTATTTCCCTTAGGCAAAGCCGAACAAAGTGCTTGTTCCAGAAGCATTCTATAATCCGGTTGCTATAGCCAGTTTCAGGTACTAAGAATTAGTACTACAAATACATATGAGAGTAGAAAAGAGTTCATGGTAGTTTATTAATGGATATTAACATTTACGGCTTCTAAAACCTTCCTAAATATTCTCATTTTTATTGAAAGGTACCCTTTTTTCTGACTCAATTGTTTTGTTCCACAGTCTCTTCTCCACAAAATAAGCGAACATCGTCTAGAAGGTCGTCCGGGCGATGATAACAGTAACAACAACAGCAACACATCGTTCAGCGGAGCGCAAATTAATAGGGTCATACAAACACTCGCTCACAAGTACTGTGTCGATAGCAAGGGTCATTTCGAGGACCTTTCAAAAATCATACAGAAGGTGCTTGCTTGTCGGTGAGTACATAGTTGTAGCCACTGCTTGATCTGCAATGCTTACCTCATATTGCTTGTTTATACTAAAATTTTAATTATCCACCTGATGGGCCTTTGTTTAATTGCCCAATTCTCAATTTGTCCAGTTCGCAATTGGAGCTCAATTCGCAATTGGTCCAGTTCTTAATTAATGGGCGTCCTTGATTACGCTTCTGCGAACTGGACAATTTGTGCCCGCTGGAAATTTTGCGAAATTCTGATTCATCAAGTAATCATTTTAATTGATTTTTTTTTGAAACTTTAATGCTTTTAAATAATGTTATATAGTTTTATTATTAGTTTTTGCTAGAATTGTTTGATTGCCACCAAAGTTTGAAGAGTTTTTTTGTTGGGTATGTTCAGGAAGGAGCTGGTGTCATTCGATAGATCACAGAGCGAACAAACAACGGGTGATACTTTGCCGGTCTACGCTGGACTGCTACAGAATTACGATGGTGAAGTTACTAAAGGTAAAAAAATCCTCAATTTCACACAATTTCATTGGACACATATTTTTTATTAAATAGATTTAGTAATGGTAAAAATCTTATTATAATATTTAGTAAATATTCTTGTTTGACTAGATCTATTATTAGATATATGTTGGATTCCCACCCAGGACAAATATTGTGTGATGAGCACGGTCATTCGTTCTGTGTCTGGGTGTAATTTATCTATAATATGTATGTATTTAAAAATATATAAGTATGTTTATCAGCAGTCTGGTTACCATAGTACAGGCTCTGCCTAGTTTGGGATCAGACGGCCGTGTGTGAGATGTGTGAAGTTATTATTATTATTACAAACAGACACTTCAATTGCCTCTGTTTCAACTCAACCAACTTAAGATGTGCATATTATAATAACCTGTGTCAAGTACACGCCCCTGAAAATACGTATACGTATTTTATTTAAACGTATACGTATTATTTATGGTTGTCGTTTTTTGTTCAATCAGTCTGTCCTGAATCGGGCGGTGGTTGCTACGGTTGCGCCCTGGCGTGTGCTGAACATTGCTTGACATTGCTGCGAGCCCTCGCGTCCCAGGCTGAGCATAGAACAAGACTTTGTCGCTTTGGTCTGGTACAGGAATTAGTGCAGCATAACCTGCATCGTGGTACTCCTCAGGTATGAAATCCTTTGACTACTTGCTTTTAATGTCTGTCATATTATTATTATTTTTGATCACTCACTTCATCAAATCACTTACCCTCGAAATTTTGATTTCTGTTATTAAAAGATATACTTAATATAAACGTATATTATGCTTTTAGTGTATAATTGAAAACTACTTAAGTAATGCTCGTTTTAATTTTCGTTTTACATTTAAATCAGTCCTTCAATTTAGGTTAACAACCAATATTTAAGATAAATAATCCTTTTAACTCTAGTTGAAACGAATTTAAAGTGCACTGTAAATTTTACTAGATAGATAGATCTCACCAAAAATGTTTATAGATCTCATGTGGAGCCAAGCTTATCTACAAGTCCTAACTTCACAAACTCTACACCTTAGTCAAATTTATGTGGCTAGTCTGTTTCGTTAATGTAGCAACTTGTATAACAGGAAAGTAATGAAGTGTAATAATTTCTACCTTTTCGCGCATGTGACGGTAGCGAAATATTTATTTCTACGTTACGCTCATGGGATGGTAGTGAATATAAATATATGCATTCTATTTTAGAGCCAAGAAGAAGTACGTGCTTTGATTTGTTTGGTCACCCGCGACAACTTACCGGCAACGGAACAACTATGCAACATGTTGTCGCAACGAATTACGCTCTCGCTTATGGGTCACGCTGCCTCACAGGATCATAACAACTCTGTAAGTATCTAAAGGTCAACTACATGTATATCAATTTAAAGTATAAATTTCAGTGAATTTCAGAACTGATTTCATTTTAGAGTCTGTTTTAAAGATGTTAATGTATGTTTGTAATATAATTTTAGGTGCGTCCACTAGTACTCCTCCTTGGCTCACTGATCAAAGTCCAGGACTCTGTAGAATGTTGGGAGGCAAGGTTGCGATGTATCGTCAGGTTATGGGTGTGGTATGTATCATTTCTGTCACAATTTCCTGGTTCAATACCTTATCTTTATTTTCTGTAAATGATTATGGTTGATCTATGACTTGTAAACGTAAACTGTGCTCTCGTTCAAACATATTTATGACATCAATTTTTTAGGTGTTGTCCACAACTAACCGAAGTGGCTGGCATAGCTCCAGCTGCGAGCAGCATATTGAAGGAGGAAGCGATAATTGGTATTCCGGGCATCAATTCATCATCTCCGAACTGTTAGTATTTTTTCTTTTAGATTTACGACTTCGTAAAATTGGAAACATAGAATAGGCTAGTTGACAAAATTTCAATAACTGCTTAATATTTTAGCTTATTAGGCATTTTATCGAAAAAAAAGGTTTATTTATTTTTAATCGAGCGTTTACATTATAAATTTCGCGTTTTAAAAAACCAATTTCAATTTGGTTCCAAAACGCACAAGACTGTCATGGCGTCTTGAATGACGTCACGCCGTGCGAAACAAACCAAAGAGCGATCGTGTCTTCGTACGTTATAGCTAGTTTTTATCGTTTAAAAATGAATTTCTCATATTATAAGTACTGTATAGTGCCCAGTGTGATAGCACGACTATAAAAACGCCAAACAAGTTATTTATATATGTTCCAAACAATGGAAAAATACGGAAAAAGTGGCTAAAACTTGCAAGAAGAGATGATGCTCATACTTTATCAACAGGTTCAAGAATGTATTTTTGTGAAGATCATTTTGATGTAAGTATTTCACACAATACAATCTATTACTTAATTCGAGCAAACTAGATGTGTTTTGTAGAATCCCTATTTTCTAAATAATAAATACATGAGTTCAGGTTAAGTTGTTTCACTTTTAGGAGTGAATGAACGTTTTATTTTAGTTTTCTAATTAATGTTACAAACATACTCTTTTTATTATTCTAGTTGCCAAATGATATGATTAGTTATATGGAGTATCATATGAAGGGAACAGTATCACAAGTGCGCATGAAACCAGGTTGTATGCCAAGTAAATTTGGATGTCAAGAAGACAGAAGAAAACGAACATGCAGCAGTACAGAACGGCCATATATTCTAAAAAAACAAAGAAAGATGATAATAGAAGAGTGTCTGAATGAATCAAAAGAAAGTTGTACTCCAAGTTGTTCTCCAATCCAGATTCCATGGTTAATTCTTTCAAATTATAATTATCAAAAACGCACGGCGTGACGTAACGCTTTCTGATTGGTGTTCACTGTCACGTGACTAAAGGTTTCATTTTACGAAATTTATTTTTAAAAAATATTATTAATCTTTAACGCTTTTAATAATTAAAATTGTTTGTTATTTTCTCCATAATATAATTAATCATTATAAACCCCTATCCATTATATTTATTCTTAATGGACACAAGCCTATTGTTATTTCATGCATGTGTAAACGATCTGCAGAAGAAAACTGTAGCATTTTAATATACTTTTAAACATGACTTTAATTTGACACATACACTCAGCCTTATATTTATTTTTTGTCTTAAAAATATTTATTAATTATTATATCATAAACATACCTTATATAGTATGTGCCCGTACATATTCTGAAAGAAATTATAGGTATGTTTTGAATTTGGTTACCATAATACAGACTGGGGAGCTGAGTGAAATAAATATTGTAAGACTTATTTTTAGGAAACAGATAAATTATTATTTTAAGTTTGCACTTTTTTTTCTCAATTGTCAAAGTAAGCATTAAAAGTAAATGTTTTGATTACACGAAATTTGATATGATTTTCCTACGTGCCATATTTACGAGAAATAGTCTTATCATGTCACACAGCGCATCAGTTTGCTCTACAACAAGTGGCGCTGCCGTGTCTCCGCTACATGCAACAGCTGATGGCGCCCGCCACGCCCTCCGCGACCTCTAGCGCTCCTGAGTCTGAACAACCGAAAGAGAATACCAAGGTACAATACAATATAAGACAAAATACAATACGGCCCTACAAATGACATGCGAGAACAATCATGTTTTAATTTTATTGCTGCATCACCCTAAGTATACTGGTAGAGAATGATTTTAGCATTAAGTACGCCTGTACACATGTAAAGTACTAAACAAAGTACGTAGTAAGTAAGTACGTCTTCTGTCCCGTCCGGGGAACCTAGGACATTAAAGAAAATATAACTTATTCATATTCTGTTCCGTCACCACCCGAATTCATCCCGTGGACACCCACGGGATGAATTCGAGAGCCGACTAAGGGAACTAACGACGCAGGACACAGCACTGCAAAGAGAAGGAAAACTTGAAACAAACCCTATACCAACCCGTCTGGCAAGCGTGGTATAGTAGGCTAAAACCTCTTTTCGAAAGAGAGGCCTATGTCCAGCAGTGGACTATTAAAGGCTGTTGATGTGTGTGATGTGATGTGATTCACATTATTTTTAAAGAGTATTATAATTATAGTAATAAACGGAGTTTAACTTTATAACAAGCTATATCATCGTGCCATTAGCACAATTTGAAAATTGTTCAATTCCCGTATAGTGTAGTCTTGTATATGTAAATTTTCGTTCTTCTGTGTTATCATCGTTTAGACTTATATTTCTTTTCCAAACATAGTTAGATCTGAGCTCAAATATAGCTTCAATAAGTCCATCACATTCTTATTTGACAATATTTAGGGTAAAATTTTTGTGTCATCAGACAAAGTTGCGGTCGTGGTACAATAAATAAATATCGAAGTATTTAGATTAATTCAAAACTAAGATCGTTCGTGACTGTGATCAACAGGAGGGCAGTATTTCGACGCTGGTGGGCTTTGCGGGCGCATCGGCGGCCGGCAACGTGGTGGTGGACCTGGCGGCGTGGCTGGCCGGCGCCGTGCCGCACGGCAAGTGGCGCCGCCTGGCCGCGCCGCGCGACCCGCCGCTGGCGCCGCCCTCGCACCGCGACGCGCACCTCGCGCACAAATATCTCGCCAAGTGGAGGGAGAGGGTCAGTACTCTTATACACCATCTCTGGTAAGGTAACCTTCACTTAGAAGCCTTTCTTCGGACTATTGTTGTACAGTATTTACCTAATATTTGAAATGTATTGCATGAAGATATTTTGGTTAAAAGACAAAGACGTGGTCGCTTGCCGCTAAATACTTTGATGTCCTTCTTAATAGTTATATTAATCAGTATAAAGAACATTTTAATATTAAATAACTTTTTAATAATAAACAATCAAGACTTCTATCAATGTTTAATCGTTAGACCAAGTACTAACGAATTTTTATTACACACTTAAATTCGTTAAACATATATGTTACAGATGTTAAAATGGGTTTACCTTGAGGAGCCAAATGTATCTTTGTACGTCAGCAAATGTATCTTTAAATACATTTTAAGAAAATAAATATTTTTGTGTTTCATAGTTTTATATAAATATTTTTTCACAGACGATGCTATCGCATGGTATGCGGCCACTCGCCCTCGAAGACGGTGGATGGTTACGACCTGTGATGTTCGACCCCAGCTCTCGCATCGCTCGCGACACCGCTTGCCAAATGGTTAAATCGCTATGCGACTCTTATGAGAGAACTAAAGCTGTAAGTGTCTAAACTGTACTTTATAATCAACGAATTTAAGTTAAAAATAAGTTGTTTAATGTTTCATATTTTTCTAGGTATTGATTCTATTGACTAGTTTCCTGCCTGAAGTCGGCTCTGCAGGAGAGGCTAGCGAACAGTTCTTGCAGCTATATCAAAGTAAGTATATTTGATACTTAGAAATATAATAATATTGACTAATTGCCCAAGATCGTATATCAACCCGTCTAGCAATCGTGTTATAGTAGGCCAGAACCTCGTTTCTAAGAACAAGCCTATATCCAGCAGTTGACTATCTACGGCTGTTGATGATGATGCCCAAGACCGGGATGGTTGGCGCTCTTTGGGGAGGCCTTCGTTCAGCAGAGGACGGCGATAAGCTTATGATGATGATGATATTAATAATTTAAAAAAATGTACTGCAAACTATACATTATGATTATAGTGTCGATTAATTATAGTTCAAAAATCATAAATCACTTTCTCTATATCATAGCGTTGGCTTCTGAAGCACCATGGAAACAATTCCTTGCACTTCGAGGAGTTCTGCAACAGATAGCAGATTTAATGACTAAGGAAATCGAGCAACTTCATCGTCTAGAAGAAACTACCCTTACATCTGATCTTGCACAAGGTAAGTCTTCTAAAGGTATTGAAGTATGGTGAATTTAAATAACATATATGACAATTTACGAAGCTTCTACACAGCAAATAGAGTAAATAATGCCAATTAACCATAAACATTCCAGGGTCCTGTTTTATGAAGCTGACATTTCGACATATATGTCAAAAAGTGACAAAATTGTCGAATTGTCGCGATTAGGGTGTTTAAAAAAAGTGACAAATATGTCAAAATTCGACAGGCATATTCTTGACATATTTGTCATTTAAAAATCGTTTACTAAAACACGACATATGTCAAAAAACCACAGTCAAATTATTACTGACAATGGTTGGTGACAATTGTCGGATTGTTGTGACAATTATGTCGACTTTTGACATGTTTGCAAATAAATATGTTTTCTGTAGCTAAATGAGGGTAAAATAGAAAACATATTAACAGAGTAAAAGAATGAATCAATCACTAGTGTAGCTTCGATTGTTTGTTTTAAAATTTCGTGTAAAATGGAAATGCACAAAAAAATTACCATTTTGGGTCTTATTTTCGAAAAAAGGAATATACTCTTTGGGAAGTTTAGTGACGAATTGACCTACGATACAAAAATAAAAAAATGGAAGGAAATAGTCGAACAAATAACAGCATTAGGTATTTTCAACAAAGACTGGAAATACCTTCGCGACACTACATGGCAAAATTGGCGCAAAAGGACCATGGTAAGGTTTAGTATATTTTAACTAGTTTATACGTCATCAATTCGTAATTTGTTTAGACCGTTACCCAACTTTAAATAAAGGAGTTATCAATTGATATGTATTATATTGTGTAGGTATGTATGAAATATTCTATGAGTGCCTCGGTAGCGCAGTGATAGCGTATGCGACTACTGTGCTGAGGTCTCGGGTTCGATTTTACTAACACTTTCTTACACCTTCAAAATTCAGAATATGATTTAGCGACAGAGGGTAACGTTCCTGTCAGAATTGTCTTACAATTCTACAAATATGTCAATATGTCATGACAATTTTCTGTTTTATAAAGCAGATTTGACAAGTTTTTCACGGCAAATTGTCACCTGTCACCTGTCGCTCAAAAAGTTTGATAAAACAGAAAAATTTCAGATTGTCGCGACAATCCGACATATTTGTCAATTTTCCACCATGACAATTTTGTCGCCTGTAAGTTTGATAAAACAGGAAAATTCTCGAATTGTCACTTTTTGACATATGTCGGACTTGTCAGATTGTCAGCTTCATAAAACAGGGCCCTTGATATCAATATGATTGATACTAACTCACTTAAAACTTATGCTATTTTTGTTAAAATACTATTCAATACAATAACAGTAATTAAACAGTATTAATACATAAATGTTTATTGGTTTACAGAAATTACTTTCTTATACAATTAGTATTATTGAAGTTTTAATATTTTTTGCAAGCTTTAAATATACTGTTAATACATTTGGTTTGTATAACCTGTATATTTAAAAATTTACATGTTTGTTTTAGTTTCCTAAAATAACTATTATAATCTCCATGTTATGTTTTTTTTTTTATTTATTTGGACAACCAACAAGAACATACACCTTAAAAGCAAGAGTGATTAGTGCTGCCTTAATGTTACAGGTTGCCATGGAAAGCAGCATGTTATGAATATTTATGACTATTCCTATTCTATTAATATATTATATTACTATTCTATTAATGACACTGAAGACATTTTGCCTTTTGTAATGTAATATATCTAATACACCGCACTTTATTGCATCCAGGCTATGCACTAAAACGTCTGACGGAGCTGCTAGCAATGTTCCTAGAGGAGAGTGGTGCCAGACGAACATACAAAGGTCGTCTGGTGGGCGCGGTGTTGGGCGGCTACCTGTCGCTGCGCCGCCTCGTTGTACAACGCACTCGCCTCACCGACGACACACAGGAGAAGCTTTTAGAGTTACTTGAGGAGATGACCACTGGTGAGTTAAATATGAAACGTGATAAATTACCAAGATATCATTATCTTACTATTAAAGTATTATTGACAGAGTATACAAGATATCTTCTTGTGTTCGATTCTTAATACAAAAAATCTTCTCAGGCACGGAAGCAGAAACAGCTGAATTTATGGCAGTCTGCATAGAAACGGTGCAAAAGTATCCTCTAACTGACTACCGTACTCCAGTGTTCATCTTTGAACGTCTCTGCTCTATTATTTATCCTGAAGAAAATGATGTTGGAGAGTTCTTCCTTACACTTGAAAAGGATCCGCAGCAAGAAGACTTCTTACAGGTTTGTAGCTAACAACATAAATAAATCTATGACTATAGATGTGTTATATGTGTATTCCTACAACGTATGTTTTGCTTCAGTAAGAAAAAAATACTGATTACTGTCCTACAGTAGTGATTTAATTTTTCGAGAACTACCTTCTTAGGGCATACGGAAAGCCGTGTGCTTTTGGTCGGTTTGATTGCGACACCGTGAGCCGTGACTTCACCGTGAACCTTCGTGAGGTGATTTTTTTCCGCGTGCGAACCGTTTTTTTCGCGTGGAGAGTCCACGCGAAAAAAACGGCAGGAGCTTTTGGTTTCTTTAATGTTTTGCGTGTTCTTCTAGAATCATTTAGTATTGCTCTAAAAACTTCGATTATTTTATTGCTGTGGCATGAGTGTAAAGGTATTTTTATACGGTACTCGTAACCTTAAATATTTATGTTACGTTTACAGGGCCGTATGTTGGGTAACCCATACTCATCTCTGGAGCCAGGCATGGGACCATTAATGCGTGACGTGAAGAACAAGATCTGCACGGACTGTGAATTAGTGGCTCTGTTGGAAGACGACAACGGTATGGAGCTCTTAGTCTGTAACAAGATTATGTCACTCGACTTGCCAGTGAAGGATGTTTACAAAAAGGTTGGTAGTCTTTTGAATTTATTTTGTATACACTAGCGATTTTCTTTTCTAAAAAGTATTAGCTGTTTATTACTTGTTGCATCGTAAATTTCTTGTTTCAAGTTCTGTCTTCTATATAGATGGTAGATTTCAGAAATTCAAAGCATTAGTTAGGGCAGCGTCCCCGATAATAACTGCGGTATTTCTTTTGATTATACATCTTTATATGGTAGTAACATCGGAAGATATGAAAAATAGAGATTAAGTTAATACCCACTGTCTTAATTTTTGTAGGTTTGGTGCACATCGGGCGAGGGCGTCGATGCCATGCGTGTTGTATACCGTATGCGTGGTTTACTTGGTGATGCTACAGAAGAGTTTGTGGAGAGGCTAACTCAGGCTAACACTGAGGCAGTCGATGACGAACAAACTTATAGAATGGCTAATGTGCTCGCTGACTGTGGTAAGTACAAACGAATAATCTGTTACAAATACAAGGAATTATCTAGTACCCTAGACTTAATTAAAGGAATAGCATTATTACTCTGTTGTTCAGCTATATAGAAAGATATTGCTATATTTTAGGGTCGTGTGTCGTCATCCCAGGAAACGTTATTTTGAAACTGTCAATATGAACTTGCTAATTTAGACAGATTGTCTTTACTAGCTGAATACAATATTCGGCTATTCCAGAAATGTTAGTAAGAAGAAATTTAGAAATGAGTACCTGAGAGTATGAAGAAAATCATTTTCCAATAAATACATGTTGAATGATAATGTAATTGATGTAGGCGGTATCGAGGTGATGCTGCAGCGTCTGGCCGCGATCCAGCGCGTGGGCGGCGCGCGCGCTCTGTGCTCGACGCTGCTGCGGCTGGTGTCGCTGTGCACGCGCGTGCGGCGCTGCGTGCGCGTGCTGACGCGCGCCGACACGCGCGCGCTGCCCGTGCTGCTGCACGCGCTGCACCTCGCCGCCATCGACGAGCGCGACATGCCGCGCGCGCAGCTCGTCTACCAGCTCCTCGAGGTACTACACCCACCCCACACATACACTTATACTCCTAATGTAATAATACGGTTGATGCCTAGGTTTAAAATAAATTATTTCATCATTAAATGTTCCATTAAATCTTTTTATTGATTCGATATCTTGATATCAAAATTAACATTAAATAAAAAGGATTTGAAAATAACTAGGTACGACGTTATAAAATAGTATTTCGTACAAAAATAAAAAAACAGCGTTTTGACGTTTAAAAAAGATACTGATTTGACTTGATAGTCATCTACCCTATTAGAATAAATTTACTGTAAATGGTTATATACGATAGAATAACCTAAAATCAAAATACACAATGAAGAATCCTTAATATTTTTGTTTCAGATTATGGAACGTATTCTCTCCGTGGCCGCTAGTGAAAGCCTCGAGTCATTCCTTCAATTCTCTCTTACGTTCGGTGGACCGGAATATGTGCAAGCCTTGTTGAACTGTACTGAGTGTCCAGGTATAATACTAGAAGATAAAACATAATAGAAATTGGTTGAGCTCAAAGCTGTGCTAGAATAGAACTAGAATTCCCGTATTATATTTTGAGATAAAGATAGTTATGAGAATAAAATTATCATAACTATTTAAACATTTACCAATTAAAGGATAGCAGTTGAAGTGGGGTTTTAAAAAGCAATTCATTTAATTTAGTTTTACAAACTCATCATTAAAATGTGACTTACATTACGAATTAAACTTAATTATGTAGTACCAATAATGATACGATTGTATGTGTTACACATTTGTTGACACACATAACAAATTTATGCATTTGATTAATCAATAATGTAATATTGTTTTCCTCGCTTAGGTATACGCAACAACTCAGTCGCTCTAGGTCACCTAACCCGTGTCTTAGCCGCTCTAGTCTACGGCAATGATCTCAAGATGGCGATGTTAGTGGAACACTTCAAACCAGTCCTGGACTTCAATCGTTTGGACTCGGAACAGTGGACCGAAGAAGAATTCCGTATGGAGCTCTTCTGTGTGTTCTGTGCCAATATTGAACGGAACTCTATCGGAGGCACTTTGAAAGATTATCTTATATCGCTTGGAGTAGTCAGAGATGCTCTGGATTATATTGTAGTGAGTATTTTAATATGTTTTATATTTACACCTCATCATCATCTGCCTACCCTATCCCAATTTTATTTGGGGTCGGCGCAGTAAGTATGATTCTTCCATTTTCACCCCTAACTCCATTTTTTTAATCGCGGTTCAGAAATGTTGGAATCATGGAAGAACTTCTCTAAATGTTTAAATTTTTGTGTGTTAATATTCCTTTTAATTTTAGTACGTTATTATTAGTTATGTACGTATATTTGTTGTACGTGTATTTTGTGCTTTATCTTAACGCATCCACCACAAAAAATGCTATTAAATAAGCTTTAATGATTGTTATTACTACGTACAGGAACACGCGCCTTGCGTTAAGCCTACCTTGGTGTGCACTGACTCGGACGAACTCAAGGAGTTTATCAGTCGACCAGCTTTGAAATACATCCTAAGATTCCTGACTGGCCTGGCGGCAGAACATGAACCCACTCAGGTTTGTACATACCTACATTTTTGAAAGAAGTAGGATTTAAAAAAAAAACTTTTTATTATAATGTGCTGTCTTCATTAGATGCTGGTGTGCGAAAAAGTGATACCAATCGTGCATCGCTTAGAACAAGTATCATCAGGCGAACACGTGGGCTCGCTCGCTGAGAACTTATTAGAAGCCCTGCGGTCTCAGCCACAATGTGCCGCTAAGGTGCAGCAAGTCCGAGATTTCACTCGACAGGTAATTTAATTTACACTTTTAATAATATATTTTGAGCTTTATAACTAGCGCTCTTGAACCTGTAGTTACATATTATGGTTTTTGTAGATAAAGAGTACTATAGATATTTATCTTCAAGAATGAACTACTTTTATTTAAAGGAATCAGAAATAGGCTTAATATAATTGCAAAGGGTTTTTCATAAAGATTAAGTCCTAATTTTATATTTTAATTGATATAGGAGAAGAAACGTTTAGCGATGGCGGTACGCGAACGTCAGCTGGGCGCGCTGGGCATGAGGAGCAACGAGCGAGGCCAGGTGACGGCGCAGTGCTCGCTCACGCAGCAAGTGGCCGACCTCGCGGAGGAGAACGGCGCCGTCTGCTGCATCTGTCGCGAGGGCTACAAGTACCAGCCTACCAAGGTACCTACCAGTTTACACTATGAACTTTTTATTCGTTAGTAGTTGTGTTACAATATTTTATACATAAGTATATTCGAGATTAGATGGATGCGCACTGCCCAAGACTGGTATATTAGGCGCACCTTGGGGAAGCCTCGTTCAGCGCTTTGAGTTTGCTCTGCGAACAGCCGAGGATATGTGCAAAGAACTACATAATATGAACCTTAGAGTGCTATAAAGACCAGAGATGGTCTAAGGAGCTATAAGTCCTAAATATAGATAATAAATCACAATAAGAAGCAAACCCTGTAGGTTGAACTTTGTGAAAATTTTAAAAAGAAGAAAGAAACTTCGGGTGTGATAACTTCTTTTTTATGTCGTGTGAAATCTCGATGCCATTTTAAGTACACCTAGACCATAACATTATAGTTAGACCACAGTAAATGCGGAAAATCTGTCAAAAATCTTTAAGGACGCTTGATATTGAAAGACTAGGCTAATAATATGGTCGCGGCCAATATGTTTTTATACAATATTTTTATGTGCAGGTGCTCGGTATCTATACGTTCACGAAGCGTTGTCCCGTAGAGGAGTACGAGGTGCGCGCTCGCAAGACCCTGGGCTACACCACCGTGTCGCACTACAACATCGTACACGTCGAGTGCCATATGGCAGCCGTTAGACTTGCGCGTGCCAGGTATCTGCACACATATTTTATTTAAATGGTGATAATGATGGTTGTGATACTGATAATAGTAATGATAATTACTATGACAAAGAAAATAAAGAGTTTGATTTGATTGATGATAATAAGAAAATTATGAGTGTAATTTATTTGTAACTTTGAATTAGTTTTATACCTCACTATGGACTTCTTAAAAAGCAAATAGATTATCTATGTTATATTTCACTAGGGATGAGTGGGAGAGTGCAGCTCTTCAGAACGCGTCTACGCGTTGTAACGGTCTGCTGCCCCTGTGGGGCCCACACGTCCCGGAGTCGGCCTTCGCTAGCTGTCTTGCACGGCACACTACCTACTTGCAGGTACTTGTAAACTTTTATTGTTTATACTCTTATGTATGTTACATTGTACTTGTGTTACATTTTGATGAAAACGCTATGTCACATTTTTAAAACTATTTGCCTACTTTCTACTATCATTTCATACCATCTAACGAAGACCACTAAACTGCTAATCCTATATCGCGCAATGGAAATTCTCTTGCATTTGTTTGTAAATATGCCACTTGCCAACAGCAACCGTTAGGCCGTGGTCCTTAAGACATGACCATCTCGACTAATTGAGGGTTTATTTATTTAATACTTAGGTTCCTCATATGTTTGTTCAAAATGTTTCCTAATAAAATATTATTATTATGTCAGGAGTGCACGGGTCACCGCGACATCGGTCACACGTGTACGCTGCACGACTTGAAGCTGTTGCTGCTGCGGTTCGCTCGAGGGCGCACGTTCCACGACGACACGGGCGGCGGCGGCCCGCTCTCCAACATGCAGCTCGTTCCCGCACTCATACACATGGCGCTCTACGTTATCAACACGTTCGTATAACGACGTTATTACCTATTTATATGATACATGCACTCGATCATGTACAGCAGCAGCAGAAGTTTATAATATAACAAATAATATATTTGCAATTGAAGATCAATCGGAAATCCAAGTCTTTTTATTGATTTAGTAACTTTCACTTCGATTAAGTATATGAAATATTTTCTTTTTTTTTTAAATGTCTTTTTAAAAACAAAAAAAAAAATGAAAGGAAAGAAATGATTTCATGCATAATCCAATTACATAGTTTGTTAACCGGTTTTCTTTTTTTCCTGTAATATATTGACGAGAATATGTAATCATTTAAAGAATGTTATTATTTTTTTATTTTCGCTAAAGTCGAAGTGAGACGTGACACATTGAGCAGTGACGCGAAGAAAAATCACTTTAAAATGTTATTTTGTAATCATGACCATTTTTATAAGAACATTTTGACACCGAAGTAAATCTTGTAATGGGTAGATGAAAGTGTTTAGGAGCAATATTGCAATAATATGTTGTTGCGCGGGCGCAGGTCGCGCGTGGCGGCGCGCGAGGCGTCTGCACTGGAGGCGGCGCTGGCGTGGGCTCCCCCGCGCCTGCTGGAGGCCGCGCACGACGCCGAGGGGCCGCTCTACTTCCTCACGCTCATGCTCATGCTCTACCCGCACCACAAGTACGTGCCTACACTCTACGACTATAACTTAGCAACCTACAATGACTTATTACCATCCACTTACACGTGGAAATATCTAATCTGAAAATCATCAACGATTTCCATTTTCTACTTAATTTTTTATTATTATTTAAATTAATTTATCTTCATTTACTCCAGTGAAAGAACTTAAAAATAGTACAATAATTTCAGATTTTATTGACCACGGTTGCCTGTTAAGGGTGGGGTTGCCACACTGCGATAACTTTTTGTTTTATCTTTAGTGTACAATTAAAAAAAAACGTTTGTACTGGATATTGGTTGCCAAACAGGGAATATATAAAATAAATCTAAAGTCTATCTGGCTCGAAAGACCAGATGTACGGTTTATGGTTACCGAACAGGAAAAATATATACAATATAGGAAAAATATACAATAAATTTATTGTAGATTGGTGCGATAATGAATACTTAGTCGTTATCCATATATCAATATAAATGTACATTATAATTAGATAAGTGGTTGATGAGTTAATGTTCTCATAGTTGTAATTCATTCAAGTTTAAATAAAAAATACACTTGATTTCATGCATAATCCAATTACATAGTTTGTTAACCGGTTTTTTTTTTTTCCTGTAATATATTGACGAGAATATGTAATCATTTAAAGAATGTTATTATTTTTTTATTTTCGCTAAAGTCGAAGTGAGACGTGACGTGTTATCCATATATCAATATAAATGTACATTATAATTAGATAAGTGGTTGATGAGTTAATGTTCTCATAGTTGTAATTCATTCAAGTTTAAATAAAAAATACACTTAATAAATTATTTATCATCAACTACACAATTTATACGCAAAAGTATACATCAGTAAAGCAATTACTTTATACTGCTTTGTATCATATCCTATAATTATGATGTAAAGTTATTAAAATATTGCGCAGTATTATGAGAATTTATACTATTAAAAATGGCAATTTCTAGTTCATTTTTAAAAAGGCAATCCCGATTTAAGAATGTATCCTGTGTCGCGAGGGACTATACAAACATTTATGAAATGGTCACAAAGAACACTTAGACACTACTAACAGATCCACAAATTGATGTTCCGAACAACAATTAGTCATGATCTTAATATATTGAGCGGTTTAATGCTCAGCCCTTTGCTTTGTATCTCAGATGGCGTTCACTAAAAGTGGATATGCTGAAACGGTTGTTGGTGATCGGTCACGTGCGTGCGATAGCGCCGGGCGGGCCGGCCCTGCGCGCCGTGCCGCCCGAGCACCGCGCGCCCAAGCAGTGGACCGACTACAAACACTACGCGCTCTTCGTGGCTATTATAGACCAACTCTATAACGTCATGTTTAAGGTCAGTTAGCTTATTCACACTGTTTACAGTACAGTTTACAGTACGCGTCCAATAACTACGCCAAAAGTTGGCTGCAAGCCGAATGTTGGGCAGGCACACTCGCAAACAAGTTACTGAGCATACAAATACGTTTTACGTGTTACGACGTAAAATATGAAATACTTAAAAAAATAAATAACGTTAAATACTTAACGTTTATAAAAGAGAACGGCATATCCTGTATTCCTAGTAATGATGGAAATTTGTACAGTTTATAAAGTGAGTCATCCTAACTATTTTCATGTAATTATCATATTTTTTAAACTTTGCTAAAAGTAATTAAATTTTCTCAAAAAAATAATTGTTACTAAACGTTAAAGTGTTGTTAACAAATTTGCCATGCCATACTAAACTTACATCGAGATCAATGAATAAGCTCACTAGTGTATTAAGTAGTTAAAAACAAACATTTATTTCTTAATAATGTTGATTATACAGATTATACGAAGTAATAGAGGAACGATTATTTAAAATCAATTAATTTAAGGCAAGGTACTAATAACTTTTAGTCAAACCTTTTAGTTTAATCATGAACATTATGTAAAAAAGTAATTAAACCATTTGACAGGGCAACATTTTATTAACGGATCATGAATATCGTAAACGAAAGATATTTAAATTGTTGACAGCGATAACATTAACTCATTTGTCACAGACTGCTGTCATCGGTATCGATTTCAGTACAGCCTATATGCAAACTTCTAACTGAAATAACTTTTGAAACGCAAAGTTCTAAAAATCTGGTAATTAAAACTGTAATTGTTGATGCTATTACCAGCCTAATAAATACAACAATAATCCCTACTGTGAGATACGCGAGGTGGTACAAAGGTCCTATACATGCCTACCATTGTCCTTTTAATTTTAAACCTTTACTTCATCAATTTGCTCGGCAATTAATCGAATTCGGAGATTTAAAAAAAATGGATGACAAATAGGTAAAGTCATATTTACCTGACTGGAAATGTTCAGAAGTGATTTTTTAAAATTATATAATGCATGTTATGTTTAAGTATTACAATTCGCAAAGGTACATAGTTTTTTTTTTGTCCAGTAGATATAATTTTCTAGATAAAAGCAAAACTATATTAATTTTGATCGAATTTAGACCACAAGGCGCTATTCACTAGTAATACATACTCGTTTACACCTTTGTATCCTCTTGTAGAGGGTCTAGGGCAGGATACAAGAGTAGCGTCTATTAAGATAATTACAAAATATTAGTTACAAATTATGTTTGTCAACAGAACGTAAGTGCAACAACTGTAGACCAGTGGCCAATCAAACTCGCCGAATATGTTCGACACAACGACGAAGCGAATGGGAAGGCGGCCGAGCGCATCGTCACTACATTAACCGACGAGCTACTGCCGTGCGCCTCGTTCGCGGAATTCTGCGACGCCGCCGGCTTCCTAGAAGACATCCCCGAACCCGACAACTTCTTCCAGGCCCTCATAGACGAGCAACCTTGAGACAGGCCTTTTGTGCCGCACTGTCTCAGTTACAATGGGTGCATGGCCTCCTAACAAAAATTATAGTGAAATAAACTTATATAAATATAGACTAACTAGTCTTTTAATAGATATTTTAAGCTTCACCGTATGCGGCCTATGGCTAAGCGACAATATCTAATAATTGACTAGCGCATTTTACACATTTTGCAATTTTAATATACAAAAAAAAAAACTAGTATAATTAATCCGATTTAACAGTAAATATTTCTGTCTTCCTCGCTGTGCACTGTCATTACATCTTTAATGGTGTCGTGAGATGCCACGATTCTCACTGCAATCTAGTTTAGATAAGGCCATGTGCTCACTGTCGTCGTGAACACACCCCTTCACCTATCGGGTCGAGGCTCTTGGAATGATTACCACGCGTTAGAGATTTATTAACAAGATATTATACGCTTGTAGACTTAAATTATTCAAATAAATTATTCACTTATATGTTTTTGGTGCTTAATTGTAATAGCTGTTTTAATTTTTCTGCAATAAATAGTTTCTGCTTTAATTTGTGTTTGATTTGTACAATTTGTATCCTACAGTTATGAATAATGACGGTAACTGACGGTCATAGTGATTTGATCACGATTTCTCTATTCCTTTTTATAAGCAACCGAACTTCGCTCGGGCTCAATTTGGAAAAATAAGGAATAGACTAGAAATCCGCGTACGAAATGAGCAGTGAATGTCCTACGAAACTGACCTTTTTGTTTATGGCAAACAGTGCCGATGTCGACAATTCTGCCAAAGTCTAATGTGTGATGATGGTGCTTGTGATTGTAGAGCCGTAGAGGGACAAAACATAACCTCTAAAGTTACTTGAGGTTCTGAAGTTACGTGAGGTTTAGTCCTTTTCTAAAAAAAAAATACATGTGAATAGACTTATTCGCTCTTGCAGTAAAACAAAGATAAACCTCTAACGTATAATTTATGATTAGTGCAGTATTTTTGTCAACAAAGACAAAGATTGCTTACATCGTCCTTAATACCCTCGTGTTAACGACCTCTCGTCTTCAGGAATACCTGATTTATACTCTTGCGGTTTATTCTGAGCCTCGTAAATCTTGTTTATGTTAATAAAGGTATGACAGGAATAATTGAACGAATCGACAACGTAAGCCCTAAACTCAGGGGATTTCAATCTTTACTTATATTATAAATATCACTTTTTATATAAAGTTTATTTTTCATTTCTAACGACAAAAACCTAGTATAGATTTCATCATTAAGAGAGATGGTCAGCTAGACTGATTGCTGAAGCTCAGTCTATAATCATATTAATCACGTTGCAACTTACGGGTACGGAACAGAAATTGTAAAAGCACATTAAGTACGATAAATAATTACATAAGCAGCTACTAGAAAGGAAAAGAAAATAGAACTACTAAGTCTATAGATCCATATAATTCTCCATACCAGTAGTTGAACTAATACTACGTTTAAAAAAAAAAACCTCTTATTCAATAATATCAACTTTTATCAGATGCATTAATTTAATTAAAAGAATTGTAATTCAGAGTCAATTAAACTTCATCACGTTAGGCCTAAGAGGGTCCAGTTGGTACCATACTAAACTAAAACCAGAGCAAGTTCTGAATCTAGGCTTGTACTTAACATTGTGAACCCTAAAACCACATGTACGTAGGTCACTACTTAAGTTTTGACGTATGCGAAATAAGTGTAAGATATTGTTTAGTTGAGGGTAGATTTATAAAGACAAACTAATATGAACAATAACAGTACAAGTTTCGTAACGTAAAGTAGCTTTGTAGATTTATTGCGTAGTATTTATAGTATTTATTTTAAAATTAAACATGAGTGAATTTACTCGTCGCGATATTCGTGTAATAATGTTATATAATTTCAAGCGTGGCTTGACCAAGCAACAGTGTTTTGAACAAATGAGTGGTGCATTAGGACAAACGTGTCCTTCCTTAAGGACTATAGAAAGATGGTTTATTCAGTTTAATCGCGGCAATTTTAGCTTGGAGGACGATTCGAGGCCGGGTAGGCCAATAGAGCTGACTACCGATAGAAACATTGAGGCAGTGCGAAAACTACTGGAAGAACACCGGCATGTGACATATCGACAGATCGAGGAAACCCTGCATTTAAATGCACCAACTGTTCATCGAATTCTTCACGAACATCTAAAAGTTAGGAAACTTTGTTCACTTTGGGTACCACATTCGATGACTGACGAGTTAAGGGAACAGCGTATGAATTGGTGTCATGAGATGTTAGAAAAATTTGACGGCCTCAAATCTAAATACGTCAATTCAATCATTACATGTGATGAAACTTGGCTTTACTATTTTGATGTCCCAATTAAATCCCAAAGCAAATTATGGGTGTTTCAAGATGAAGATACGCCAACGTCTATCAAAATGTCTCGATCTGTTAAAAAAAGAATGGTGACTGTATTTTTCTCAAAACGCGGAATTTTGTCGACTATCGTGCTTGATAAACAGAAGACTGTTACTGCAAGTTGGTACACGGAAAAATGTTTGCCTCGAGTTTTACAGGCGTTGAAAAATGAGCGACCAAACTCAAGACTCGACACATTGTTTCTGCATCATGACAACGCTCCCGCAAATCGTACGGGCAAAACTATAGACTATTTGCGTGAAGTTGGAGTGAAATTACTGGGACATCCTCCTTATAGTCCAGACTTAGCGCCATGCGACTTTGCACTTTTTCCTTATGCAAAAAAAGCACTAAAAGGACGCAGGTTTTCTAATGACGAAGAGCTTATAGGCGCATTTGAAGATATATATGGTAGTGTTCCAGATGGTTTCTGGGGCGACGTATTTAGTACATGGTTCGACCGTATGAGAGCATGTATCAGTGCTAATGGGCATTATTTCGGAAAAAATAAATAAATAAAAAAGTACGACAAAATTGATGTAGTGACCTACATATATTACAGTCTAGTTAAAGATTTAAGTTAAGATTTTTCTTGGAAATATTACAGCTATATAGTTCTTTAGCTTCAACAGTAGAATATGGATATAAAACAAGTCTTGCCTTCTATTGCACATCACACATCAACAGCCTTTAATAGTCCACTGCTGGATATAGGCCTCTCCTTACAAAGGAGGTTTTGGCCTACTATAACATCCTGGTCGACGGGTTGGTAAAGGGTTTGTGTCAACTTTTCCTTCTCTTTGCAGTGTTGTTGTTCTGCGTAGTTTGCTCCCTTAGTCGTCTCTTACCACACCCACGGGATGAATAGGGGTGGTAACCCTCCGTATTCTTAATCCGTCACCACACGGATAATCCTTCGAATTCCACGAATTGCCCTCTATTACCACCTATCGAGATGCGCTGGATGCGAGAAGCCCAAAATCGATCTAAGTGGCGTGTAATGGGAGAGGCAAATCTCCAACAGTGGACTGCGATAGGCTGATGATGTGTGATGTGCCACCTATCAAAAGCTTAACCTAAAACATACTGCACGGATGGATTAGTGGTTTAAGCGATCACCTCGCCGCTTCCTACTACGCCGAGTGTTGTGGGTTCAAACCCCACATGGGACGACACTTTGTGTGATCCACAAATTGTTGTTCTGAGTCTGGGTGTACTTTGTGTCCGTTTCATGTATGTTTGTAAAGTCCCCCGCGACACAGGATTTATTCCTAGTGCGGGAGTTGTCTTTTTAAAACAAAAAAAAAAAAAAGAAACTTACTCTTAACCATTATTGTAGCACGTACTAGATCATTTTTTTATTCACGCTAACTGAATCTTCGTTATAGCACAATTGCTTGACAATGTGCTCTAATCTTGTATTTCGACATCGTCGTGACTCCAGATTGTTAATCGAGGGTAGATAGGTACTGGAGACGTGCGATGCGCGTGGTTGCTCTGCTAAAAATGTGGCTTGTGGTGTCAAGGGCGTGTCAAATCGACGATGAGCTTTGTCACGCTTGTGACAGGTGTTTAGTGCAGCGAGTCACCGACCTACATACCGAAATGCACGTAACTGAAAGCTCTGTTCGCAATATACTTATACTACTTATGTTACTGTTATTCGCAGCTTTGCACACGCAATTATTGTTTATTTAAATCACTTCGTTGTAGGAAAATAATATTGTTTACATGTATAAGACTAAAGAACTTAATCATCTCTAAACGTCTTATGATTTTACAGGCTTAACAAGGCAGCTAAATAATAAGTTTGATTTTAAGAAGGGTAGGTAACCTCTTTGCAAATAATGGGCCCGGCAGGAATATTTTCATGGAAGGCACTGGGGACGTGGCCAGAGTTCTCGGTAGCGAAAGAAGGGCCTGACCAGTAGCAAAAGGGGAAAGACGGGTGCTACTAAATAAGGGTTTAAAATATGTAATTGTAACTTTGGTTTAGGGAGAACATAAAACTTATCTGCTGCCTAGGTAACACTTCTTCATAAGGCAATATACTTAACAAACAGTCTAATTTAAGTAGTAGGTATCCAGTGATCAATCCATTTGTAGCGTAATTCACTTAAATATACAAAGGTTTTATAATAAGAAAAGACAATTTGAATAATAATTCCAATATTTATTTTATTTATAATAAACATTTTGTGTGGTATTTGTTTCGATGTAAAACTTTTCTAACCCCACTATAATATAATCACATAACTAGCACAGGCACTCGTGTTTGAACATGTTAAGAAACATCACTTAAATATACTTTATTCACATAATATAAATAAACTTAATACATTTGTATCATAATTAACTTAACAATAAACGCCTTATGACCAAATGTGGTCTAACAAAAGTAAAAAGTCTAAAAACAATTTAAAACAATCATTTAAACAGTGTTCTTTTGTAAGTCTACATTTTGTATTGAGGCGGTAGCCTACATCTTACTTCGACGTAATGATTTTCGAAATGTATTGATTTTCAGAAAAGTTTTCGAATTTTATTGAACTTTCAGAAAATACTATCAGATATCGACTCGAACTTTTTGTCGAACATATTGTAGATGTAACTCCCTTAGATAACGCCCTATGTATTATGATTTGGTCCGAGACTCGAAAGATTAATTAAAAATTAATACTGTCGCCTCATGCATACTATTGTTTAGATCGTCTAGTTAAAATGAACGCTTATATTTAAAATAAGGTATGGTACACATAAATTGATTATCGTCATAGCCGTTAGACATGAAAGCATGTATCGATTACTCCGCAAAACTACAGCCAACATGATTGCCAAGAAAAAAAGTACATTTTAAACTAAAGCGACCTGTACCTACTAATATCTTGCAAAGTTAACATAAAATTTAACCATTCGTAGTCGTGAATTCTCATGAATTCGTAATATCAAACGAATAGGTAAAAAAAATATTATATAATTCTCAGTTCGGTATGCACGAGGCAAGTGTAATAATAAATATATTCTAGGCATGGTGTAGAACTGACTACAACACAATGCACTATCGTGTGGTCGTTTAGAAGAATTAAAAATCGTAAGAGCCGCTGTCACCGGTCTTGCCGATGCGGAAGACGAACTTGTAGAGGAGACCGGCAATGACGCCTCCGACCACGGGACCAACCCAGTATACCTGGAGACAAAGACAACACGAATTAGGTAAATGTACTATTTGTTCCTTAACTATAATGGAATTATGATCTTTTTGATTTAATGGCTTATTTAAAGAATTGAATTTTCTCAATGTAACCGTATAGTCTATACTATAAGAAGTCCTAGTCCTACCCTACAGGAGAATATATTAATTAGAACATTACGCTTGAATTAAGGAACTGCAGTCATAAGAAAAATGAATATTATTTCCAGTCTTAGTAGGAACAGACAATCCCGCAATCAGTAATAATTCCCTGTGTAGTTTAGCAACGTTAAAAGAACGATTTCAAAGAACATCCAGATTTGATAATATTGATTATTCACCTTTTCGTGTAAAAATTTGAATTTGATAACAATGCTAATTGTTACACTTAACCGGTACATATAAAAGCGATAACACATCACTATCTAGACAGACCCAACTAAGCAAATCTTTTACTATAAATGTATAATGCCTACTCAGTTCTTGAGTATTAATAAACATATGCATCTGTTGTACATACATATTAAGTATAGAAATACTTCGATCATTCTAAATACACATATTTATGCATACAAGTATTTGCACTGAACGGAAATCCAACCCAAAGTCGGAACTTTCGCCGCACAACAGAGATAGATAGGAGTGAAAGGAACATGTATAGGTAGGTACCTAATAACGAAAAGTACCTAACAAGCTTATTTTTTCGACAAGGTCAATCTACCGTCCATTATTATTTATTGGACCAATTTATAACGCATGCGATTGCTATTTCGACTGGAGTGATAGTCAAGTGAAATCAATTATCTAGGGTTGTCACTTTAAGAAACATCGAGTAATATACAATTTTAAAATAAAGGCGCATCCCTGCTAATAACCATGGACATCATATTAAAAAAGTGTTTTTCAGAAAACACAGTTGAGAGGCGATAGACATAATTTAAAAAGGAATAAAATCGCCTACTATGGAGAAAACCTAAAATAAGCTCAATTTATAATACAATACTAACATACAATACAAATTGCAACTGCTTGTCCTAAAGACCTCTCCGATAATAGGACCGATATAATTATGGGTACATGAGTCCAGCCACTTCACTGTGGGTTGTCCTGATTCTACCTGATTGATTGTGTTGGTTGGTTGGTTGGTAGCCAGTCGTGAAAGAAATCAGCTAAAATCCATTACTACAGTAAAGACGTAAGTAACGACTCCAAATAAAATTAGGAAATGAGCAGAAAATGATGATGATGACAAATACAGCTTAATATTTTTTGTATTGTATTTTGAAATAAATTCATGTCACCTTGCGATGCACTAATTATTATTTCTTGTGTCTGTGATTTAATAATAATCCTAATAGTTACTATATATGTATATACTATGTATCAGGTATTATGTATAAAAACTAACACAATTTTTTGTATCGTTGTGCGATCTCTTTGGGTCTTAACCCTACCAGATATACGACAAAACAAGTCTCTAAGTTTCCACTAAAGGTAAGCTGTTAATTGATTCTTAAACGTGAAACTTATAAATTGGTATTAAAATCGAAAGGGCTTGAAATATGACACTATCACGATATCTGTTGCATTTAGTGTTAAAACGCAATCACATTTTATAATGGTAAGTATGTTATGTAAACGGACAAGATTAGGCAAATTGTTTAAAAACCGAATAAAACCACAATATATAATAATATTGAATTATCAAGTTAATTCGCCATCTTGCCATTCGTTCAATGAAGACGTAATAAGTTAAAATAATAACTAAAGCTTTCTAATGATGTAATATTGATTGATGGCGTAATAATCCCTAATTACAGTCATCGGGACAACGTTCTATTGTTCATTTATAATCTCGTTCTATACCTATGGGAATTTTTTTTTTCTGAATTAAATAAAAATAAAAAACCAGTCTTTTTATGCTAATCATTGGAATAGTGTATTTACAAATCACGATTGAATCTTTGTGAATGATGAATCTTTTATACTCCTTATAATCTTAGGAAGTATTTGGTTTTGTCAATGGTAATCTCGCGAATTACCCGAAGTGATTAAAATGATCTAAGAGCTTATGCTTAACCAAACAAATGACGTTTGGGAAGTTTACGGTTTTGCTTAAAGTCATCATTTTCTTTCTCTTTCTTAATTTTATTTTTGACGAAATGTGTAAAATAACTGATTTCTTTTATGATTGGATGGCCGCCAATTGTCATTGGGAATGTATTCAACTTTAAGCCAGAGGTAAGGAACAGATCGATTGGAGTAGGAACAAGTAGGGCGAGACTGCAGTACCTCAAAGAGGGTTTATCAATTCAATAACTAGATCTTATAACTGTCATAAAAAGGTACTTCTGTAGTTAAGTATTAAAAACATCCAATGTTGTCTGTAATTTGATTATATCATATTGTAACCGAAAATTGAATCCGTAATCTATTAGTCTTCGTAAACTTTACTACTTTACTACAAACATATTTTTAATAACAGTTGCGAGATCGAGAGTAGGCATTGAATATTGACCGAACTTTTATTACGAGAATTGCCGTCGCGTATCGCGTCTGCCCTTGAAGAGGCTAATAGATCGGGGAAATGAACCGGTCATGATATTGTAATAAGTGTATAATACAATAACAATGTGTCTACATACGTGTACTACACCTACGTCTTTATCCACGATGAGGCAGACAGAGGTGAAATAATTGCCTGCGTTTTGCCGTCTGTAATTTCAAGCGGTAAGCCTATTATCATCGATCGGGCACATAATTTCTAAATCAACATACTTATATATTTCTAAATGTACATTATATTATAGATAAATTACAACAAGACCCAGAACAAATAATCATGCTCATCGCAGTCACATCGCACTTAGCAGTCAGGATCGCTAATCTTTAGAACTACTTGCAAATCGAGCCAAAATTACCTAGTATTGCATGATATAATTTATTTTCAGTTATCACTGTCTATATTTGTTTTCGTTAAAAAGTAATTTAACTCAGTATTATGTTATATTAACTGATTCAACCTTGAAGAATGATTTACAAAGTAGAACTAATATAGATGGCAATGTTTGTAAAATGATGTTAGTTATATTTCATGTGTACATATGTAACTATTTGCTTATTTCTTGGTTAACACATACTGTCAGCATAGGTTCTGTACTTAACCATAGTGATAACCACCTATATTTTAGATTTTAGGATCTAGATTACCAATACTAGACCTCGAAAATAGTATAATGAGCTAATATAATTGATTGAAAAGTCGTAACTTTTGGTATATATATATTATTTTGTATATAAGTTACAAATTTATCTTAAACGTTGACCGATAAAGCTACAAATGACACCCAGTGAGTAAGGTACTCCCCCGTGGGATTTGACGGCGGAAGTGCCCGCGGAAGTATATCGGCGGACAGCTGAGTTCCGGGCGGATAGTGGCAGTCGGCCCCCGCCCTAAGAGATACGCGAGTGGCGTGAGGCCGCTCGTCGAGCCACGATGGCTCGTTGGTCGTCCCGGCTCGGGGCTCAACGTGCTGGCTTTGCCGCCGTGGCAGCGCTCCAGCCGGTCATCATCGAGTGGGCAGGGCGGCAGCACGGGACCTTTTCTTTTCGGCTGACCTTTTCTTTGATGCTTTCCTTTCCTGGCACGGCTACTTCGGGAAGTACCTGTACTCGGTCGCTAGGAGGGAATTGAGTCCCGCCTGTCACCACTACGATTGCAGTGAGGACTCGACTCAGCACACGCTGGCAATTTCGGCTATGGCGTTGCAGCGCCGGGTTCTCATTGCAGTCATCGGGGGGGATCTCTCGCTGCCGGCCGTCTTACGCTCCATGGCCGGTAGTGACAGATGTTTCACCGCGGTCCGCGAGATGACGTCTTCGCAGAAGGAGGCGGCGGAGAGGGCCCGGAAGGACAACCTCCACTCAGACCCAATACGTCGCCGTCGAAACGGGTGGCGGAGGCGCGCTTGCCACCGCATCATGCCGCCCTGAGTGTGGCCGCGGGAGGATACTCCACCCGCCATAACGGCCAGCCGCGAGGAGGCTACGTCCGCGTATGCCGGACGTCGCCTAAATAGAGAATGTACCCGAAGGTGGTGCCCTCGCCGTTGCGGGTAGGCGCTAGGAGGGGTCCGGATGTCTTAATAACAGCAGTTTCCGGATCGCTCCTATTACAGGCGCAGAATGGCACACCGTGTGGTTTTAGTCGGTCCGATTCCGACACACCACCCCGCCGCAAACCCCGGTGGGGTGACGGCCTAAGGGGGTTTCCACACGTAAAAAAAAAGGTGATGCCGCGGTGTCACTACTACTATATGTGCCGAAGTAGGGCTTTCCCACGATAATGTCCCCCATATGTTAAACATAATATATTATGTACGCTGGTGTGCGTGTTCGTGTTTTAAACGCACTCTGTGTATAGTTTTTATCTAGATATCAGCAAGCATTGATGTGCTGGAATACTATTATTATATTAATAACATCAGCTAATACTAAATTATAAAAACAAAACAAAGTCAAGGTCTAGTCAGGGTTCAAATTACCGTTTGAACATGTAACAGCTATCGTTTCCAATAAAGATGCAAACTTGTTTCTTACTATATGGGATATCGTGTCGGCTGGCGAAAGTGTGCTCAATTCTGAACTACGTACATTCACTGCTAATACTTCAGAATTATATGTTTTGTAATAAATACTGGATTTAGAAATTACAGGTGGCAGAACAATAGGTAGTATGCATATTTGAGATATTATTGCTCCGTAAGCATTGGTTTATTTTGTGTCTTCTGACCTCTACGATTTCTAGATCGCATGCATTATGCAATATAAAATGTTTTGCTAATCTACCTATCTTGGGCGCAACCACAGCTTTCTTATAAAATTTATAAAATTACTTAAGAAATATTTTTAACTATACGGAGAAAGTTAAAATATTAGATCAATTTTCGAACTAAGTCTTTTTATTACTAACGTTCATAAAACTTAAAAGCTCAGAATTAAAACAATAAGAGATAGTTTAAGTTTGTAAGTGTTAAAGAGAAAGTAATTTTTTTGTTAAGCGGTTACTTTTGCCAAATTAAATTTGCCTAGCACCTATTGATATAAAATATGAGAAACACATTTTGTATAATGTATTACTAGTAATAGACATACACATTACTAGAATCTTCTAAAGACGACGGTACCAGATTAAACTTGTGGAGGAAGGGGTGTCATGTCCCTCCAACAAAAAAGGGAGGATACTCCGATCAGGCGAGGTGATCATGCCTGGCGGGCCGCGGCCCAACGGTTGATGTTGGGAAGTTGTATATGCTTATGGGCGAGAGAATTCTTCACATCGCGATACATGATTAGTAATTCTCATCCAGTAGTTAGTCCGTAGTTCGGTGTGTCTTCGTAAGATGGCGCTGTAGTATGTTTCTTTTTCTTCGTATGTGAGAGTCGCCAGAAACTATATTATTTACCTCTTAAAACTACTATATAATTGTAGTCATTTTCTTTTGCCTTTTTGCACATAAGGTTGGTATAACATTGGACTAAACTAGGAATGATAAACTGAATCGGCATTACATAATAATAAAGGATAAAACATATAGTTTAAAGCTACTTACCCATTGTGCGGTCCAAATGCCCATAACGAGAGCTGGTCCGAATGAACGAGCAGGGTTCATGCTGGCGCCAGTGAACGGTACCTGTGAACCAAATTGTACAACTAAGTTCATCACTTATGTCAAATCGCAATTCAAACGTATGTTTTTAGAACGAAGCGGATGGAAGCGAGACCGAAAAATCTGTAACAAGACTTTTTTCCGACACTGTGGTAAACGTCTACCAAAAAGTGAAAGGAACGGCCGCCGTTTTTAAATCATGTAATAAATCCTTTCTACGTGTTATGTTATTGTTATCAGTAGAAGAATTTAGTACACAACCTGATTACACACTGTTTCGTTACACTATACTCGTATAGTTCAAAACAAACTTCTTCTGTAACGCAAAAAACTAAAAACAAGCGTTAATTTTTTCCACATAAACCTCTTTCTATTTCTATATAAAATTAACGAAGACAGAATTTATCACTATATAAGCTAAGGTACCTAAGTTATTGTTTTCCCATTATAGGTTTCTGTAAGAGAACTCCTGAGCCCTAGATATCGAACAGGCAGTTTAACATTCGCAAAGACAAATCACATGATATATTAGGCTAGTTGACTAACTTCAAAAACGTCAACTTGGAGAAGTACATAGTTCTTGTATTCCTATAAATATCCTATCACTTACAGTAGTGGAAGTGTGTAAGTTCCCAAAACCCACTACGTCATGTACCGAAGTTCTCTGGATTGGGTATAATTGATACTTACACAAGCGCAATGGCAGGCGGTGATGCTGAGACCGATGGCGAGGGGAGCGGATCCCTTGAGATCATTGCGGCGTCCATCGCATACTCCTAGTACCACCAGTACTAACACGAACGTGATCAGAGATTCGACGAGAACGGCCTAGGAAATAAAAATATAAATTAATTATGGATTTCGGAAATTATTTTGTATCAATTAGTGTGTTGAACTTGAATTTACGAGAGTTTGCTCGTACACGGTCTTAACTGACAGCCTTTTAATTCAAAATTTTGCAATTGTAAGCTAAATAATGGATAGAGGTCTTCACAGTTACACACTCAAACTTTGAAATTGCAGACCTACACGAAATATTTCTGTTACGGTCATAGCTACTTTACATTACCTTTACCAAAAAATTGTCTTAAACAAAGCCTAACAGCAAGCAAACTAAACAAAAATTGTATAAAGTACATACTTATAAGATGTGGTACGTACATATTCACCGTTGCCCACACTTAGCAAGAGACGATAACATATGTAACTTAGTTTCTCTTTCGATGAAACGTTTGCCTCTCAAGTTAACTAAGAAATCAGAGATCAGTATTAAACCCGAAAAAAATATTGTCAATTTTGTTATTATAAAAAACTTGTTTTACAAAAAAATACAACCGGTGATTATTAAATTTGGTGACATAAAAAAGTAGCAGACCTGTGCCTCGGTGACTCCCGCCTGCGGCAATGTCATTCCAAAGCCTCCCACTTTGTTCTCGGGCACCCCCAACTGCAACATACAAATAACATAGAATTTTAATTACTATAAACGTTTCTTCTCTACTAAACAAACGCAGCTTTCGACATTATAATTTATTGTAACTGTACTTGAAACATTTACGTTCACCATTTGAAAAATATAAGTAATTTAATACTTTTTAAATGTCTCTGTTGACAACCTACACATTTATAAACATTTATTGACAATTAATTTAAATTTTATGGTCTTAATTGTGATGCTGTACCGATCGTCGAGGAACAAGCGCTCACTAATGCTGAGGTAATAAAAAAATACCATTATATTTTGTAAAAGCTCATGTAAGTTTATTCTTTTGGTGTACTTTCACATCTTAATTACTTAACAAATCATCATGCTATCAGAAGTATAGAAAGGTACGTTAAAGGTAGGACAAAAACACTCGTTCTAAGTGATAAAAAAAATACTTTAGCGAAGAAGTGGACGTAAGTTAGTTGGTTTATAAATTAATATAAACCACCAACAATAAAACACATGTATGTCATAATTAACAATAGATTCACGCACTACATTATCTACGCAACAATACATTATGTGATATAGTTATTCAGAATCGTGTCTGTTGTACAATAGTCGTGATCGAGCGAGCTCGTCTTCCTCTCATTAGCACGGCGCGACTGAGGGCCAGTGAAATGTCGCACTAGAGGTCGCCGTGTGAATGTTCACATCATAAACCACTTGACGCGCGCTAATCAGCCAATGTGCTAACTATTTTCACCTCTACAGGTTGCGTAATGTTTTGATTAATGAAACGGTTTTTTTTATCTTGCTGTAATAGTTTGTCTGTAATGGCCGATATGAAAATATTTGCATTGTTCCTCACACTAAGCATTTTGTATAAGGCTTCGTTGTTCTTTGTTAATAATTATATGAATATGTGAATGTACTTGACGTAACGATTTAAAAATCAATTTTAGTAGCAACTGAATATTTGAACACAAGTCGATGATAATTTAGTTTATTAGAGTAAACTGAGAACTTGCAAAGGATATACAAGTTTTGGTCATGTCTTTTCAGCACATTTTCCTAGATTTACTTACTAGGTGCATATTCACTACTGAATTAGTAGTTCTTTCGGTGACGGGAGGGAGTATTTTCTCTCATCACCCGCGAACTTCGATGACTCTCTAGTACACGTGACTCTATAGTAGGAACTTTTCGAACACTGAAAACGTTTATTTTCTCAGCCGGCCTATTACAGAGTGTCACCGTTTATTCACTTGTCGACTGTAAATCAAAGTGCAACAATCATCTATTGCTTGGAAAATTTCCAAACCAAACATGTTTTAACTATTTTAAAGCCATTAAATGTGCCTGCTAGAAAAATAAAATGCTTATTAAAACGGTAGCGAGTATTTATCGAGACCTACATTCTTATAAACTTGGTCACCTCTACGTTACTGTCTTTAGACATATTGCTTTTTGTTTTTACACTTCTAAGATCGACAGACTCAATTAATAACTTTGAAACAACGTTTAAAAATTGTCTCTACAATTGCAAAACTCTGACGTTTTGTTGCGCAAACTTAACACTCTGCTTTTCTTTTTCTAAGTTTATAGTAAGTAATATAGGGCAGTTATTCTAAACTATCCACAAAACAAATCCTTTTTATTTTGAGTGAATATCTGATCTGCTAATGACATATTTTCTTTTTTGTTGTTTGGGATCAGACGGCCGCGTGTAAGATATGCGAGGTTATTTTTATTATCTTCTTCAAAAGATTTTGAAGAAGATAATAAAAATAACCTCGCATACCTCAACCTAAAACCAGATGGTTTATCTATTGGTTTTTTAGTATGTATAGTAGAGTAGTATGGTTAGGTTTACCCAACAACATTATTTTTGATCCCATCCATGTAGTGTACAGGGTTTGATTCGGGCTCTTAATCTATTGATTATCAAGCACAAGTGCTTTCCTACAAATTGCTTTTAGCCTTAATATCGCAAAACCTTCACTCTAATGAAGCCCCGATAAATGTTTAAAAAAAATATGATCAATTTCGTATCATCAAGGACCTCGAGCCGTGGTTAATTTCCAATTTGCGCTAAGATTCTGTCGTCAATGGCACACCGTATATAGAAAATAAATACTTAATAAGTTCCATATATCAAAGATGTGACCTTTTCATGTATCCTAAAGCTTTTATAACAGAGTTCAATTAGTTCTGCGATTACCTCCAAGGTCGCTCCACTTGGTTCTTTATTCTAAGATCATCAGTGTCACGGCGAGCGAGACAGTATTCATATAAGGATTTTAGAATGTCGATGCGATGACTACACCTTAATGGAGGATAGTCATGGGCATGAATGATAGGTGTCCATTCTTTTGTAAGTTTTACTGAAGTCAATAACATTTCAAATTAAAAATATTAACAGTCAACCGGACGGTTGACTTGGACAAGTGATAGAGATTCTAAGCAATTGATACAATTGAAGTCATTTTTGGGACATTAAAACAATAATTAGACACATCACGCACATAGTAATTTGACACATCACGCACTCGGCCGCCTGAGCCCAAACAAGGCCTATGCTGTGGTATCCAGACAGCTCATAAACATACTTATATTTACCCAAATACATGTATATAATACAGTAATTACACCTAGACACCGAGCAGTTTATCGTACTCATCAGACAATAATTTCTCTTAGGTGTGAATCGTACCCACGACCTCCAGTTAGCAGTCAGTATCAAGAACCACTGGACGAATAAACATGTCGACATACATAATTATGTAATAACATTGATATGAACAGTTAGAACATACTTTTTCTGTACGATAGGGGCTTAGAAATAAAAACTGCTAAATATCATATAATTTTTCATAAAAACTAAAGCAACAAATTCAAGCTCATTATTTGAGTTGAAAGAAAACTTTAGCGGCTAAAATAAATTAGAAAATCTGGCCCCGGCCTTTTAAGTGCGAACTTATTTAGAACCTCTCCTTATTTCGAATTTGGAATGTATACATAAGTGGTCAATTACATAAAATGTATTTAAACTGATGCTTGGTTCATGTACAGCACTTAAACCTCTTATGGAGATAGATAGATAATACTTTATTTGTACACCAGGGTTTTACAAACATTATAAAATAATTAAACGTACAACAAATGTTATATACGAAGGGCGGCCTTATCGCTTAAAGCAATTTCTTCCAGGCAACCTTTGGATGGACTGGATTTATTTTAAACTGGTGATACGTGTATAGAAGTTCGAGTAATAAATAAGATATTAACCTATGAAATATTTGTCATACATAATTCTATATATAATTCTAATAATTCTACTAATCCATACAGTATAATAATAATAAGCAAAGTAATATATTAGTATATACTTATACTAAACATACATACATAAACTCATTGCACCTTCAACTACTACTGTCTCTCACAAACATTTTAATAAATCCTAAGGTTGCGTGAAAGACATTGCTATTGGCAATAAGGCCGCCCTTTGTACATTACATGTCTGATATTTTTATGTACCATACTACTTGTAAAACGGTGTATAAATAAAGAGTTTTTAAAGGGGAAAAGGGACAGATAATGCGCATAGTTTTGAAGGTGGTTACGGATTGCGCACATTGATTGAAATAGCTGTAACTTATTTGATAATTTGATTTAGTCTTGTAGTCTCTCTCTTTTAAATATATTCAAGAAAGACAATAACATTACTTGGAAATGTAGGGCACTTGTTTAATAATTTTATTCACTACGAGTCCTTTAGAATCTGAATCAGTATTCTGTCGCATAAATATTTAGCTAAATGCCAGGCGTTCTGTTTTGTTCTTTGTGTGGATAGAGGTTATGTGAATACTGTAATTAAAGTTAGCTTTATGATGAATACAAATACGTATTATATTTAAAATATAATTGTGTAATTTTATTTGGCACGCGTTAATTAGGCTGATTCATCAAATGCGAAAGTTTGTAAAGCAGTTTGTTACTTAATCACTTTAGAAAAGCTAAACGGATCTCGATGTTTGAAACTTAAATTTATTATAGTCTGAAATACCACATAATTATTTTACTTTTTACCCTGATTATTGATACATATATGATATCCTTATTGATAATTTCGACACTAACGGAAGCCAAAATTAGTTCATAAAGTACTAGATTTGAGTGCTCTGTATCTCTATGATACAGAAGAGTTATTCCGTTTCCAAAAAATCTCACCCTTATGAAAGCAGCTCCAGCGACACCACCGACCATTTGGACGATAACATAGCACACCGCTTTCAGCAGCTTGATGTCACCTGCGACGAAGAGTCCGGCTGTTACGGCTGGGTTGATGTGACCACCGGATACATGAGCGATTGTCTGTGAACAATTTGAAAAGAGAAGATCAGACTATGATGCTCCAAATATATAAATTAATAGTGTAAAACTTATATTTCACAACCAGCTTTCATTAAAACTAAGTTTTCTTTTACTGCATATATGATGTTTAAAAAAAGTACTTCTCAAGATGATTCAAAGGCTACCTATGGCCGCCTTCCGACTCCATCATCAAAACAGCTCTATTATACCATATTATTGTACTGGCACTAAAGATACATAATGTAGAAAAAAATGAGCCCAATACCGAATACACACACATACATATTATACATACATGCATGCTTACAAAGAAACATTGCAAGTTATATAAAAACTTGTAAAAACGGTTGTTTATTCCTGAGAAGCTATTTCGTCTATTAAAATTAAGGTAGTAAAGACAATGCACGAATGGCGCAGTTCTATTATCGTAGTCACAAGACTGGAAAAAGAACTCCACTTTAGTACCTTAAAAGAGCATAAAATTTAGTTGCACAATCATTTCACAACAAAAGTTTACAATTCAGGGGTTTGATATAACTTTTTCTAGTTTAACTATAAGTACATGCAATTTTTTGTATATATTTGCTTTTTGCGCGCTTAGTAATAACGATAAGGACATAAAAAATCCTCAGACTGTAAACTAAGATATACTGCTTTAACATCTGACTTGCGATCAAATATTTTTCATCAAAGACCGTAAGACCGTAAGAATTTAAAGGATAAATTCCGTTGATATTAATTCTGAAAATACCTTATAAATGTTTTAAGTGATGGTAAAACATCAATTATTGAGTTGGTTGCCGTCAATTCGGACCTTATCGTTTAATAAATCTCAATTCTACATGCCAACCAGCTTTAATTGTAATTGAATGTACCTGTACACGTCCCTGCAGTATCAGTTTGATCTACAACGTTGTTAACTTAGTACAGTCAAGAACAAAAAGTTTTGACAAACACTTTAGGGACCCCAATTGAAAGTCAAATTTAAAATTACAAATTAAAATTTGTTAACATTAGCCAGATTAGTTATCGAATAGTACGATTTTATGAAAAAAAATCATACTAAAATTGATACATCTATTTTATGTACACATTTACGATTTAAATTCACGCATTGGGAAATCCGGGAGTCAAAACCGATTTGAAATAATTTTTTTGTCGAATCGTTGGGGATTCCAACGTACAGACGGACCTAAAAAGATTTCAGGATTGGTAAATATAACACGATCTGGAAATGAATCAGATGCATAGACTAACGCCTATAATTCTCTGTTGAACTAAGTTATTGGTATAACGTATGACGTTAGAGAGCTCTGACTTTTCGGTAATTTCCTATTCTGGTTGCACTTTCTCGTGCTATTGTTAACATTCCCCAATCTATCTTTATAAGCAATATTCTTTTTATTCCGTTGCTTTCTGTTCTTGCATAGCTTTCCATTTCAAAATACTACTTGCTTTCCATTCTTTAATTCATAAATTTCTTGATTTTCTATTTTTTTTTTTGTTTATTTAATTAATTTCCCATATGAATCTTTCTCACAAAAATCTATTCTTTTTTTAAAGACAACTCCTACCCTAGGAATACAATCCTGTGTGGCGGGAGACTTTACAAACATACACGAAACGGACACAAAGAACACCCAGACTCAGGATAAGAATTTATGGATCACATAAAGTGATGTCCCATGTGGGGATCGAACCCACAACACTTAGCGCAGTAGAAAGTGGTGAGGTGAACCACTACCCTATGCAGTCAATTAAGTTATTATATGTCATTATAAGCAGAAAGAATAACTAAGAAATCCCTTCAAATCTCGCAGTCACAAAAAAGATCCCGATGATTGAACAAATGTGGAAAACAATTAAAGATTGTAAATTTAATAGGTCACAATAAAAGATGTTTATATCGGGATATAACGCAATAATATTTAGAAGGTATGACATTGCTGGCGTGTATACCGTCTTATGAAAAGACTCTTGTTGGTGCTACTTAGACTTGTGGCAACATGACTAAGGTCATCAATAGTTTTTCCCATGTATGTTGAGACCGGATTATAAGGAGCGGCTTTTGCCTGACTTGTGTAGAACTTAACGAGACATTTTAAGTTTTATAGTTCAAGTTGTGTGTAACGTTCTGGCAATTTGAATAGAACTATTGATCGTAAGATTCTAATTTTAAATTGTATTAGTTAAACTTAGTATATGAGGAAGATGTATGCATGAGTGTGGAGGTCATCATGTGAATGCACTGGACAGGTCCGATATTCGCAAAGCTTTTCTGACTATCAGAAATTGGTCAGTCAGTAATTCAAAGTTAGAATTCTGTTGTCTAAAACTAATGATAGCTGCGAGCTATGAGGTTTATTTATGTCTAGGCATAAACTCCGCCTCCAATGAGAGCACTATGAGAAGAATAGAACTTTAGATGCATAATTATATCTTTTTACAGTTCTCATGACTTGAGAGGGAGAGGCGATTTTTAAATTAGATTTAAATATTTATGTAAAATAATTCAAGATTAGTTTAGTTTTACTTTTACATTTAATGATACATAATTAGATTAACTCTTTGAGGCCACAATTTCGAGAGAATATTCGTCTATTAATCGATAGCATTATTTTTTTTAGAGCTTAATTGAACCACAGCCTCAAAGAAAACCGGTGTTAAGCATGATTCTGGAGGAGGGGCGGGAAGTTGTATTGCAGGTGTCCATGGGCGGTGACCGATATGCTCGTTTGCCCCCTCTACAATAAAAACGGTACCTAATCCTTTTCTGTAAACCTGACACGGCGTTTAGAGAATTTCATGATGATTAACTGAGTGGTTAAGGTGTTTAATCGTAACAAACGAACTCACATCGATATTAATAAAGGTTAAGATTAATTATTAATCGGCATTCGTGAATCGTATTCACGAGAGTCATACGTTTTCAGTTTTATGTCGCAGGTCATCTATATTTATTCGCAATTAACATTTTTAACCGATATTATGTCATCGGAGCACTTGTGATGTGGGTCAGGGCAATTTGCGGTTCCAATTAGTGCGGTCGGCATTACTTTTTTTAATAAATCATCCGCGAAGGTTATGCGTTTATTATTTCCTGTATTAAAATACTATATTCGTATTAGTAGAGATTACAAGTAATAGCATCATCTTTGTCTTTAATTTTATGTGGTTTTATTTGGTTTTCTTTTTGTATTTTGTAGTCGTCTAACTTTGTAATATAAATTCATATTGGAACTCTTTTGCATCATCCAAATTGCTTTGTATTTTCTGAAAAGTAATTCGTTCTATAGATATTATCATAGTAAGGAGGATTTACCCAAAAAAACGATAAATATTAAATACTAATATTTATTATAATACAAACGTTTTACTGTTATTGTTCCCTATAAAAACCCAAATCTTCTTAACGAAAAATATTTGTGCCATGAACAAAGCCACGGGTAATAGGTATTTCTATTTTAATAGTGGTTTCACTTCTAACAATAGCCAGTCACAGTGATTATTTTGTAATCTATGACATGGTGATGCCATGCCATGATGATATGGCAAGTCCGCCGTCTTCAATGGTCACGTTCACGGTCACGAACAATAATAGTTGTACTAGTTTATTGTCGTTTTTATCACATCTACATACACATCAATGTGTATTATATGTATTTGAACTTATTGTTAAATAAACTTGAAACTAACCAGTCCTAAACCAGTCCGTGTGGTGACGGATTAAGAATACAAATTGTCACCAACCAAATGTCTTGTTCATCCCGTGGGTGTCGTAAGAGCCGACTAAGGGAGCAAACTAAGCAGGACAACAGCACTGCAAAGAGAAGGAAAACTTGAAACAAACCCTATACCAACCCGTCTGGCCAGCGTGGAATAGTAGGCCAAAATCTCATTTCTAAGGAGAGGCCTATGTCCAGCAGTGGACTAGTATAGGCTGTTGATGATGAAACTTGAAACTAAGAAATTATATATTATAAACAGTGTGTTAATTACAATTCCTCAAGCCTGTGTATTCCTAAAACGGTAATTAAAACTCGCAGTATTGCCTACCTGAAAAGCTAAAGAATATTGTGTCGGATTCAATCGAATCGAATCCAGAATTTCATGATAGTGGCATAGTACACCGGGACCAACAAAGTATGATGATTATAATTTTTTAATGTTTAAATATGTTGAACTTATTATTAGAATTATTAATAATAACTACAAAATACGGACAGTGCAATTTAACAATATTTTCTGGAAATAACACACATGATTCATTTTCCATATGTATAATGAATTATACCTATTTAGCACAAGAAACGAAGTTGGTATTGCTATAAACAGAGAAATTCATTCTGATGAGATTTCACAGGCGTTATTACAACGTATCTCTCATCAAATAACACATAACACCATATTCAGTAAATAATGTGAATCGGAAGTACACGAAATATTTTCATTGACATTATCTTTAAAGTGATGTAAGCGACATTGGCCTGTCCCGTGTAGCTACATCATGTACACAGTAATGTCAATTTATTGCCCATTTTTGTATCGCAACTAGTTATTTAACGAAAATTTATGAGCTGTATAAAATGGCAACATTAAATATTTTTAACCTTGACTTTGAGTAGTATTATAAACTAAATCGTTACATAAAATGACTAATGAAATAGCCTTGACCGAGAACCAATAAAAGATGAAAATCGACTAATTAAATAACGAGTGTAATTACTGTCCAAAATTGTTTATTTTTAATTATGTAAGGGTCCTTACCATTTGCGGAACTGGTAATAAAATTGATTGGATAATAACGATTGATGGTAATGTGAGAACTAATGACAGGACAAGGATAATTGTTGAAATTATAAATAGATATTGCTATTTATTAAAAGTATCTTTTGCAGTTGGCTCTTCTTTCATTGATATCGGTTTAAGTATAGCTAATTTTAAGTAAATCCGTAGGAGTGTGACATCTTTGGTCACAATCAATACCGTATCTTTACGTT